ACATTCCTTTGTGCTAAGATGTGGAGACAGACCGGACGCTTTATCCCACTCTCACCTCATTTAACTATCTGGATTATTTTTCATTCCCAAAAGCACAGAAGGCTCCTTCCATTTTACAAGTATGCTTTAATGTTTGGCGTTTTTTGAAAGACACAATAAACAAAAACAGGAAATCAGAGTGCATGAAGTCCTTTTTTTTTTTTTACATTACATATGATTCCTCCTCTGTCTCAACACTGGTGTTACTGTACCAATCAATGCAGTTATCTTGTATTGTATCTCCCAGAGCAATAGCATCCCAGGTAAAGAGGAAGGCTTTCATTAATTTCTCTGCATGTTTCTAATGTATTCACTGTAAGGCCGATAAATCCCAACCCGTGAACTTCCTGACCTGCACTACAACAGCGGTAATGGGTTAGTTTCAACCAACAGCAATCAATAGGGCCCGCTATAAAAAGGCCACTGTGCATTTAAAGCCCCGCAGGTCTATCGTGCTCAACATATGGGCTCTCATTGACTAAATGGACCTTGTTGCCCCAGGCCCTGCTTTGCTGTCGATCAAACCAGAGCACTTAATTGACGGGCTGCTTCAGCGGTGAGCCGACACGGATTCACGGCGGCAGACATGAGGAGGAGTGCTCAAGGCCATTTCAGACCCACGATGTTTAACTGCAACTCTGACGCAAGAAGCTGCTGAATCACAACGAGGCAGAGAGCTGAAGCCCAGACCGGAGTGTGTGCACACTATTCATGCAGAGGAAAGATCAGAGGCAGCTCACCGCTCTTGAGCATGAATCAGAGCTCTAAATGACAAAAACAGTAGAAAAGACATGGTGGCTGATCATTTAAACTCTAGATTTCAGGGCTTCCCCCTGCGATCTCTCCTCTCTGACTTTGTTAGCACACGGACTCTGCTGTGCCACCAGCGGATGACCCTCGAGGCAACAATTACTGCCTAATTAGGGAGATGAGCAGTGCTTAAGTGCGGCTTAACGTTTAATCGGCCGGCTCGGCGAGCAACCGGTGAGATCCAGATCTCATTGGCCAGAGCAGCCAAACAACACAGACAGTCTGACAGAGAGTCTTTCTAGCTCATAATCCAGCATACACCATAAAGGACAGTTCACTCAAAAACACAACTGTTCTCATATCAGTTCAGATCTGAGAGTTTTGGTGTGATTTGCAAGGTTTGGATATTGGCTGTAGCTCAATTTGACACGCTGCCATCGACTGCAGTTGCTTTGTGGTGCTTAAAGTGTCAAAAATTACATCAAAATAATCCACAGGCCTAACTGGGAGCAGATTTACAGTGAAGGAGAAACCGTTCTCAATGAGGTTTGTGGAGTAGTACGAATAACCATGTCATTATATTTGGAAACAGATGTTTCTCAGTGTTTCAAGTGTGATTTTTTTTCTTCTTTTGGGAGCTTTGAACAAGCAAAACTGAATTCCATGGAAATGTACTGCACTGCAGTGATCAAGTCAACAACAAAACCATCAAAATAGACTGACGGTTAGAGCAGCAACTAAAGATTACACTGACAACCATCTTTACATTTTATTCATGAAGAGTTTCCATTAAAATTACAAAGGTGACATCTTCAAAAATGTCTTGTTTTGAACAGTCCAAAGATATTAAGTTTCCGATTATATAAAATGTAGAAAAAAGAAAACTACTTCAGAAGCTGAAAGTTTTTAAGTTCATTTTTATTCAAGGTCCACTTACTTGGGAGCTTTGAAGTGCTTCAACAGATGAAGTTGGCATAGAAAAAGCTTGTAAGAGGAGTTGAGTGAAACAAACATGAACTCTCGTTGGGGTCAACTACAAGATTAATATTTATATTTCATTATTACGTCTTTACACGTGAATTGGTTTCACAGAAAAAATGACAACAGCAAGAAGGTGAAGTCTTCAAATTGCTTCTCAGTCAGCAGATCATTAAAAACACAATTATTAAAAAAGGTTGCAGATCACTTTTCTCTTGACTGAATCAATCCTGTCATTTTTATGTTGCTGCTGTACTACATGCAACCTTTCTGCATGTGTGTACATGTGTGTAAGTGTGTGTGTTTAGTGCCAAAGGCTCCAAAGTTTAACTCTGCCATATTGTTTTATTGAGGTCAACAACAATTCCTGAGGTGGCGGCCTGAGTTTTCCTGGCAAACAGCGATTGTGAGCCGCACCTCCGCCCGTTTCGTTGAGGTTAAGCCTTTACACACTCGACTGACTCCTAATAGTTGAGCAAATAGCTGCCCTCAAGCCTGATACTGTACTCGCTGCCCAAAAGGGTCTTACTGGACTCAGCTGAATAAATAACTGGGATCCTAATATCGCCCTGCACGGCAGCTGGCTCGTGTTTGTGCAATTACCGCCAGCTCAAGGGGGAGGCTGTGTGATACTGGACGCTTCCTGGGATGCTTTAGAGGTTTTCCCCAGGACCAAAGCGCAGTATATCTACACCAACCTGTAGAATATTGTGCTTCCACTGTATGCATGCTGAGGAACCTCAGGGGCAACAACTCCAGGCAACAAAGCTGAGAGCTTCTCCCCCTCGTGGTATGAAGGGCCTGCAGAGGGGGCAGCCACACAGGTATCAAATTGAAGGAGTGGTCCTCTGGAAAGTATGTGAGACAGACAGTGCAGCATCTCTTGGCTCTGGGCCTGTTCTCAGTCTGTGAATTCCTCCGTCTCCCCACCAAAGTAGGGGAAGGGGGGGGGGGGTGACAAACACTTGACTGTACTGACAGTAGTGGAGAAGTGACTGTGTGTAGAGGAGGTGGCGCACAAGACTTGAAACTGTATGAGCTGCACATACCAGAGGAGGGTTATTACAGGCAGGAATCCTGACAGTGTGTGTGTGTGTGTGTGTGTGTGTGTGTGTGTGTGTGTGTGTGTGTGTGTGTGTATTTAAGCTATTTTCACACATGCAGGTTTAGGCAGCAATTCGCCATGACCTGACAACTCCTCCTCTTACAAAACTCTCCCTGCATATGTGTGTGTGTGTGTGTGTGTGTGTGTGTGGCCTCATTTTTTGTTTCATATGAACAGAAAACTGTGTACAAACTGCAGCGCATACCACAAGAAAAATGCCTGCCAGCGTGCAGGGTTTACACAGCCAGCCAGCCGCAGCCCTTTGTCACTGTCAGGAGGGTGATTTACAGGAGAAACCCAACACTTGAAGCAACAACAAAAAAAAAGGAGGTGGATGAGGAGCCATCAGTGCCGCGCACACCGGATCTGTAATCTCAAAAGACGACTCACGATGATGCTTGTCTGGTTTCCTTGGAAAAAAGGCTGAGCGCTTGCGGAGCGCACTCACCTGCTGAGCTGCAGCCCATAAAGCCAACGTCTCTGTGCGTCTTGACCTTCACACACACACACAAACACACACACACACACACACACACACACACACACACACACACACACACACACACACACACACACACACACAGGTAGCGACTGCAGATTGGATTATTTGCACTTTGGAGAGTTTAAAAGGCTGTTTAGTCTTGCATCTCCTCTCCAACATCTGTCTATTCACTTTCCTGTCAAACGCTTGGGAAAAGTGGGCTGTACACATACACACACACACACACAAACAATCACACAGTTGTGTTAAAGCACCACGGGAAGCCACAGCGTTGTTTACACCAACTCCAAAATCTGCAGGGCTTTCAACTCAGATCCCCCCTTAATGCACCGACTGGCGAGCACGCAACTTTTTGGAGCTCGTAAAAATCGGCCAAAAACCTCGTCTTCATCCTTGAATCAGCTCTCTGTGGCTTCTAAATGAAAGAAAATATCAAACATATCATTATCTCTCTCTCTCTCTCTCTCTCTCTCTCTCTCCTCAGGTTGCTTCCACTCATCAGCTGCTGCTTTGTGTAACAGTGCAGGAGGGGTCATGTGTAAGAAGCACCTTGAACTCATATCTCTGTTTGACAAGATTGCGTCACTGTGTCCCTTGTGGCCTGTCTGCTCTCTCACAGCGAGGAGGGCGAAAGGCTGAACAGGTGATTTTGAAGCCGTAGTGCTCAACACTGTTGCTCGGACAGCTGTGTTTACACAGCGGCTGATAGACACCATTTGAGAAAAAAATCCACACGGGTGATTTTGTTGTGTGTTGAGGCCGTCTGAGGGAGCGTTTTATATAAATCCACTGCAGGAGAGTCCAAAGCTGCTTACTGATTACTAATCAAATCAGGAAATAAATATGATTAATGAATGATGGGTGAGCGCTCAGGTGCAAAGATGTGCTCCTCTCTGACTACTTTTGGGATTCTCTCTCTCTCTCTCTCTCTCTCTGGGATCAATGCCTGATGTAATATTGCAGAGTCAGCAGAAAAAGCCCCCAAAAAAAAAAAGCAGAGCAGGCAAAGCAAACAAGAGGGCAGGGTGTGTTTGAGTTGACTTGGGTAAGAGAGACAAAACTGAGGGCCTCACAGAGACAGAACCCCCCCCAAAAAAAAAAAAAAAAGTCTGAAGACTACTGGGAGCAAATATCTTGAGCTGACACCAGTATGATAAGGACTGGTGGGGAGGATAAGCTCCACCATGCAGCTTTGTTTACACACACACACACACAGCCGTCAGAGCCCGTTTGTAAACAACTTTAACCTGTTTTTTTGGGGGGTTTTTTAAGTGTAAAACTACTTCAAACCCTAAATATTTTATTATCTTATATTAAAAAAAGGCAGTGAGAGTGCAACCCCCCTCCCCCCTCCCCCGCCACACACGCAAAACTATGTAAACTTGGCTGAGCTGAGCTGTAATGGTTTTTAAATAAAGCTCTTTGCAATATCATCCAAACACACTGAATGAAACATGTCCCAATCTGCAGTGCGCTGCCACGTTTCTCCCCTCTCATGCAAAGCAGCCTCATACAGTATTGAGTGAGTGTGAGTGTGTGTGTGTGTGTGTGTGTGTGTGTGTGTGTGTGTACTGCACTCTGCATGCATGGGTACATTTTTTTAAATTTTTTTTTTGGGTGACTTACTTTTGCACTGCAGGTCCACCATGGCCTGGTACCACTCGTCCTGGTCCCCCTCGTTGTCCGCGGCGATGGCGAAACTCTCGGCCCGGGTGTAGAGCACGATCATGTGCTTGTTCTTGGAGTCGGCGCGCTTGTTGATGTTGAAGCACGTCTCCAGAGCCACGGCTTTCTTCGGGACGGGGGCCTTGCCGCGGAATTTCTTCTCGCTCTCGTAGTACTCCAGGCGGGCCGGGCCGCGCTCCGAGGCGGCGCGGAGCACGAAGTACCGCCGGTGCATGGACTTCTGCTTGCGGAGGTAGCCGCTCTTCCGCACGTCCTCGCAGCTCTGGTGCTCTCCGATCGCTTGGCTCTCCATGACACCCCGGTTATAAAGCAACTTAAATTCCTCTCCCAAAAAACAAAACAAAAAAAACCTTTCTTTCTTTCTTTCTTTTTTTAAATAATTGGTTTTAAATCTCTCTTATATTTCTGCTAAGTTTTACAGAGGTGATTCAAACATTCCCCGGCTCCGCTCCCCTCCCTCTCTCCCACATCAACGCAGGCATGTGAGAGGGGAGGTTTGGGGCTGCGAGTCCCGGAGCTTCAAGGTTTTTAGTTTGCGGCTGCAGCCTATTGTTAGTTTTCCTCTTCTTTCTTTCTTTTGGTTGTTTTTGTCTCCCAGGGACGGACGGACGGGTTCGGTGCAAGTTTTTTCTTTTTCCAAGGCGCACACGGACGAGCACATGCGGCGGCGGCGGCGGCGGCGGCGCAGCGCGGCGCGGAGCTCCCCCTACTCTCTCCACTAGCTACTACTGCTGCTGTCTGAGCGGTTTAATCCCCATTTACTGCACATCACAGAGTCCACAGCGCGTCCTGCTGCACACTGTCTGTCTCTCTGACTGTCTGTCCCCCCCCACCACCACCCACAGCCCTGCTCCGGTCTCGTTGCTGTAGTGTAGAGAGGAGCGGAGCGGAGCAGCTACCGTGGAGGAGCAGGACTGTCACTCACCGCTGTACTAGTACTCTGGAACAACGGGGCGTTCACGGACACAGCCCGAGCTCGGACAGCAGAGCTCCCAACTCCTCCGACCAACATTTCTATGAGTGCATTCCAGTGGATTTAATTATAGATAGAGATTGATTACTTTATTAATCCAAATGGGAAAATGCAGTAAAACAAACAACTATAAACTGAACTAACATACGGTACATATGAAAGTTACTCGTGATATTCTGTGCATAATAATATAGCAAGGTTTTAATTGTCTAGATGAGTATTGGGAATCTATACAGTCACACAGTTACATACATGTATGTAGAATATACTGTAGTAACGTGTGTGTATTTATGTAATTCACACGTATGCAGAGTAAACATTACTGGATGAGGAGAGATAAATAAGTATATTGTCAAATGTCGGAGAATGCATGAAGAGTTTGTACTAGTAAAGAGAGAACGTCAGGTTAAATCCAGTAAAATGAGACACTCCAGTCTTACTTACATGTTTATAAGTGACTATAAGGGTGTTCACGTTATTAAAATAATGTGTGTGTGTGTGTGTGTGTGTGTGTGTGTGTGTGTCTAAAAATCTCTTCAACTATTGGTCTATTGAGAAATATCCCCCCAAACAGAAATGTTTCCACTTGTCTGGATTCATCTGTAAGAGATCCTGCTTGAGGCAGACATTTCTTATATCTGTGCATTGTGCATGTGCTCTGTTGCCTCCAAGTACCCTACATTGCACACAGCATATAACACAGACTATATAGTGCCCGGAAGTTACATTATTTGCCCAAAAATCAACTAATTCTCACCAAGCTTTATTCTTAGGAATATGCAGCATGTGAGCACAATCAAAACAATAAAAAATAAAGAAGTTGTTAAATTTCCTAAAAAGTCTGAAATTAATTAAATTACATAATCAGTTGATACATAATGAAACTGGAACTTTTCTCCCTTAAGGTGAGCATCCTGGACAGAAGCCTGCTTTGTCCTGTTAACTGTAATCTATTATTATTATAATTATTATTATTATTATTATTATTATTAATAAACAAAAGTGAAAACTGGACCATCTATTACAGATAATTATTTGGTACAAAGAATCCTAAACAGTAATTATTGCTTCTCGTATCCCAAAGCATTGTTTGTTTTTATTCTGTTAGTCTTTAGTAAATCTTTCAGAGGTACATTACTGGATTTATTAATATAATCTGGTCTAATATAATGTAATATAATCTCATATGTGTCACTTTTGAATTAATTAATTAATTATTCTATGTATATATATTTCTTCTGCTGGTATAACGTGACTTTTTTACATTTATAAAACTTTTATTGGATCTTATCTGTGGTTCACTAAACTCACAGTCCCTATTTCCCACAGCACCTGAAGGCAGCAACACTTCCAGTGTGTGTGGAGTACTATTTCAGCGTTGGCGCTTCCATGAGTCCATCCTGTTCTATTTATTGTGAAAATCCCCCTCTGTCCTAAATTAATATGTTAATACATTAACTCTTAAAGCACCAGTCTAAACATTTACTACCTCAAATGCAGCAGGAGGTCACATCAAAATACTTAAAATCTAGTGAAATCCTTTTAAAAATACAGTTTTTTATTGTGATTATTGAACTGTGCACAAACAGCAGATTAGCCTGCTGTAATTCAATAAATGAGGTATTTATGGACGCTTTATTTCTGCCACTCAGACTGTCAGTGAGTACAATGATATTGATCTGTTTCGACAGTCTGGTTGAGCAGTAAAGCCTCTCACTGGGGCATAAATCCCATCTAATAATGCAAAGAATACATATAATTAATATTCATGGTACAGATTTTTGGATTTACTCTGAATGTAAAATGATGAATCATTTAAAAGGGGGCCAATAACGACCACTCTCATAGCTGCAAAAAGGGGGTTTCTATCTTTGTACTGAATGTTTATGCAGTATCAATGTTATGTAATATGCATCCATAAGTAACCTTGTGCACGAGGTCAGAGAAAAGTGGATGTCACGCGCCCCCTGCTGTTTAAAGACAATCATTACAGCCTTTAAAAAAAAAAGAGGTGAGATATAAGAATATAGTATTTTTGTTTATGAGATTTTAAATAAACACTCAGAGCCAAACAGTCTTAAGAAGCAACAAACTGATTTTATGAACATGAATACTTTGTCGTTACAAAGACGCTGTTACATGAATCTTTCTTTTTCCTTTTTTTTTTTGGCAAAATAAGGGAAATTAACTTCGCCTCCATGTCAACCGAAAAACAAAAACAAACAAAAACAACAACAAAAAAAAAACGAGAAACATTTTGGTCCGGTACATGAAGCGATAATGTTTTTATACACATTTAAGTTATTCTGAAATTGCTTTTACATTCAGTAGCATCTCCTTTTAGCCCTCTAAGCGCATGCAGCCTAGGAGTAGACAACATAAGATTTATCCTTCAAAATGGAAACCTGACAAACAAACAAACAAACAAGAAAACAAAAAGAAACAGTGACGAATGCAAAACATGTTCCACACACACTCTACTACAGAGAAAAAGCCCGTCAACTCTAATTCACGTGCATCAGGAGGCTGTTAAGGCTGTTATAACCATCTGCAGGAACTCGTGATGCAACCGGCTTTTCCTTTGGACATCTCAGAGTTTGTTTGTTTTTTTTCAAAGAAGACAACGCTGACGTAATTACCGGCGGGCTGTTGGTTTTTTTTCTTTTTGCACTTTTAAGCAGGAGATGAAAGCAAAATAGCAGCAGCAGCGACGTATGTGTGTGTCTGTGTGTGTGTGTGTTGTCATATAAGTGTGTATTTCTGCAAAAATCATAGAGGCGTAATTTTACTCGCGACTCCCACAGAGCCCTGAGGTGGCGTCTACTGGCACACAAACACCTTCTGACATATTGACAGCAAGGGGGGGCGGGGGAACACTCTCATACACACATCATTTCATAATTACATTCACACATTTTTTTTTTCCTCCACAAACACGTAAACACAGACGAGAGGAGAGAGAGAGAGAGAGAGAGAGAGAGAGAGAGGAGAGAGGAGGGAGGTGGGGGTCAAACACCTCCCCTCCAGAGGGTGAAAATACTCCAAAGGCATTGAAATGGCAGCGACTCCTCAAGTTCACTTCACTCCCTCGGTTCCCAGAGATGGATGGGTGGGTGACGTAAGGGGAAGGGGGCAGTGTGTGTGTGTGTGTGTGTGTGTGTGTGAGGGGGGGTCAGATGAAAGGATTTCGCGACGTCCCTCGACTGGGGTAAACATTCCCCTGAAAGACAAGAGAGGCAGGGTGAGAACAAGCGGAGAGGACTTTACAACACTTCCTGTAGTTTGCAGAAAAAAAGAGAACTTGCAAAAAATACCAATGAGCCCTCCTTCCTCCCTCCCTCCCTCCCTCCCTCCCTCTCTCTATTTCATCACCCTGAAGTGCACTTGGTGCCACTTGTAGCGAGCGTTCACTCACCGTAAACGGGTTCACCGACATCGGCCGAGGGACTTTGGGCTGAGAGTCGGACGCAGGGAAGGAGGCAAAACCTGAAACGCACGCACGTAACATGACAGGGAAAAAAACATGTGAAGACGGCACTGAAACAAGAAACCGCAGATGAGAACATGAGCCGCAGTGCCAGCAGGAGCCAGCAGGAGCCAGCAGGAGCCAGCAGCAGCTCTACACTCTCAGTGTGTGAATTGGTATTCCTGAACTGCTGCTACTGGTCACTGTTGAAATAATGAAACATCTATAGTGTGTTGGTGCCTCACAGCTCTTCAGTGTTTGATCTGCAGCCAGTGCACATACAGTACATGTCACACTGGCAGCCACAGCTGCAGTATATGTGTGTGTGTGCAAGGTTTTCAGTATGTGTGCCGTCATATAGCCACAGGAATAAAATGTTATGATATTCAATGTCAGTCGGTGCAGACTGACACATACACCAATTGTTCCCAGATGATGTATTCTAATGACTTTTGTGATCGGCTGACTTTTCTTTTAGAGACACCACGAGGTTGAAAAATGTGATTTTGATTGAAATATCTCAACAACTGCTGGATGGATTGTCATTGAAGATCCTCACAGGATATATTGTGATCATTTTGGTCATCCTCATCCACCACTTAAATGAAACTGAAGAGTACACTGACTGATTATAAAACACACTTTACCGTTGGCTTCCTGGTTGCTGGCTGACTCATGAGGAAATGCATTCTGGGTGGTGGGTGCTGGAAAGGAGGCAGACGAAGGAAATACGGAGGTGGGCGAGGTGACAAACGCACTGGAGTCGCCTGGAAAAAAGATACACCCACATACAGTGAGATCAGATACAGCCAGTATATTGTACATATATACAGTATATATATATTATTATATCAGTATTGAAGTGTGTTTTATTCTCCTCTGTAGCATTAAGGCGACTCTCGTGTCAAATGTCAAATAATTGTGAAAAATATCCGTAGATAACGTCTCCTGCTGTCTTTTTTTGTCCGACCAACAGTCCAAAACCCAAGGATATTCAATTTAAATTAATAAAAAGCTGAAACCAGCCAATATTTGCCATATTTGTTTGACTAAGCAACTTAAATAATTGATCTATTATCTAAATTCCTGCCATTTCATTTTTCCTACTCGACTAATCAGTTAAGGAAATGATTGTTTTAAACTCTGAAGACTTTCTTCTGGATTGTAATCTGTATTTTAAGAATAATAAAGCTTCTGGATTATGTCATTCTGCAAAGTAATCCCAGAGACACAAACCCTATCTACAAATCTCTAAAACAGAACCACATCTTCTCATGATAAAGTCAACGTATTCATCATCATCTTTTTTTAAAAACTAAAGTTAAATTAAGTTACATGGTCAGGGTCGGGGTCAGGGTTAAAGCCCCGAAGATAAAACGTGTGTAGCGACCTTTTTCCATGTAAAAAAGCTGCAGAAGGAAGTAGCAGAGTAATGACTTAAGGCCCCTGAACAAGAGTCTCACCTCCTGATGCGTTGCTGAAGGGGTTACTGGGGGAGAGGGCAACAGGCTGCTGGGAGCTGGAGCTGAATGGGTTGGGGAAATCTGAGACGCACAGGGAGAGAGGGGGAGATAATTCACAGTGTGTGGTGGTACATTCCTGTCTATTCAAACCAACGAGGCTCTGAGTCACACACTTGCTGCTTAATTAGAGGTGTTGGATGGCTTTAAAGATGAAGGAGCTGAGTGTAAATATGGTGCAGGTTAGCAGTTCGTGCTTGGTACCTACTTGCAAAGGTCTGGGAGCCGGAGACCGTATCAACACCGGGGGAACTGAGGACAAGCAGAAAAACGGACAATCAATGAGAAAGTGACCTTTAAAGTGGCTCCACGCGCAGGAAATTTAAAAATCTATCATGTTAAACAAAAGCTGATGTGACAAGAGTTTTTTTTTGTCTCTACCTGGCAGGAGTAGAGCTGGACGAGAGCCTGCTGCCGAAGATGGCGTTGTACTGCGGAGGACCACCAGGTGGAGCTGTAAACAGGCATTACACACAGACCAGGACATAACCTCAGGGCTCTAATGAGAGCTAATTTAAGACATCAAGTGCTACTATCATCTTGAAATGTGTGTAAAAAAAAAAATCTCACAAAGAGTTCAAACTCTTGATCTTAAGCATGTAAGTCATCAGAGAAGAAAAGCATTACAAATCCCCTGAATTAAATATCGTCTCTGTGTTCAGCTTGATATGAATCAAACTAGGCCGGAGCAGAAAATCAATAACCTCATTACTCTGCCAAGCAGGGGAGGAGGCCGCGATGAAGGTGGAGAACAACAACGCTTCTTGTAGAAAGCTCGAAGGGCATTCAATTTATAAAAAAAATTAAAAAAAAAAAAAAAAAAATGTATCAACAGGGTGAATCCTACCTGCATTACAAACACAATGAACATAATTCAGCTGCTGAAAGCCTTGGCATTTGGAGTAAGGATGTTATGCAACCTAGTTGAGCTGGCCATAACAATCTGCATCACACGCACACTCCAACTCTCTGCTTCTCTATCTGTTACCTAGTGGTGAAAGAAGTACTCCTTCACTGCAGTGGAAGTGCCAGTGTAAAAAATACTCTGTTTGGGACTCAAACTGTTAATAAAATGAAGCCACCTCAGATGTTTGGAGGGAAATCAATCACCAATCTTTGGTGACACTGAGCTCCAACTTCATGCTGCTATTTCACAAGGGAACAGCTGGTTTAATCTTTAACAGTGTGTTGTATTTTATCAGCTTATCATGTGTTTTAGTCTGAAAAGTAACAGATGCATCTGTTTAGTGGCGTTGTACTGGAGTAAAAGTGGCATCAAATGGAAATGCTTAAATAAAGTGCAAGTACCTCAAAACTTTACTTAAGTACAGTGTTTAAAACATTAAAGGCGTCTTTGTTCCCCACCTGTGGCTGAGGATGTGTCGGAGAAGACGCTGTCCAGCTGTAACACTGCAGCGTATCTGTCCTGGGCGTTGGAGCTGCTGACTGGCGGCGTCGTCTGGCCAACACTTCCAGGTTGCTGATGATGCTGCTGGGACAGAGACTGGGGCAGAGGCTGCGCCTGAGGATGGCTCAGACCTCCAAAGTCGACGCTGAGAGACTTGGGGAAGGCCCTAAAGGGTCCCGTGGCCCCCGAGGCCGATATTGTACGACCTGAGAGCGACAAAACCGGGCTGAGCGTCAGTGCAAAGACAGATGAGCGTCAACTTATTCATAACTGATTTACTCTCTCGTATTAAAGTGATAAAATAATCTAATTATATAAAGTGACTTATCGTTGAATTTCTATTTAAATTAAAGCAACTTAGTAAATACATAATTAAGGAGTTATATTACAAAGCAAGACTGAAACACAATCATATCACGTGGAATTGTTCAAATCTTGATTGAACCTCTCAATGACCCCCACAAGGTCCATTTAGTAGCAGTTCTGTAGGTTTCTATCATATCACTTGATCATCATCAGCTGATGAAGTTGTCACAAGGTTGCAGATGATAACATTTCTGAGCATGTTAAGAACTTCTAGGTTCAATGTTTTAAACCTGGGAAACAGCAGTTTTACCTAAAAGTCCATTTAGTAGGTGTTCTGGAGCTTTTGATCACTTCAGTTTTCAGGACACAGCGGATAAGAAGTTCTTAAAGTGCCCAGAAAACTTTTTAACTTCTGCTAAAGATCTCACGATACAATTGAAAACTACTAAACAACTACAGACTAAGACTGAAACAAATTCAGGAATACTGTTTATCAAACTAACTCCAGATCAATTCATGGACATTAATCAGATTCTAGCACATATTGTTCTGTACAATGTAGAAATAATATTATTATTGATGTGGACAAATACAAGCAAAACCACATAAAACAATCCATACACTACCTAAAACAAAGCCAATTGTCTCATGCTAGTTTAACATTTTCATGCTTTGAGGCTTCTCAAATGCAGGATCAGTTTGACATATAAAGTGGCATGAACAGTCATCGCGGTTAAGCATTAACAAAGAAAAAATCGAAAGGCACAGCAGCGAGCCAACAAGTTCTTGGAGAGTATTCAAAGCACCAACCACAAAAATACAATTGTTATACGGTAACAAAGGCAGGAAACTACGATTAACATCTTTGCAGGTAGCAAGCTTTCCACAAAACATTAGCCACAGAGCATGCTAGTATCAGCCAAAGTTGTTAGCATGGGGATACAACTGAAGCGGGTGTTACAGCTTGTTTTCCTCTACTGAGGAGTCAGTGACAGAGACCAGACCAAACTTGATGCAGGTTATCTGAAGATATAAAGCATGCCAAAGTCAAGCTGCATGTTTTTGGGATGTGATCATACACCACTGCGGGGGCTGGAGATATGGGCCTATCTCTGCAAACATACCTGAACTATCTAGAATACTTGGTTGGGATGTTAATGTGTGTTGTGGGATTACAGCTGCGCCCTACATAGTTTTTAAGTGCTTCAACACCAACGTGGTGCGAAATATCAGCGGCCCTCTGCTGACGGGTGCAGCAGCAGCTACGGCCTAAAAATAGCATTACTTTAAACTTGTTCTTTTTCCTCTGAGGGAACAGTGTGTGTGTGCGCCTCTCCTTGACCCTCCCAGCCTTCAGATCTGGGCTTTGAAGTGGGAAACCTGACTGATGAAGAAAAATATCGACCCCATTTGCGGCATGTGACACTGGCCAGCCGTGACTCGGGTGGCTAAATGAATATAAAGTGCCGTGTCTCCCCTCTAAAATAAAGCCAAATCCACATGCACGTGAGCCACGGTCAGCGCCGGCACGGCAACACAGTTTTATAATGAATGATACAGCAAGGAAGAGCTTATTGATCTCAGCCATTCAGCACACACTCAAATGCATCAGTTGGTGCTGTGTCTTACCTAAAGTGAAGTGGTTTTTGAAAGAGCTACTGGCTATGAGGTCGGGGGAAGAGACGAGAGCGAGATAAGACAGACAGAGACAGAAAAGAAAGAGGGATAAAGGAGTGGATAAAAGAGAGGAGAAACTGTCACTGACGTCACACGAAACTGTTGTTCCTGCTGGTGTCTGCAGCCAGCCGAATTTAACTTTTCATTAAAAAAGCAACGCAGTGTTCTACGATGATAACGAGGAGCCATTTTAAACCCACATGATATGGTAGGGGGAAAAAAAACACTGACAAGCTTAAAATTACGACCGCAAGCGAAGTAGTTTCTCTCTCTCTTTGTCTTTTCCCCCAAAGTGACGCTTGGAGCCAACAGTGATGAGCGGGACGGCGTCATCAGTGAGAATCAGTGAAAATATTCAACAATCTGCACATTCTGGGCAGCACATGGACACTATGCACTGCCAGATTGTACAGCTAGAGCCCCGCAGAACAGTACAGGAAAGGGTAAAGTATCTATTTTTACAAGACGATCCATGTAGCTGCCTCACTTTAGGATAAAAGGTGCAACAGAAGGAGGAATTGGGCTCACAAATATTGGAAACATAATGGTAGTAAGCATGTTTGTTTTGTATATTCGTCATCAATATGCAAAAGACACAGGCTAATACAGTATATGTAACATTACACTCATCTAAATAACAGTATTTTCTCTTTCCTCTAGCTTTTCTGATTGAGAATTTGTGAGTAGGCTGATGCCGAAAACACTTTCCAGTTCGATTGAGACCAAGAAGGAACAGAAAAACGAGGGTGCTGGTGAGGGACACACCTGAGGGCCGTGGGAGGGCGGGGAATGAGGGCGCGTGGCTCTGAGCTCCCAGCGCTGACGACAGGGAGCCTGGCCGCTGTCGTTCTATCCCACACATTGTGGGATCTGTGTCAGGGACAGACAACACACAAAGAGAAAGCACAAACAGGTGAAGGGATCGATCACATTCAGGCCTAAAATATCTACTCCTCCGATAAAGATCGGCCTCCGACCTTTCAGAGGGGGGTCTCTGAAGCTTTGGGAGCGCGACGGCCGAGCGGTGAACACATCCGTCCGCATGTCGGCGGGGGAGATCGCAGGAGCTCGATCCCATGGCGGCAGCTGGGACTGAGACTGCAGGACAAGGACATAGAAAGGAAAGAGAAAAGAAGCAGATGGGAGGTAGAAGGAGAGAAACAAAAGGCAGAAGAAGTGAGTCTCTTTCATGCTTTCTCAATAATTCATAAGCAGCAGCTTTGATGTCGAGGCTACCTGGGCCTCTCACCGTCCGACCCATCAGTCTCTGTCTCTCTGCAGCCGTGTGGAAGTGAATTCAGGTAGTTTCTTCACCTTCTATTCTCTTCTTCTTCTTCTTTTTTGGACACTCTTTGAGCTACTTGTCTCTTTTCCACTTCCTCTTTTTTCTTTCCGCACCAACCCACTTTCTCTCTTGAATCCTCATTCTCTCACTTTCACTCCTCATTTAACTCTGTTACTCTCTCAAGCCATTACTTGCACAAACAGGGACACATTAAGCTCTCTCTCACCAGCGGCCTCGTGGACCTGGCGTTGGGGGGCAGGTTATGGGAGGGGGCCTGGTTCGCTAAGGGACCATGGGAAGGGGGCACGGCCTGGACCCCTGGGCTCCAAGGACCCTCGACATCCCTCCGGTTCTTACTTTTGGAAAAATGCCTGAAAGAGATTATTTGATCCCGTTAAAATGAGTCTGTGTGACTAACTTGACATTTAGTCAGTTATCCAACTATCAAACATGACAAAGAACATTTCTAGGGCCTTGAAACTAAACCCAAAAACTAGACTGCTCTTTCATTCCCAGCATGAAGGCAGCTCTTATCCTTGAGCTAATTCTGAGTAGGCGTCCGCATTTCAAACAGGGAATGTCTAAATTTGGAACAAACGTCATCAATTGTTGTTTGGATCTAATTTTGCCCTGTTGTGCCCTTTTGGTTACTCTGAGTCTGCAGCCATGCTAGCAGCTATGTGGAGCAGCACTGAGGCACAGTGGTGCTATGAGCTAAATGCTAACATGCTCACAACAATAATAATAATAAACTTTATTTGCATAGCTATTTTCCCTTAAGTGATGTTTAGGACATTCACCATCTTAATTTAGCATGTTAGCACTGAACAATACATCTGAGGCTCCTGGGAATTACATTGGTTCTGCAGGTATTTGGTCATTAGTGGAAGTTTTGGACAAACTTTTAGTTTGACGTCATAAATGAAACACACTGTAAATATGAGTGGACGAGAGCACTACATGAAAGTCAGGGGATCAGCAAAGTCATTGGGATTCATCCTCTGGGGAACAAGAATATCTGTACAGAATTTGGTGCCAATTCATTCAGTAGTTGTTGAGATATTTCAGCTCGGACCGACAGACCAACATTTCTATCCCTACAGAAAAATCACTGGTTCCAACTTCTCAAATTTTGACAGTTTTAACTCTGTGAACTTAAGATTCCTGCCCTTTTAAACACCAAATTATAAAAAGATTAATAAATATAAACATTCGTTGCTGTCCGACTCACCTCTAATCCTTCACTACCACTGATCACATTAGTATGTTATGCTGCAGATGATGAAACCAAACTTCTCACCACTTTTTCTTCTCGTATTTGTCCTGTAGGAACTCTTTGAACTTCTGAGAATCCTTCATGTCGGAGCAACCGTCCGTCTTTGGGTCAAACACACAGAGCCAAGTCCTCCTGCCAACCTGAACACACACATAATGTCGGATAACAATTAAAATTTGTGACAATTTGGCCGGTCTTTTAGTCGCAAACAGATGTTCTCATCAGTGAGTCACGTCCGGTGGAAGAGTCAGAGTGCTGCAAATATTACTGCCCATGAATCATGACTGGCCAGATCACTCTTCAGAGGATGATGTGGACAAAAAGCTGGACGGTACACACACACACACACACACACACACACACACACACACACACACACACACACACAATCCCGGCCAACAGCGAGCTGATAAAAATGGTCGGCACTCATCTTGATAGCCTGAAACACTTCACCCTTTATTCGTGTGAGTGCTGCCCACGCCAGTGGTTCCCAAAACGGGTGCTGTTATTGAGCATTTTTAATAAAGTTTCACCAAATAATAGAAGAAAAAAAAAACACATGTTGTCATTTACATTAACTACATGTTTATATTTATGTTTACAAACATGACAAAAATTGAAGAAATAAGCTATAAACGTAAAAAAACGCATTTTAAAAACCATCTTCAAGCTCTCAGTGGTAGTCTTATTTTTGAGGCCAATATCGATATTTTATTCACAAAATAATTCTGTAACTATTATGATAATCGATTATTTGTTTAGGTAATAAAAATACTAAACATTTATTGATTCCACTCTTTACCTCATGTGACGGTGAACTGAATAATTTGGGGTTTTAGATGAAGACGTTACCCTGAAGTTTGTAAACATTTCATAAATCAAACTATTAATGGAGAAAATAATTGGGGGATTAATTGACAATAAAAATTATCTTTTTTTTAATGTAAATACACATAAAACATGTTTGATAAGGATCTATTACATTATTTTAAAGAGCTGTGTACTGAGTGGGTCCATTATGCAGTTATGAAGGTGTCCTGGTTTTAAAGAACTTGGGAACCACTAGCCTTTACACACACACACACACACACACACACACACACACACACACACACACACACACACACACACCGTACAGAGGAAATAGATGGTGGTTTGGGTGGGACAGACAGTGCTGGCCCTTTTGTTTCTTGGCACCGCGTGAGCTGGGCAGCAGCATTCTTCCCAAAAAAACCTCGACCACAAAGACTGGTTCCACTGGTAGCCACGAGGGACGTTTTATGTAGTCCGTATCAGAACCAGAGGAACAACGCGGACCAACGAGCCGCTGCTCCTCGGGTGACGTTACAAGTGATAATGTGAGAAAAAACATATTTAAATGCTTTTTTTTTTTTTTTTGGTCACTAAAAAGTGAACTACAGGTGACCGTAACTCACCTCGTTGCCATGGTTTTGGAGGAATTCCACTTCCTGTTGGGAGAAGGTTGTCATGGAGATAGACTTGACTCTATGGGGAGGGTTGAGGCCTCTCCTGGGACACAGAGGAGAGATGGAGAGAGGGGATTTGACAGTAAATAAGGCAGAAAATCTAAATAAGAAAAAAGGAAAGATTGTGTGGGTTTCCATTCCTCCTCTGAGACGGGACAAAGGTGGACAGAGCAGGTGGGAGAGGACACATCTGACACGTGACTGTGAATTTAAGGACAGGACTGGTGTAAGATAGAGGCGCTCCCCACACACACACACACACACACTCATACACACACCTTTGTGACAGAGGAAACGTTTGTTTTCAGTAACTAGAACCTCTTATATCTCCATGCGAGGGGGGTTGGTTGGTGGAGAGTGGGGGGGGCACAAAGTGGGACACTGCTGCACATGTGCAGGATTGCGCAATAAAGTGCTGAAACCGTCTTCCTGAGGAGTGTTGGGACTGGACTGAACATGCAGAACAAAATGTGACAGCACACACACACACACATACACACACAAGCGCGCCTACACTGGAGAGGAGCCTAAAGAGAGAGAGAGAGAGAGAGAGAGAGAGAGAGAGAGAGAGAGAGAGAGGGTAGTGTCAAACCTGCACCATGACGAAATGAACCGTAACTCAGAGCTGGCACATGACCAACTAGCGGTCTGTCGTTTATGAAGCTGTTGGAAGAAACGCACGGGAGAGAAAGAGAGAGGTGGACACTGCGTAAATTAATTTGTGCACACAGACCCTCCTCCCCTCACCCTTCCACCCCTCGACACCCCTACCGACCCCCCCGGCTGGCTGTTGCACCGCACACACACACAAAAAAAAAACCATAAGAAATAACCCCGTGAAATAAATCCGGGCTCTGGGTGGTGCGTGGTGCAATCTCAGGCCTGGCACTTACTCCGCTGGTTCTGTCACTGTGTGTTTTTGTCCTCCACACTGATGCTGAAATGTGCAGGGAATAGACAACCACCGAGAGGGAGGCGCGGCAGGTTATTTTATTATGGTTATTATTAAACTCACAGCATTCCGGAGCACGACGTGCAGACGAAGCTGCCCACCGTGATGTCGGTGTAAGTCACCCCGGGCTGGTTGCACTCGAAGCAGTGTTTGTTTACTCCAGACTGGGCCAGCTCACGGACCTTGCGGGCGCAGATCTCCTGGTTGTCCCGGTGCTTTCGGTTCGACATTTTATTCCTCCCGGTGCCTGGCGCACAGGCTCGGTTGTGAAGCCGGTGACCCTCCCTCCTCAAAGCCCCTCCGTTTTTTTTTTTAACTACATGGAGGCTCCTCACGCCCGCATTGTGAAAAAAACGGCGTTTATGCGGCTTCAACCCCTCAATGCGAGACTGCACGGGAGGAGAGAGTCAAGTCGCACAGAGAGAGCCGCAGGTGCACCGGAAACACTACAGATTCTCCTTCAAAGTAAGAGCGAATAACAGGTGACGCTTCAGATAACGGTGAGATTAACTTTTAGGTGGCCCTGTTCCTTTAAAAAATGTGTTCCAATATAGCCACTGGTTACCTCATCAAACTGTTAGTTAGTAGGTCAAGGTATTTTCCAGTATCTCTCTCTATCTCTGTGTATTCTGTGATTCAGCTGTTTTCAGAGTGCTTTGGCAGAAAGACGCTGAGAAAAGAAGGAAAAATCATCTTTTTTAAAAGATTTAAAATGTATTGTTGACCCTAGAAAGACTGCAGATGACACAACACTACAAGGTCCACTTGTGGCTTTAGCAGCTGGTTTTTTTTTTTGGAGCTTTTTGAATATCACATGATGATTAATAGCAGATGGAGATTTTTGCCAGGTTGTCATGGAGATGTAAAATTTCCATTTTGGCTTAAATGTGTGACACTGAATTGTCATCTGTTGAGGAAGATCATGTGATACAGTCGAAAGCGCCACAAAAATCTCATCTTGTGACTCTTCTGTTTATTTGTTTGTTTATTAAAAAAAGGCCTGTTTATGATTTATGACCCTGAAGACATTTGATTCATTGAAATCTAGTCTTTAATGCTTTTATTTGACAGCTGACAGAGAAGAAATGACAGGAAGTGGGGGGAGGAAGAGATGGGGAGGAAGAGATGAGGTTGTTGTCCTGACATGAACCAAGGATGTTGAGGTTTTATGGTCAGTGCTTTAACCCCTGAGTCACCAGAGCGAGCCCTAAAATCTAGTCCTGATACTTATTGGAGCTGATACCATAGTTTGCTTACATCAGTGGTTCCCAATCTGGGGGTCGGGACCCCCACTAGGGGCTGGCAAAGCTCCTCAGGGGGGCCTTCTTGATTTTAAAGCATGTAAGAAAACTAGATGACAATATACGCAATAGGCCACAATATCAGCATTTGGTTCGAGTCTGTGAAGAAATGTAAATGTAAAGTGTCTAATAGAGCAATGGTCAAGTGTCAGGGACAAGAAAACACTGAATATGTCCAAAAAGAAGCTTAGTAAGTGTGTATGATTGTTAACAATGATTAAAAAGCATAATACAGACAGAGAATTGTATAAAAAAAATTCCCTACACAGGAAATAATCAGCTGAAAATTCATACAAATGACTCATTAGACACGTTTCTTGCAGTTAGCTCACTGTTTGGGTTAATCGTATAGTTTTAATTATAATGTGAAATATCCATAAAATATATGTCACTTAGTCAGGGGTCATCAGTTAATAAATGATAGACAACTGGCTTATATGGTGCATGTTAAAGTGATCAAAGGGTTAATCGGCCTGGACCCTCGAGTATTTTAATGAGTGGGATACAGTTGATATTCAGCTCATTTTTATTTTCTGTACCTTTAACAAAGCTGTAATGGATGAGCTGTCAAAAGGTGCAATATTTGTATTCTATCCAAATACAAGCCTATATTCATTGTTTTCAAAGAGCCTACTAGTGTTTTAATACCAGCTGGGCCTTTAATTTGAAAATCCTGTGATACCTGTAACTCTGTGTGGTTTGACTCTTGGACAGATGCGAAGGGAATCTCCTGTCACAGACAAATACGAACCTGTCGAGCAGCCAAGTTAAACAAAAAAAACAAATCAAAAACAACACAAAAAAAAAAACACCCTAAACGTTTTATGAGCCTTCAGAAGCGACAGTCTGCCCTGAGTGTCTGACTGACAGTGTCTGCGCCCCTCGTGTGCGCCATTTACGCACACGCCCCCGTTTTTTGGCGCAGCGCTGCGCTCCTGACGCTCCGGCGCGCTCTGGAAAGAAGACCGATTATTTTAAAGGGAGCTCAGATAAGAACAGCTGGGCGAAGGGAAGACACAGTGAAGCTCTTTTGGTGAATACATATCGGTAAAGTTTATACAAAGTTAACTGAGTTCTGTCGTACTTTACATAAACTGATCTACAGTTTGTTTCTCTTTCTTTTTAAACCTGTTTTTCTTGCCCATCATACAAATATTCCCACGGCATCATCATTTTAAATACAGGTTATTACCAGAAAGCTTGATTGTCATCCCCGTGCTATTTATTTTGATGAAGCAACTTAGCAACACAACAGACCCAACTACGCCCTTTTCTCTGACGTCTGTGAAGATATGTGTGAGATTTGCACTCACTGGCACAGAGACAGAAACACTCTTATCCGTTATCGGTGGTCAGTGAACGCATCACGGCGCTGAGATCGTCTGATAGACAGACTCACAGTGGCGGGGGGGACAAATCTGCAACATGAACCAAAGTGAAAGAAGAAAAGCAACAAAACAGAGAGATTGTTTTCAGATGAGCTCTTCGGACCCTGCAGTGACTGTTTGTGATCAGCAGGGGGGGGCACTCACACCATGAGATAGATAGATAGGTAGGTAGGTAGGTAGATAGATAGATAGATAGATAGATAGATAGATATTTGTTATGTTTGTGTATTGCAACACATAGCAGATGAGCCTGATGAGCCGCTGTAATTACACTACCCTGCTCAGCAGTCAACCACAGTCTTTACTGTCTGACTGCAGCAGCCTGTTTTGGTGGTGATGATGACAAAGTGCAGATAGGTTATTTAATGTTGCCCAAGACGTTGAGGTGTTTTTGGGAAGATCTGTGAATTATGGAAGTCCCTTTTTTACCAGAAAAACAAACAAACCCATACCTACTCATGGTAAGTTGTGACTTACTGAATCAAATAAAGGTATTGATACTAAGTCAATGCTTGGTGTTGCATATTATCGCATATATATTTAGATTTCTTTTCATGCCCGGCCGCTTCCAGCTCTAAAGAGGGCTTGGCATCTCATATTTCTGACTTAGCAAGAGCTGTGGGAGGAACACAAATTAAACGTCCAACAAGAGTGGAGCTGCCAGTGTGGAACATTAAAACCAAGAGTATTCAGGATTTTTCTTGCCAGGCTGCGACTATCTGCGCCAACAGGGTTTTAATATCTCATATATGACTTAGTAAGTCTTAGTTTTGACTTTCTGTCTCATAACTTGTACATACCAACTCATAATCTTGACTTAATATCTCAGATTTCATCATTTTTAACATATTTACACACTACTTTTGAATCACTCTCTCATAACTTTGACCTACCATGAGTTATTTTTAAACTGGTTTCTCCTTTTATTTTGGCAGGGGTGGACTTCCATATAAAAATGTATTCACAGACAGAGGGTGGTTTATAAAGGCAGCCTTCTTCAAACCTCAACAAAAGCAACAAGAGACAAGGTTGTCAGACAAGAATACACACCCAGTCTCTGCATGTCACTTCACTGAAACTGAAAAAGTCGAACTGGGGAAACCAAACGAGGGGGAGAAAACCTCCACATGGCCCTTATGTACTGTATGCAGTCATAATATCTAATACCAGAGTTGGATTATAGGTAATTACCTCCATATTTGCATATGATGCAACGAAGCACAGGAGAAGAAGTCTCAAATATATATTAGGGACTTTTTTTTTTTAAAGTCTCACCTCTCATTTTGTACAGTTTCCTACTTCAAAACCACAATTTGCCATGAGTAAGAAACCCGGAAATAGTGAGAGGGGGTTGGACCTCGTGTGTGTGTGTGTGTGTGTGTGTGAGAGAGAGAGAGAGAGAGAGAGAGAGAGAGAGAGAGAGAGAGAGAGAGAGAGAGACTACTCCAGTCGGCACCCTTGGGAAGAAACATCCAATCCACCGGCTGCCATCTGATTTTGCTCTTATTCGTTTGGGAATATCGATCCGCACTGAGCAATAAGGGACTACTTTATCCAAGAGGAAACTTCGCGTCCGTCTGTAGGTCAGCAGCATCCTCTCCTCAGGCGCGCGCTCTTAAAAAACCCGGATAAAATGGTAATAAGGCGACTAACATCCCCCTGCGTTCATTCATAAGTGGTGACAAGTCGTCTTATTTGGCTCGGATGCGCGTCGGAGGAGGTTTCAGGCGGTCTCCCTTCAGCGCAGGGGAGAAGTGAACAGGACGAGCTCGCCGGAGGAATACAAATTATAGTTGTGAAAGACAGAAAAAAAAAAAAAAAAACCGTCCAACAAGAAGAATGAGTCGAGCTGCCGGTGTGGAGCGTTAAACACCAGAGATTTCGTTTTTTTTAATTTGTTGTTCTTATTGCCAGGCTGCTTTTTGTTTCCAGCCACCGAGAGGATTCAAATAATTCCAGTGTTGTTGTAGTTTTGTGTGATCTGCAAACAAAACGGAGGCATGACAGTCAAGCTGGACTTTGAGGAGTGTTTGAAAGACTCTCCGCGCTTCAGGTAAGAGTTTCACCTGTGCTTTGGTCCTGATCATGTAAAAAAAAAAGAGAGGGAGGGAGAGAGAGCCTGGGCTCTGAGTCCCCCCTGCAAAACACCAAAAATGTGTTAAAATTGGGCTAGAAAAAGTGGATAAACCTCATTATACTGATTAAAAACCAATATATACTTAAATATTCTCACATTGGTGGTCAAAAAAAGTTCATTTTAATGCATTTAATGTTTCTTAATGAGTTCATCTGAAGTGCCAACCACCAGCAGTCTGAGGTCAAACCATGTCATGTCACTGCAAGTGTTGGGGTCAATAAAGGGAAGGAGGCCTGCAGGGCTGAAAACAACTCATCTGAAGTCTGATGTTGCTGCTCTGGGCTGCATTTTGATGTGTCATTGAAACCCCGGAAGCTTATATTTGCATCTTTTTCTTCTTATTCTGCCCCCTTTTCTGAGATGTATTAACACACACAAACTTTCTTGACATCACCCACGCGAAGATCTACTTACTAGCTCATTTTAAGCCTTTAAAAACCCTCATTAAAAAGCCTCTAAAGTAGCTCAGTGTAGCTCTTCTGCATGTCAGACAAGAGTCCTCAATCAATTGTCTTTCAACACAGCGCCAGCATCTGGTGTAATCAAAAGGGAAGTGTCGCTAAATTGGTTTTGCAAGCAGCTCAAGAGAGAGTTTGGCAGAACTTGGGTGTGCCCTGCTCTGATGGTTTTTTGGCATCCTGCCTGAGTCACAGTGGCTGGTGTCGTCTCAGCTGATTTGGCATATTTCAATCCTGAACCTCAGCCTCCCTTTTTTTCCCCCCCTTTTCTCTGTTGCCCGTATTGAATTTATGAGGCTTGCACAGTGGTGGAAAGTTTGAGCTGTGGCAGCCGCAGCGGTGAGGGCTCGTGTCAGGCTGAGAGCAGAGGAAGGAACGAGGGGAAAGGGAAGGAAAAGGAATGGAGGCTCGAGTTATCACGCATATAATAGACACAGTCAATCAAACAGATAAAACAGAGAGAGAGAGAGTTTAAAAAAAGAAGAAGAAAACTGCACTGACAGCTCGGGACAGCCTGCTGCCTCCTGTTGCTAGGTAACGGTGAGGTGGGAGGGCAACAGGAAGTGAGGCGAGATGTGTCGAGGTGATCAACAGGAGAGACAGGAAGTGTGTTTTCTGTGGGGAGAACCACGGCGGAAACTCATCTTCAGCTCCGTCTTTAATTTGCTTTCTGACTGTCGCTAACGAACCCAGAAAATGTGACACTAATTCAGACCGACGTTAGAAGTGTTGTGCCTCTTTAAACTGAGGAATCTCTTAATCTCCCTCCCCCCGTTGGCCTCCTGTTGGGTTTTTTTTTTTTCAAACTTTTCTTTCCTTCTCTCCTTAGCTGACTTGTCATTTGGTCGTATTTCAAGAGGACATGACCTCAGACTTTGATTTAAACATCCCCACACAAGCAAACACAGAAAACACAAACAGTTACTGTCTGACCGGGGCCCTCCTCTCCTCTCCTCTCTTCTCTTTCCGCTCTTGTCTCGCCTCTCTCTCTCTTGTCTTTTTTTTTTTTCTTTCTCTGTCTCCGTCTGTATCTGTACTGTTGGTGGAAGGCAGCGGAAACCACATGGTTGAGCTGTTGGTATGAGAAGACACGAGAGGCAGAGAGAGATACTGACTGTTAGGCCAATAACCCCAACAAACTCGCCACGCACAGGACCTCTAAAGGCGCTTTTGTGCATATTTGTGAGAGATGGGAAGGCCGGCTCTTGTCCTCAGAAACAGAACTTAAGGGAATTATTGCGTTACTGAGCACTGAATACTTACAAGAGGGCCCATTCTGCAGGCCTACACGCCGCCTCCTTGACCCAGTGTACACCTGGACTCTGTTCAGAAATGCTTTTTTAAAAAACATTAGTTAAAAAATAACAGAATTATAGTACAGAAAGATGCACAGGGATTTTCCACTTCATGTGATGATGCAGCCATGAAGGCTTCACTGAGGCAATAAAACAACATAATACACGGTGTTGTTTGTGTATGTTTTTGAAAGTCTGAGGGGAAATGTTTTATAGGGGTAAATGAAAAGTTAACATATGAACATTAAAGTTGAGGTAGAGGCATTATTTGAACCCTGACGACCAGAAATATGCAACAGAATTCTAAAATAAAGTGTAAAAAAAACATTTTAAAACTTTAATACTTTTCATGTGTGTATTCTTCTTAATTACACAGTGTTGTTTTTGATCTGCTGATTGTATTTTCAATCTATTGGTTGCTTTATTTCTTTATTTAGGGACGATGCACATTAATAAATATGGCTGTAAATGTGCAAAATAAGGGCTTTTTTTTTCACCTGTTCCTGGACGGGTGTTACATAGTTACTCTAAAAAAAGGAATACAAACTTACTTTTTTTTAAGTAACTGGGGAAGTTTGTAAGCCCATAGTTCAAATAACGAAAAGAGAATATCACAGTTCGTAACTAGAAAGGCGATAGGAGAGCATAATAGTCCGGTTTTATGCAATCCTACACACCATTCACTTTAATTATGAAGAGCCAGAAAATCCAGTATTAATCCAGGAAAAATCCCATCCCTGATTGCTTATTTCTGACATTCCTGCTGCGTTTGTTTCTACGGTGATGTTAGATGTGGCTGTTACGTTGTGTTGTACATTTAGTCACAGGACACCATTCACTTTCATCACGACGGGTTCGTGCATGGGCGACGAATTTAAGTTATTTTTGCCGTAGGAAAGTAAAAAATACTTTGTGCATCCGCCACCGTGATTCAGATCGGCTCTACCTTGACCCATTCTACACCCACCAAGTATTCATGAAAACTAGGCACTTAGTTTTTCCACAGTCCTGCTGACATATAATCCCACAAGTGTTTCCTTAATGGCAGAAGTAAAGATATCATTATGTTACATTATTAGCTATAAATTAAAATACACAACATTCAAACCAAAGGAATGAGGAATATTGAGGTTCAGGTCTAAAATCTCAAAAGAGTTTTTAAATAATCCAAAAATATTACATTTACAGTGACAACAAGTGAACATTAGAGGAATTTGTAACCTGTGAATGTAATAAACAACAATTAATCCATCACTTAACATTTCTGTCAATACAGTTTCTGTCGATTTAATCGATTAATCAACTTTCAATTAATTAACTAATCATCTTGGTACTTTTGTCAGATTGACTAAATGTTTGGCTCTGATTTCTCTCCCTAACACGAATATTAGCACAGAAGGTTATTGTGTGTCATTTTAAGTTAAAGTGATTTTGTTTTACCCGTTTATGACTTTGTGTTATTTGTGTGTTTCAGAGCTGAAATCGAAGTCGTCCAAAACGATGTGAGTGAACTTGAGACACGATTAGACAAGGTGAGATACATGCATCTACACCTACGCACACTTTTTATAATATCGTACTGAGTCAGTGCTCTACTTTCAAAAACCTTCCCTCCAACACACACACTCACTCAAACACACACACACACTCAAACACTCAAACACAAACACGCACACAGTGTTGTCGGACAAACCCTCCCCATGTGAGGAGGCAGTGAAGTGAGAGGTGGGCGGTGGTGTTTGAGGTATGTTTCACCTGACAGCGAGCAGGAAGTAGCCGCAGGTGCTGCTTCCCCATCGTATTGTCCTACAACAGACAGAACTACTGTTGGTTCTGCTTTAATGCGATAACGTATATTCCCCATTGCGTGTTTGTGTTACAGTTTCAGATCTATTGATCTGATAGAGAGGTCACATGCTGCGTTTCTGTTCCTCGGTGATACTGAATGAGCTTGAGTCAAAACGCCACGTCACTGATGTGCATGAGTCCGCAGCAGGTTTCTACCTCTTGTTCAGTTTATCAAATAACAAACAACACTCAAGAAGTCCAAAACAAAGCACCTTGTTCACTTTCCCTGCGATGCATCATGTGGGGCAACAGGAAGATGCAGGGATTTAGAAAAAACTGGACTAACTGGGTTCAAATGCCTCAAGCAACTTTTATCTGATCTATGTGCCCTTGAGCAAATGAAAGCCGACACCTCACCAGCTCCAGTGCTCTGTAGCTGAACTCTGACCCTACTAAGAAAGGGAAAGAGAAATTCCTCTGCTTTCACGAGTAGCGTGCGTTTATTGAGATATTATAAGTACTTTAATCCGTTTTTTTTTTTCTGTTCTGCCGTGTTCTGATACCGTGGTATCACGCTGTAACATGCCCGGGCTGCAGACAGATAGCTTTTGGATAAACGTTTAAACTACGATGGAAGAGATAGTCGGATCTTTTAGTGTCGGTTAGAAGTAAAAGTCCTGTATTCAAGAGGTTCAAAATGTTACTTAAATGTTTTATGAGCAAATTATATTTTTATATTTTCCTTTGAAAACTACTGGCGATTTAAAATGCCATAAAAGGGAAATAGTCAGGTAAAGTACAAGTACCTCAGAATCGTACTTAATTCAGTAACTGATGTATTTAGTTGCCTTTAGAGAGGTGTGCTGCTGCCATGACGACATATCGATTTAGAAACCAAACAGACAACCTTTCAAGAGAGTTAACACACCACATTCTCCATGATGCCTTCAATGTCCCACTGGTATATCTGCTGCCGGCTCGGTAGAGGTGTAAAGTCTGCCATTCAGGAGACGATATCATATGTGCCCACTAACATAATTAACACATTAATTACATTAATGTTCATTTTTTTCTATCAGATCACAATAAAATTAAAGCATAAAGGTGTACAAGTTTTAATTCAAATGTAACGCTAACAGTAATACAAGAAGAGAGAAAGTCAGTAAACTAGCTAACGTTAGCCACCATAAGCTACTGGCTATACCAGAGTAGGCGAGGCCGAAACTGCAAAACCACTGTAGGCTATGTACTGAATCAAATAAGCGTGTTTGAAAAGAAGAAGTCAAAAGAATGTGTTAATTCTTCTTTTAAAAGTACATACAAGCCCAGTTTTAAAGCCCATTTCAACAAAGCTCTTTAAAAACGTCCCAGAAATAAGACTCTGATGTTGCTTCATGCCTGCTGGATGTGTAACTCTAACACGCTAACAACTGGGAGGGCTATGTTGCTGTTGTGTTTACAGCTTGTTCAGTAGCAATCAATTAATGTGGCTTTATGGTCTCCAGAGCAGATATAGTTTTACTGAAAGTGTTACTGTTGAAAATGTAATGCACGTAACTGTCGGTCTTTGTTACTAAATGGATAAAAAAATTTAAAATTTAAAAAAAAACACCTAAAACTCTGTTTGTGCAATAAAATGCAGCCCTGTAACATCCTGTACTGTTCTGGCTCTAATGAACTCCAGACAGTGTTTAACAGAAGCTTTAGGATATACTCACCATGCACAGTGATTACGCCCAATTATTGTAACCTCTAACTCTGTTTCATTGTCCTAATGTGTGGACTCCTGGAATAACTCCTCATTACGTCAAATTATTCATACCGATTATCACCGGCTTGTTAGTTCAACCTCAAGTGTCTTTCGTTTGAATGTTCGGGAGGAATTTGACCGTGATGTTGCACGTTTGTCTCGTCCAGCTTGTGAAACAATGCCAGGCGATGCTGGAGGCGGGCAGGGCCTACTGCCAGAGCAGCAAGAGCTTCGTCAACGGCCTCCGGGAGCTGGGACACCACTGCTCCGGGGACAAGATGATGGAGGTGAAAGGAGCACATGGGAGTTATTTATACACCTCTAATGTCATTTCCCACGATTATGTCACATTTATTCAAAGGAAGTGTTCGTTTATAACTTTTAAATATGTCTGGAAGGTTGTTTTGATTGATTAAACTGTCAAATTCTGCACTAATTATGAAACTAGGTGTTAAATATAAAGATAAACAACTTATATTGCTGTTAAAATATGATGAAATGCAGAGTCTAATTTAAGATGTCTGTCTTGCAGGAGTGTTTGGACAAATTTTCCAAAAAGCTGTCTGTCATCTTGGATGCACAGGGGGTGAGTCTGTCTGTCTGTCTGTCTGTCCAGGCCTTTGACTCACTGTCTTTGCACCACTGTGTCTGCAGTCTGTGGTCAAATGAGGCTGCAGCACACCGTTTGACATTCAACACTTATCTGTGCTCACAGTAATAGATGTGTCTCTGTCACCTTTTTCGCCTTTAGGAAGTGATTGAGACCACGCAGAAGTCAGTCAAGACGAAGCTGCAGACCTTTGTCAAAGAGTGAGTGAGCTGCTTGTTTGTTTCATCTAATCTTCTTGTTTCTGAGTGCCTCTCTCTCTCTCTCTCTCTCTCTCTCTCTCTCTCTCTCTCTCTCTCTCTCTCTCTCTCTCTCTCTCTCTCCCCCCACCAGCATTAGTATAATTCATACACTCGGCCACCTTCTTCAGACTGAGTCATTCCCCTGAATGTCTGCCAAGCATTAGCGCATGAAAAAAATATTAGAGGCTTATGATTCTTCATTTTCCTTCTCCTCGTACTCCTCGTCTTGCAGTCTGCTCTTATTAGTGGCCAGTGATACAGGGGATTAGATGAGAGAGGGGATGTCTCGGAGCATGTGACAATAGCGATTAGCTGGATTTTTAGCCATTTTGAATGTGGTTTAACCCTCTGAGCTGAGTCTGTTATCAAATGGCAAACAGGAGTGCATGAAAGCGGATACTCTTCTAGTAAGCTTTATCGAATGTAATACCACACTAAAAACAGTATTAATATACTATGGTGCAGTGTAATATCATGTGACAGAAAGAAATATAATGAGAAGAGTCTATTAAAATCCTACATAATGTTTATGCAAAACTGAAACAATGAAGTTGAAAATGTAAAAATGTATTGCATGGTGCTTCTATTCAAAGAAGCAATGAGCCCTTACAAGTAAATGATATAAATCTGCAGGTAAATAATAGAAGAAAACGTGACCAAACCTTCAAAAACAACCTGTAGTTTTCATTTAAAATAGCTTGTTAAGCTGACTCCCTATCTCACCAAAACTAATGTCACTAAGCACGACAATCCAACCAAATTTTCCTCCTTCCTTCCCGTTCTGTCTTCCAGGGACGTGCGTCGGTTCAAGGATGTGCGCAAGGAGTTTGAGCGCAGCAGCGAATGTCTGGAGGGGGCGCAGGGGAGGAACGCTCAGGCCCCACGGGGGAAACAACACGAAGTGGAGGAGGCGAGCAACGCTCTACTCAACGCACGGAAGGCCTTTCGGTCTGAGGCCCTGGATTACGTCCTGGAGGTGAGAAAGAAAGAAAATGCTGGATTTCCCCGATTTTTTCACTTTATCTCGAGCTACAGGAATAAAAGAGAGTTGCTGAACGCTGTCTTTTTATTCCTGTGGTTACTGAATCTAATTGAGACTGTCACACCTGCAGCAGGAACTGCACTTTATTGAGCTTATTGATCTTAATCTTATCTTCTATTTCTGGCTTTAACTGCCGCTGGCATTATATTATTTTAATATTCTTTTTAATATTCTAATTGTATTTATTTGTATATTTTATCGCTTTTATGTTCCTGACTATTCATTATTGCTGTCATCAGTGAAAGCCTGTGACTGCATGCAAACTAGACTTTATTGATTCATTGTCCCGCACTTCTGTGTGCTTAAAAACAAATGTATACAATGTCCACTTTAACTCAGAGTTAGTCACATAACCAGTGCATCCAGGTACTAAAAACAGCCTGGATAAAATATACAACAGCGCGTCTGATTATAGTTGTGCTTTTGCTGTTTTGAATGATAACAGGTTTTGCCTCGGGGCTTCTCTCCAGAGTTGTGGTTGTGGCTTCCAGAGGTTTAACTACCCAGTGAGCTTTTATGGTTATGGAAACATGAACACTGTCTCTAACCACTGCTTCCTTTTGTTTCAGATTAATGTCATTGAGGCCAAGAAGAAGACAGACATTTTGATGGCAGTGAGTTCATGTTGACCTATTTTAAGTTAATTTTGTTGCTTTTGTAAATTTGTGTTGTCTGCATATTTCAAATGTGTATTTATATATATATATATATTTTTGCTGCATACTTGCTGCTCACTATATCTTGTTATAAACAGTTCATGTAAGGTTTTTTTGTAAATAAATTCTCATGCTTCCTGTCAGATATTGTCGCTGATGGAGGCCCAGGCCCAGTTCTTCCAACAAGGGCACCAGTCTCTGTCAGAACTGGACGAGTATCGACGAAAACTGAATGAAGAGGTAATTGCTTGTTAGAGCCCGATTGATCTAATTTCCTTTGCTATAATTGTATCTGCACCGCAAATCTAGGTGCCAACATGGCGTTTGATGACAGACGTGACTCTGTACAGGTACTTACTAAATAAATAACAGCTGTGCAGAAAAAAAGAGACACACAAAGTCTTGTGTTTGGTTAGAGTCGAAAAAAATTACATTGTCAATATTTTGTTTTGTGGAGTTTTTGTCCTCACTAGAAATGTGTGTCTAAGTTAACTTATCTTTTGGTAACAACAGCAGAAAACTGTCCAGATACTATTCTTTGCTATAAGCTGATATTACCTATAAATTATTAAATGTTAAATTAAAAAAACAACAGCATAAAAATGCACCGTTGGCCAAATCAAAGAAGCAGTTTGACATTTACGATATACACTTATTTGCTTTCTTTCAAAAGTTAAATAAGAAGCTCGATAACACTCAGGTCTATATGCTAACCATGGAGCTAGAGCTACTGTCGGAGGTGATGAGCTTAGAAAGAGACCAGAAGCAGGGACAAACCGCTAACCTATCCCAGTTTAAAGTTTGAAAATATACCTTTTAATAATTATTAAGATCGAGAAGCTAGCTGTTTCCCCTTGCTTCCAGTCTTTATGCTAAGCTAGGCTAATTGACTCCCGGATCTAACTTCGTACTTAATGTACAGACATAAGATTGACATCGATCAGTCGATTAACCGCAAATAAATTCTGTTAAACTGCTGCACAAGAGGACTTCCCATGTGGCCATTGGAGATGTTATATGACCTTAAAAAAATCCCCTGTTCAAAGAAATATGGATTTATTACTGTTTGCACACTGTGATGAAAGGCAGCTGCAGAGATATTTATTTATCAGCAGTGAGCAACGAGAGGTCGACATTTGAAAGAAAACAGCTCAAAGGTCAAGATGTCCAGCGCCTAATGTGAAACAAAGACTTTATTTAGACGGCTGAGTTTGTTTAAGCGAGCTGTTCTCAAACCTAAAGAGAGTAACTGTTGAAGGACAAACCGATTCAAGACACTCTCTAGAGCACTGCAGCAGTAACCTCCAGCTCCACTAGTATGAGTGTATTTAAATTTCTGAAAGAATTCTTGTCCGTGCTGGCTGAAGAGTTGAGACTGAAAATGAGGCCCTGACCTTTTGAAGCTGCAGTGGACAAAACAATCAGACTACAAGGTTCCTTTAGAAGCTGTTCTGGAGCTTTTGAGCATATTATATTAGTATTCCTCAGAGCCTGTGGGGGGTTTTGACTACTTCTGAGCAATTGTTTTCTGAGCAGGTCTCTGTATTTGTCTGTATCTTCTGCTCAACGTCATACAAGGATGCAGAGGAGAGATGATGGGACTGAAAGGAAGAAAAAGCAAAGTTGTGCTACACACAATTTAGCATTTTTGTGTGTTTTTTGCTTGAAACTTTCTCTAAACTTTGCCTTTTAAGAAATGTCAGATTGTTTGCCTCCTCCAGCCTCTAACAGTTATTTACATGAGAGAGGTTTTGAGAGGACATAAGCAAAAATCGTGGGAATCACGGCTCTGCGTAATGGATTTTGACAATTTAGTGGTTGAGAGAGTTGGCCGGTTAAAGAGAAGATGTCCACAAGGCAGGTTTCAAACATTCAGGGACTCGATTCAGAATGTTTATTTAGGCTTAGAGACATTGAAGATGTTGGTAAGCCCTGTAAAGATTTAAACAAAAACATGTTTGTGTACAATAAACCACGTTGTAACTTTAATACCCAAAATGCTGTTTGGGTAAATTGCATCAGACATGTTCTTGACATCTTCCTAATGTGGCGGCTGGGGGGGCAGGGCCGAGGAGTAAAGAGATGACATCACACTTTCATCGTGACAGGAAAAAGTGAGCAACAACAGGAAATATTTCACATGGCTGTGTGCGTGCTTGTGTGTGTGTGTGTGTGTGTGTGTTCGTTCCTGCTCTTTGACTGTCCAAACTTTTTGCACCATCAGCCTTGAACATCAGCAGTATTATTGTTGAGTGTTTTTACTAAATGTAAAGAATTTCAAGCAGGAAATGAATTTGTCAGCACTTACCGGCCAGAACAAACCACAACAAAGCTCTTCCTGTTTCAACAGGAAATGATAGGAATGAGAATAAGGAGAGGCGAGAGAGACACTGAGGAATAACGCACCAAACAGACTCCCTACGAGAGAGAAAACTACCAGTGTTGTTTCTCAGATTGGCACAGGATGTAGGAAGAGGTTCGACTCTTCCTAATTCCTGTTTCCTGAACACCAAAGAGTGATAACCTACCCTGAACTCTTCCATTGCTGTCTTTCTCACAGAAGCAAACATGTTAGAGAGGAAAGGAGAAAGGGGAAAGTTGTCCTTCAGTACAGTGAATAGACACAAAAAGACAACAACTAAATAGATTTACAAATAGAAAAGACAGAAACATATGTACATAAACCAGAGTCCATGTATTTTTTATAGGTTTTTAGAACAATAATCTTTAGAGAAGTTAAACCTTTCAATATTCTCTCATTTCTAAAACTCTTTACCCTTTTTTTTGTCTCACCAAATGCTTTTAAATTCACATTTGTTCCAGTATAATTTACTTAGTTTTACTCTACACTGGGTAATATAAAAGTGCATACTAGCTAAAGTATGGACTGGCTTTTTAAGCCTTAATGTTGCAAAGCACTTAATCACTTCCTGTTTCAGCTGTGTAAAACTGCAAATCGATTAATGTATCCGAAAGCTCAATAGATTATACATAAAAGCACTTCAAAACTATTGATGTTGGGGTCCTGAAGAAATCTTAATTGAGTTAAATGCATTATGCGAGTTATTATAAAAAAAGGGAATAATATACATCATTTAAAAATCGATATTTGTGTCTGGAAAATGACCTCTTTGTCTTATTTCTGTTTTTATAGCACACTCAGTTTGTCCTAAACTCCGCCCGGGAGAAGAGGGACATGGAGCAAAGACACGCTGCAATCAAGAAAAAGGTAACAAGTTTACAAACATTAACACTTAAATACAGTTTTATAAGTATAAATCTCTTAGAACTGAATTTTTTTAAACCACAATTTAAAAGAAAATACTGGAATAGGCCCTTTAACCAGATACACAATGCTACAATCCCTGCGCAGTGACACTGAGTGATTTCTTGAATATTTCCAGGACGTGTCCTACGATGACTCCATCATGGATTTCAATGCTGACGCAGCTAACGGGATCGCCATGGAGGGATACCTCTACAAGAGAGCCAGCAACGCCTTCAAGACCTGGAGCAGGTACAAGTTTACCCACGAAATGTCTCACACAGAACAGCTGCATTGTTTTTATACTTTTCCCCCACCATACTTCTCTCTAAAAGGACTCAAATGTCCACTGCATTGGAAAATAGTTTCTAAACTTGAGTGTCCAGTTTGTTTTCTCTTTCTTGGCTGGTGCAACAAGGATTCTGAATCTTTTATTTTATGACCTTTTCATATTCTCTCCTTCTCCACTCCAGGCGTTGGTTTTCAATTCAAAAGAATCAGCTGGTGTATCAGAAGAAATTCAAGGTATATTTTAAATAAATTATCTTTTATTAATAACCTTTTTAAAAGGTTTGAACAGCCGAACATAGAACACAGACCTCTATAAAAACACACAATTGTGCATAACAGCATGCACAGTCTGACCTGCATGTTTTTCCTGTGTGCGCTCTCTCAGGACCAGCCTACAGTTGTGGTGGAGGACTTGCGTCTTTGCACAGTCAAGCCCAGCGCTGAAAATGAGAGACGATTCTGCTTTGAAGTGGTCTCCCCGTCAAAGTGAGTGTGTGTGGGTGAGCACATTCGTGCATTCATGCATACGTGTGTTAAAGCGATGGTGGTGAATTTTTATCAGTGTGTGGACTAGAGTGTCTTGCAAAAGAGGGGTGTGTGTGTCTGTTTGTGAGAATTTTACAATGTTAATTTCTCACGCACTGAGATGATCTCTGTGTGTGTGTGTGTGTGTGTGTGTGTGTGTGTGTGTGTGTGTGTGTGTGTGTGTGTGTGTGTGTACGTGTGTGTGTGTGTGTAGGTGTTGTTTGTTGCAGGCAGATTCAGAAAGGCAGCAGCAGGCATGGATCAGCGCCGTCCAAAACAGCATCGCCTCAGCCTTTCAGGAGCGCAGAGAGGACCCACACAGCCCAGTGAGAACACACACACACACAATACAGACACATTATCTTCTATATCAGCATTTTTCTGTGGGAGTTTAATCCCAGGAGTTACAGAGGTAGCTGTGTGCCTTTGTGCGTTTCCTCATTCCTGTGTGTGTGTGTGTGTGTGTGGTTATCAGAGACAGCGCTGCAGCTCGATGTCGGCAAGCAATTTGGCTGCAGGGGGGGGAGGAGGTGGAGCGGATCAGGAGAAAGAGGGCTGCAAGGCACTGGAGGAGGTTCAGGCGATCCCGGGCAACAAACAGTGCTGCGACTGCGGGGAGCCCGGGCCTGATTGGGCCTCCATCAATCTGGGCATCACGCTTTGTATCGTCTGCTCAGGAATACACAGGTACACACTCTCACACGCACACGCACACACACACTTGGCTTGAAACCTTAGCTTTAATGGCTTCCTTCTCTAACAGGAGCCTGGGAGTCCATTTCTCCAAAGTACGCTCCCTCACTCTTGACTCCTGGGAGCCAGAGCTCATTAAGGTAATTTAACCATTTTAACTGCAACAGCTACACAGCCTCATTATTGCCTTCCACTGAATACAATGATTATGCAATGCATTATGTAATTGTTTACTTTAAATAAACTCTCTGAAATAGAGCAACAGGCACTGAAATATTTTTCTTATTTCCTTCGCTTCCTTTAGTTGATGTGTGAATTGGGAAACACGGTAATCAACAGGATCTACGAGGCCCGGATCGATGAGATCACCATCAAGAAACCGCACCCCTCCAGTCCCAGGTACAAGCACTAACCAACACAGACACATTAAAGGGCTACATTGAGTTCACAATACGGTATACAGTATACAAATAACAGTTGTATACTATCTTATGTGACTCTAGAGGAGAATTGACCCTGGTTATGTCATCAGTGTATCTTGAGGGTCTGCATTATCTCTTTGTCTGCTGCTTCGATTTTGACTTTTCTTATTTCAGCGTGTCTCTCGCAAGTCTCCTAACTTTGTACTTCAAGTTTTAGCATTGCACACTAAACTGATGGAGTGCTCCTTTAAGTCAGGAGGAACAAACCAAAAATATGGAGATGTGGCCTAAATTATAACAATAATAATCTCAATATGCTGATTGTAAGGGTGTCGATCAAACACTTTAAAACTTCCATACTACACCTTAGTTTATATTGGCAGTCGGTCGGTCATGCTTTGTTAAAATCAGATGTCAGTTTTGTTTTTGTTTGTAAAATCAGTGCACATTGTGACTAGAAAGAGCAACTGATGTACTGTAGTAGGCATAAGGTGTCACATATCTGAGATGGTCTGCCATAGATGGTAAACCACACCTGCGGGAAACCCATGATGGTTTGATTGACACTTGCACGTTAAGGGGAAATGAATTAGGCCACGCCCACTTTGAACATCTAGGCCATACTGTTGGAAAATCTTGCTGAAGGAAAAACCAAAGGAACTTGGAGGAACTTCCAAATGATAAAGATTTTCCAGCATCACATGTCAGACTGTTGATCCAACAAAGCCCTCAGATATCATCAGAATAAACAGAAACACACTCTCCTTCTGTCATATTATGGACAGTACACATATTCTGCCTGCGGTCGGTGCACTTGCGCATTGATTGATGAGTATTAGTGGATCGGCTCCAGCTCTGCACATGGCTCATGAGTGAGTGAGATCAGTGGTTCAGCAGCTGAGTTTGAAGAACTCCGCAAAGATCTATGTGGTTTACAGATGATCATATAAACGGCCTACTACTCTCTTTTAGATTATTTTTTGACTTCCTCTTCTCTCCTCTCTGTTGGGTCGCAGCAGACAGGAAGTGTCACAGGTACACGATACAGATGGTTAACGTCTGCTCCGGAAATCTGCCGTGAGGCTGCATGCTTTTATGCAGCATGAGCTTTCAGTCTTGTCTTGTCCGGGCTTACGTCATTTGATTACTTTTTTAGTCCTACTCCCTTTTGGAAAACTGTAGCACTTTTTTGTTGTAGAAAAGAGGCAGTTTGAGTCCTGAATAGACGTCTTGTTAACTGAATTTATGACTTCATTAAAAGACTCTTAGCGCTTCGGGGACATGTGTTACATTCTTGTCTCACAGCTGCACAAGCACGTTGTGGAGTCAAACTGAGAACAAGTAAAGCCAGAATCATACTGACTAATGCATCCTTGCCTGTCAGCTTCTTTTTTGTTTTGTCTCATGTTGTGAGGGAAGATTGCTGAAGAAATACGAATCCCCTCCATCTCTTCTTTTTCTTTCTAACCTGTCGTTTCTGTCCCTCAGAGGAGACAAGGAGTCATGGATCAGATCAAAGTACGTTGAAAAGAAGTTTATCCAAAAGCTGCCTGAGACTGGCAGGAACCCCCTGCTGAGGAGATCCAGTGCCAGGAGGAACCGAGCGACCACACAGGACCGGACTGTACAGCGACCGCCGCTCAAACCCAAACCCAACCGAGCCACCCTACCTCGGGTCACAGGTAAACACTGGAGACAGGAATGTGCACTGATAGATGGAAACCAGTGGGCCTTTTTAAAAGGTCTAATAACTCAGCTGGTTGCTTGCTTGTTGTCTTGCTCACTTACTCCTGCTGACATCAACCAAACAGAAACACAATCCCCAATCTTGGTGATCCAGCAAAAGTTGATAATCCTAAAGGGCCTAGGCCTGTATTTGGTGTGTGCCGTTGCAGTCAGCAGGATAAACCAGTAATCGTAGCGCTCTCTCTCTCTCTCTCTCTCTCTCTCTCCCTCCCTCTCCCTCCCTCAGGGCTGAGCCCGAGTGACCTTGTCCAGAAGAACAATACAGGCTTCCACAAAGGTGACATAAAACACACACAGACACACAAATTCAGAAATTGACCTGACCACAAAAACAAGCTTGTACAATGTGTTTAACATGGACAGCCAAACTAGAACATTGTGTCATAGCAAGTTAAATCTATTAAAGTGAGCCCCTACAGGAGGAAGAAGGTAACAGTCATAAACAAATAGGTTAACCCTGTGCTCCCCTCAGATGAGGACGAGGAAGAAGAGGACCTGAGCGGACTTCACCCTGGGGCGCTGCTGTACCGCTCGGCAGCCCTGCAGAACTTCCCCGTCATGGCCGACGCTTTGGCCCATGGGGCCGACGTCAACTGGGTCAACGTGGCCGAGGACTCCAGCACGCCGCTGATACAGGCCGTCACAGCAGTGAGGACAGCATTTCATTTGATGTTAATATTGTTGGTCCCCAGAGGATGAATCATGACCCCTTTTATTAACCTACAGACCCCTTTTGTTAGCACCACCATCAGGCTAAAGTTTCGGTCAATGACAGGGTATCTCAAGCTAGATTTCCAAGAATATTCAAGGCCCCAAGAGGATAAATCCTGAAGATTCTTCTTCACCCTTTGGTCATTCCCTTAGCATCAACACCCAGCCAAAATTTAGACTTGTGCACAAGCAAAACCAAAGATCGAACACATTCATGCTCCCCAGAGGTTGAACTGTAGATATTTTGGACACTAAATGAGCTTTCTTGTAGCATAATGTTACTTGCACTCAAATTATATTGTAATTGTCATGAAATTTGCTTACGAGCAGTAACAACCCTCAGGATAAATTTTACATATTTAGCCCCATGACTGGTAAGGCTTGAAGAACCAGACTTTTGCAGCCTTCCAGGGCCACTAGTGGGGCTTTATACATTTAGTCTTGTTGTGGTGAACCTGTTTGGACAAGGTGATAGTAAGGAGACGTTCAGAGCGTTTCACATAGGTAAAAATATGTAAATGGAGGCTCACGTGTTCCTGTTTCATCATCAGAACGCTTTGGCAGCCTGCGAGTTCCTGCTGCAGAACAGCGCTAACGTCAACCAGGCGGACAGCAACGGGAGGGGACCGCTGCACCACGCCACCATCCTGGGTCACACTGGGTAGGACACCCACATGCTGTCACACATCAGCATTTCATAGACAAATTACACCCCACACTGACAAAAATAGGAGGTGACACGGCGCGAAAAAATGTGACAAAAAGGTGAACGTCTTGTTCAAAGGGCCACCGGCAGTGATTATAATTATAAATCTATCCGACACAAGAACGAGCAATCTGATACGTAACAATACAAAAATAAACACATACGAACAATGCAAACAAAATCACAGCAACAAAATGAGACACAGGTCGGTTTGCAATGCAGTAAAGTAAACAGATGACTTTATATACACGCACTCAAAGCCTTCAGGCACTGTGCCCAAAACCATTAACCAAGCTAAATAGATTCACCCTGTTTGCCCAAATGGCATTCCTGTGTCGGGTATAGTGGGAAACCTCAGCACAAAGGAATGAATTGAAACAAAATACAAAAGAGTCTGTGGCTTTTTGCAGCTTTGTGCAGTTGATATTGATGTCAAATGTTTCTTTTCAAAGCAGTACAAAGTTGCCCATTGTAGCTTTACAGAAACGTTTCTACTGAGCAGCGTTTGCCAAATGAACTCAGTTGTTTATTTGGCAAACTGAAATCAAGAAAATACAGATAACACAGAGGCCATTATTTCACTGAGTCCTACCTGTACCTGTACTGCTTATCAGTACGTCAATGCACAATCTGGCTCTAATCTTGTGTATGGTCAGGTTCAGATTGAACACTTCAGCTGTGGAGCACAAGCTTGGGGCATCATTTGTAGCAATTTCAGTATAAACCTTATTATTATCATTATTATTATTATTATTATTATCATCAATTCAAGAACAAGGTTTTAAGTAGAAAGTGATTCAGTCTCTTTTTTTCCCCTCTTTTTTTGACCAAAACGTTCCAAGAACTAATAAGCCACAGGAGCTTTATTCAGGAATAAAACTAGGAATTACAACAAATTACAACTGTTTAATGTCTGATGTTTGAAAGGATGTGATGAACAGATGCAGAGGTGAAAAGGATATGACTAAGAAGCACTGTGCCTTAAGTAAAAACCCCTAGTTCCTCTACTTGAAAAACCCAGGTAAACCCCTAGAGTCCTTGATTTCTGGGCATCTGGAAAAGTTCCTGCGGTGGAAACTGGCGACATAAAGCAGGGGTTATCTGGCCTGTCAGGGGGTCAGGTTTCTGTTTTTAAGACTTGGATGTCAACGTTATCCTATGTGTGCACACACACACACACACACACACACACACACTCTTTATGTGTCTCTTTGCTGTTCCAGGTTGGTTTGTCTCTTCTTGAAGCGAGGAGCAGACTACAACGCCAGAGACAAGAGCCAGAAAGACCCCATAACTATCGCTGTGGACGCCGCCAACGCTGACATCGTCACTTTGTAAGTATTTGAGACCAGAAAAAAACTCTCTTATGTAAGCTTGTAAGTTACCAACAGCAGCTTTTCTAACCGATCTTCTCCGTTTCAGGCTGCGGATCGCCAAGATGAACAAGGAGATGCGGGAGATGGACGGAGCGTTTGGCCAACCAGGTCACTCAGGGGGGCAGGGATCTGGGGGTTTACAGGGTGGGACTGGAGGTGGGCTGGCCCACACCAGGAAGAGCCTGCAGGCTATAAAGAACCATATAAGTGGCTGGGCTCTGGGGGGGCAGAATGATTAATGGGAATAAAAATCAGCCAGGGACAAGAAACAGACTGTGAGACTGGAATGAGCTTGTTTTTGGTTGTAAGCTAAAAGGAAAAAAGCTTTTAGTTTTTAATTTTTTTAAGCATCAGAAATCACTGGTTTTGCAGTGTAATGTGATGTTTATCTGCGGCATCTGCAGAAAACATTATCCTGGCCTTCCACATGTCATTCAAGGAAACATGCATCATCATTTCTAAAAAGGAAAATCGCCTTCACCGAGAAATCAAGAAAGAGCCAGAACGCAGGGTACAGAGTCTGAAAGACTTAAATGAAAACAGATTTACTGATCGGTGAAGACAGGAACATGTCTTGTGAAACAAAGAAGGGACATTGTTGGAGTCTGCCTTGCACTTTGAATTACATACGCACATCATGCTGCACTTTGAAACCCACAAAATCTCCAAATACCTTGTCAATAGAGACTGTTACACGTGGGTGTTTCCAATGTTTCTCTGTTGTATAACTGAGGTTCAAGAAAATGTAAATAAATAGACCTATGTCAGGCCTATTTCTTTCTTATATTGTATATATATATATATAGGATATTTTTATATACAGTATGTACAGTGTTCTGGCTTTATCAGATTTATCTTGTGTATCTGACGTGTGAAGGGCTGTCCTTTTTTCAGTCCAGTTATGTAAGCTAAATCCAATGTTGGGTTTGGTTCTCAAGGACGATATTCTCCCACTGTTCTGTGAATAGTGACGCAGTTTGAACTCTGTTACATATTAGGTGTTTGTATTTATCAGAATTTCATGCTGTCAGCCAGGTCCAAGAGCTTTGTGCTGTAGCTCTTGAGGTTAGCAGTGGGTTCTGTTTGCATTGTTTATTTGTCATTTTGGCTCCTTTTTCAAGCTGCAAAGTCCATTCTTTCATGATTGTCCTTTTTGAAGTCGACGTCACGGCTTTTGTTTAAGTTTGTCGCGTAAGCTGTGTTTCAGTTTACAATCACGGTTTCACTCATGAAGGAATGGAAACGTGATGCTTTTGTCTGCTTGAAACAACTGCTGGTCAGTATTTGACGTGCTGTGCTTTATCACTGTGTGTCTTTTGTCGTGTGCACTCATGTGCCTTTGCCTTCTGCCCGCTGAGATGTCCGGCTGGTCTCAACTGCTTGTGCAGTGTGCCACCTACTGCAAACTAAGAGGTAAAGTGCATGTGCATGCTCTGATGTTTGTTTATTGTTCAGTTGCATGCTTCTTGCTTTAGGGCTCGTTCAGGAAAGAGTTGGTTTAGCTGCAGCTATTAAAACTGTCCTCTCAGAAATGATGTAGCTTTTGAGGACAGATGTTATGGTTCAAACACAGCTGTGTCACATTAAAACAGAGGATGTGCTCAAAGACAGAAAGCCAGGAATAACGATCCAGGAGAGATGGCATTAATCTGATGAAACTGATTCTTAAGCTTAACAGCACTTTAAAAACGTAAAGCTTTAAAGGTTCTTCTTCTCTGCTCTTCTCCAGGTGATGAAACCTACCAGGACATCTTCAGAGACTTTTCACACATGGCCTCAAACAACCCCGAAAAGCTCAAACGCCGCAGTGCAGACCCCAAAACTTAACCAGCTGTTGCCTCCTCTCCACCCTGCTGTATAATGCCACATCTCACACATACTTTAACCTACACACGTATACACACACACACACACACACACAGAAAACATGCCAGTATCCAACTCACAGGCATGCAGACACACACACACACACATATTTTCCCTGGCTACCTGCCACATGTTCAGTCATAGCTCAGCTGGTGTTGACTTCAGAGGGGATGAACACTTCAAACAGTGAAATCTTTGTGTGAACACGTCAGACCAGAACAATTGTGTCCAAGTGGAAACACTGGAACAGCTTTATGAGACCAGCACGAGGCGTCTTTATATGTAGCAGAGGGTAACGCCGTCACTCTGCCAAGATTTTCTAATTAAATCCTGTAAATCTGTTTTTTTTTTTTTTCCTTCAGCTCAAGGGGCTGTTTTAATGTTTCTTAGCCATTTCTATTGAATTGTTACATGATGAAGAAGTGAAAATGTTTGTTGGAAATGGACCTAATTCTGGCAAAACACACCTTTTATGTCAACTGTCTTCCATTCGGTTGTAATGTAAACAGATTTTTACATGTGGGGACATTTTTAGACACTGTTCATATCTGTTTTGTTAAAGTGTCAGGTACTTGAGATTTGTAGCATGAACAAATAAAACACAATACCACTTACTTTTTTAAACTTACTTTGAAGTGTGTTTATGTATAAACAAGTCTCTTCATCTTTTTAATGATAGTATGTTGTGCTGTCAGAACAAATACCCAGCAGAGGGCGCCATCCTTTTATGATAGTTGTAGGTTATCAGCGAAAACACAAACTAGCAAAAGTAAAGGCACATTAAAACAAAATACATTGCTTTTTAATCAAGATTGAGTACAAAATACTACATTTCAACATATAATAGCGTCAGGTTGCAGCCCTGATGTGTGAGTGCTAGGTTTAACAGGTTAACAGGTTTCAATCACAGACTGCCAAGAAAAGCTGCTTAAGACGAACATTTTCCACCTTTAAATAATTACGGGAGCTCCAGTATTCAGTAGCTGCCACACAATGAAACGACAAACTGTAAGTCACATGGCATTAGTCTGCCAGGACCCAGCGGGTCACAGTGACCCTGTTGTCTCTGTCCTATGAACCTGGTGTTTCTTCAGCTGTTCTCAGGGTGAGAACATCTCTCATTTACAAACACAGTCTTGATTTATGGGTTACAAAAGTACAAAGTGCTTGTGCAAGCAATGATTTGTATGATCAGAAAATGCACTTGTGTTCCTGCCCGGCAGAGAGAAAGTCCTGAGGCTGAAAGAGAGTTGCTGGTGTCTGTTGCTGTGCTCATATGAAATCAGTGAGCAGCACAGAGGGGTGCTGCTAATCATTAATAAATGCAGTTTCTTTCCTTTATGAATCTGCATCAATAAATTACACAGTTAGTTTGTTATCGCGAGATTTTAGATTAAACAGCAATAAAGCACAATAACGGCTGAAATTACTTCTGACTTCATTACTACAAGCTCTGTCTTTAGTTACTGATAAGCTGATAATGTCTTCACATGCATGCATATTCTTAAATATTTTTAATTTTAATTAATCAGTGGTTTCCAAACTGAGGTCCAGGGACCAGCAGGGGTCTTTGGGTGGGTGGTAGGGGGTCCCCAACAAAGGAATAGAATATTTTAACTTTTATCACATTTTGTTGTTTATCTGTAGTTTATAGTGACCCCACTTAGATCATTCATTGACTATGAAAACTTTATAATCTTAAAAGCTAAAATTTAAAATAAATTACTCAGAGGGGATAAGACAAAATCCTCTCAAATTGGGCGTCAGTGGTCCAATGTGCATCTATTGAGGGGGGCCTTGACATGAAAAAGTCAGATTTAGGTGCAGTGACGCTGATCAGTCGCATTTATTGTGCTACGTCACCTTTGCCCCCTTAAGAGAATATAGTTCAAATTAAATTAAAGTTAAAGATGACTCATGTATGTGCAAAATTTAGATATGTTGGTTAATCTTACAGCAGCAGAATCAGATTCACATTTTATATTCACATGAACCAAGAAACAGTTTATGCTTCTTAGTTTCTTAGTCAAGTATGATGAAACTTGATGGCATGTGTAAAAATAATAAGAATAAAAATAAAAAAACTCACATTTGCTCTCCTGCTTCCCATCCTACTGTGCATGTAAATCAGCACACAGCTGTAAATTGCAAATAAAGTATTTAAATGCCCAGTGTGTCCTTATACTGGCATAAACATTCAACTGAGGTGATGATGTGTAACAGAGTGAGGAACTCACTGGCCCCTTTATTTTATAAGCTTCTTTCTTCACTTTGGGTCTGAATATCTTGAGGTATAACACAAACACACTACTTACTCACTGACGGTGTCTTCAGGTTATCTTGGCTCGACTGAAGCGTATTAACAAGGCTCTTGAACCCTGAACTTCCACAGTCTTGAGGATTGCTGAGCCTTGTTAGATCATCCTTAAACTCCTCTGTGATTCGTGTCAGATGGCAAACTATTCATCTGTTCTGACTCTGAATGTAAACCCTTATCTTTGTCGTCAGGGGAACGTCTTTGAGGAGGCGGTGGATCTGTGCAGGAGAAGTAGTGAGGCAGAGTGGCCATGGTCAAAGTACCAAGAATAAGGAAACTGCCCGCCACCATGAAGGAAGCGACGTAGTTGCCTGTGACGTCCTTGAGAAACCCTTTGTAGAGGCAGAAAAAAGAGAAAATATTCAGAATCTAAATGAAGCGCTTAATGGTAACATGTCCATAATGCCTCACTGCAATGTACCTTAGAAGACTTGTGGCTTCACTCTAAAGTAATCAGAGCAGAATCGTGTCTTTAATGAGTCGATGTTTATATGGCTACGCTACGGGTTTTTAAAGGGTCAACATGTCCGCTGTGAGTCTGATGTCCAGGTTCAGGTTAGCGAGATTTAACCAAATGACATGTAAAGTACACGATAAACCTTTGGTGGGCAAGAAAAGAAAAACTGGTGCTGCTCATTAAACATCATGAACACATCAGTCTGAAATAATTTCCTATATGACAGAGTGAGTCACCTTGATAAACCACAGACCAGTTATTATATTTCTGCAGTGTCCATTTGTTTTCATCTTTATTTCATTCATCGTTTTAGTTTCAGTTTGTTTTCAGAGTGTGTTTGCTTGTTTCAGTTTAGTTTTTCTTTTTAAAATGTTGTTTCAGTTTAGTTTTTATTAGTTTCAGAATTAGTTTTTTGGTATTTGTCAGAGGCAAGATTCAAGAAGTTGACTCAAAGTCAACATCCCAGTCTCAATAAACAATAAATAATACCAATGCCTAATAACCTCGCCACAAACCCACTGTGTACCATTTTTATGGGCAATCCTTTCTACTGTTGTGAGTGTAAATAATGTTTTAGATTGTGGTATCTCACATAACCACTAGTCACTACAGGTTAGTAGTGTTTTGTGTCAATTATATTATAATTTTATGTTCAGACTCTTTGAGATATTCAGTTCTATGTTGGCTGTAATCTGTAGCTGCGTGGTGTGGTTCGGAGTGTATGTCGCATTAATGTTTGACTACTCTCAGCTTCAGTGTGTTAAATTGTGTCTATAGACTGACTTAGGTCACTGTAGATAACATGAAACAAGGTGACATGACCTATGTACATGTGGAGATATAGTTATGCACTATCCCAGTCTGCTTCCTCGATGTATTCGTACCTGACAGAGGTGTCCCCAGCAGTCCAGCGCCGCTCTCGATGAGTTGCAGCAGCCCGAGTCCCCCCATCATTCGCTCCACACCCACAATCATGGGCACCACGGCGAAGACCACAGAGGTCAACGCCCCGGAGCAGAAGCCGTAGAGGAGACTGATCACCATCAGTGCAGAGTAAGAACCTGACAATGAGCTCACAGGCAGCAGCATGATGAACACTCCCCCCAATGTTGTCCACATGCTCAGCAAATGAATCAGCCTAAAGTGACCCAGGTCCGAGAACCAGCCTGACGCTACGCGGCCCAAAATGTCTGACGCGCCGGCAGCTGACATGACAAAAGCAGCTTGGTACTCCGAGAAGCCGGCATGGCGGCTGTGGGCAACAAGGTGGAAATACGGCACAAAGTAGCCAACGTTGAGAAGAGTGATACCCAAGGTGTACGTGATATAAGGCCTCTCGAAGAGCAGCGACAGCTCCAGGTACGAGGAGACTCTGTGCATAACGGAAGCACATGATGGTCTGCTCACTGAATCCACCTGAGAGGAGGAAGAGGGGGAAATGCTGAAATTAATTTTTCATATTTTATTTCCAAAATAAAAGCATTTATCTTTCTCAGCAGGAATGAGTCCTAAAACTCTCTTTAGCATTCACCTGAAGCAACTCAAATATACCATCCTTTCCTTCTGTTTATACAGTATATGTTAAAGTTAAGTCTTCTTGTATGTAAAATACTGATATCATGTCTGAAAGTAGAAAGACAGCCACAGCATGAATTACTTCTTTCGTTATTCTATCAGGCCTTTTTAAAGTAATAGTATTCTTTACAGGGACTGTTTCTTGGGTACACACACTAGATGACAATAGTAGTGTGATTATGTGATTGCGAGGTTAAAGTATAATGTTGGTTGGTTATATTCTCTGTGGAAAATGGAGCAGCTTCCCTTCATGTGTCAGGAACATACTGTGTCAGGAATGATGATAGTGGGTGTTCAAATTCTTCAAACACTTTTCAAAGTGGATTCCTGACCTACCTTTGCTGGAGCTTTAGAGCGTTGCTGTGGACGGATGAGAGCCCCACAGGGTACAATGTTCAGGCTGAGGCCCCCCAGGATCAGAAGGGCCCCTCGCCAGGCGTACTTCTCCACCAGCAGCTGGAAGAGCGGGTTGAAAGCAAAGGAGGAGAGTCCGATGCTTGAGAACGCCAGTCCCAACGCCAAGGTGCGCCGGCGTGTGAAGTTAGCCATGACTGTAGCTACCATGGGAGTGAAGACGAGCCCCCAGCCCAAACCTGGAGGAGAGGGGGGGAAAGAACCACTGTGAACAGAGGTCACTTTATTTTCCTGCAATTTACTAGGTTAACAGTTAACTAGCTACACAAAGGATGACCTGCTTTCACTGTTGTTATAAGACATGTTACCTGAAATGACACCCATGGTGAGGTAGAGGTGAACAAGACAGGTGGCCTGCGAGGCAAGTATTAGGCCGAGTCCAGCGAGACAGCCCCCCGTCATCACCACCAACCGGGCATCATACGCATTACACAGTGCTGCACCCAGCGGACCTACAAAACAAACACACACACACAAACTTCACTGAAGCTATACGATGTTTACACTGAGTGAAATATTCAAAACAAAGACAATTTTCTAGATGTCTTGTGTATCATTTTAACACAACTCCCCAAAACTCAGCAGACATATTTGGTATTTTTGTCCCCACCACACTTTTAAATAAATTTTGTGTATAGGCTGTAAAGCACGAGTTTGCAATGACTGACCACTGGTGCTTGTTAAAAGGGTTAATGAGTTGCAGCTCCTTTTTTTTTTTTTTTTTTTTTTACAAATTACCAATAAAAGTGCTTAAAAATCCTTCTATATGTTCTGCCTCCTCCTACGTGATTTAATTAGAGACATAATACGTGATCATGTATGTTACCTGTATGACAGAATTGCAACAAGTACTACACATATTATATTATATATTATATTATATGGATAAGATAATATGTATTTGTCGCAATGTTTGACAAGGTATATGTGTATCTATTTGAGATGTCAAATAAATAAAATTTTAAAAAGCTGCTTTTCTCTGTTTAATATCAACGGATGAATCAATGATAAAAACAATTAGTAAGTTGTAGCTGTAATTACAAACAACACACTCATATGTTAACACATACAGTGGTGACTCACTGAAGAACTGCTGTGCTGCCAGGCCCGTGGAGGAGATCCAGGAGATGGCCTGAGCACTCTCATCGAAGTACTGCACAAACTCGACAAAGAAGATCCCCAGGCTGCGCATCAGGCCGAACACGAGGCTCGTGCTGACGAACAAGGCGCCGACCAGCACCCAGCCCCAGCCTCCATCCGGGCCCTCTGCCTCAGCGCTCTGGGCCCCGGCTTTGGGTTTGGTCATGTCTAAGAGAGATTTATCTGTAAAGATAAAATAAATGCAGGTCCGCAGAAAGCAGGATGAGGAGCACAGATTAGAAGAATAGAAGAAATGAGGAGAAAGTAAATACTAAGAACATGAAGATATAAGCCTCAGGAAATGCAAGTGACAGCTCTCCCCTTTAGCAGGAGTGCAGAACGAGCCTCAGACTCTCTCTGTGGTTGTCAATAGCCATAATCATTAACTTCCCACTAGCCAATAGATTCTCTGGTTGTGCCATGTAAGTGTGACTACACTGCTTAACCAGTTGGCCTTCAATCGAGAGCGAGATCTAGGTGAGAGGTGACAATGACTGCTGAGTGTTCACGGATCAGCTAATAGTGAAAGGCAAGAAAAGGCCCATAATCAACTTTCACTAGATGTTTTGTATATTTCTGCTACAGCGGATATACAGTCATCTGTAAAGGAGACATAGAAAATAAAAGGGGGTGATGTGACGTTTTCAAGTAATTGTCTTTACATTCACATGTCTTGTTTCTGCATTTAAGTAGTAATACGACTATTACCCTAAACTTTATTAGCTACATATAGCAGCGTTGAGACCATTTATGAACAATTTACAAAGTCAGACGCACCTTTGTATGTTCCAGTCACGACTTTCTGTGTACGAGTTTGTATGATTCTCACTGGGAAGCTATACAGTAAGTTAGGCTTAATTTCTAATATACCTAACTTGATACCCAGTCATTCTATGCAAATAATATAAAGCATAAATATCATTAACAGAAGTCAAAGATTCACAAATATGTTATAAAAATGTGTAGCAGTTTAATTTTAAATCAGCAGGTATCATCATAGCCTACAGCTCATTAAACATCAGAAAAACATTATAATTATGTGCACGATCACATTGTTACATTTTAAGAGACAGAGTATACCTCCAGCACATTTCGTGCTGCTGACAGTAACCAGCTGATCACAGTACACACGTCCTCTTTTACCACATAAAGAAATGCTGCTGCAGCCGTAACCACACTTAGCAAACAGAACTGAAGTTCATCCTCTGAAGCTGAACTAAATTTCCATTTTTTTTATTTAGCTGTCAGCTGGTTTCCTGAAAACTGCGCCCCGTCTGTGCTGCGACTTATCCGCTCACTAACATAGAAGAAACAAGTCACTGTCCTCTGCTCTCAACATGCAAATACTTTGTTTGTCCTGCAGCAGCATTCTGTCAACTTTACTGCAAAAACATTGTCAACAGTTTGACAGAAAACAGTGATGTACTATTGTATGTAAGTGTGAAGAGTTTACTTTTTATTTTTGTAAATATACTATGTAAAATAAGTTAATAATCTGATTAGTTCTGCTGCTGGTTGAGCAGTAGTAGAGTTTTTGTAGCACAGCACAGAGACCTGATCCAGTCACTCCACTGCGGCAGGAATTACAAGAATTTAACCCCACTCTCTCTAAAACATACATTCACTAAAAGACAAGCAAATACAACAACAGCTCAAAAACTTGATTTCATGTTGGGTTGAACTGGGAGCAGAGCAGGTTCACACACACACACACACACACACACACACACACACAATTTCACTGACGCAAACGCTAAAGGACAATGCAGGGTTTCACACTAGGATCATGTGATGTGCTTGTCTTTAAGTTTCATATAACCTGTGTTTGTTTTATTTGGCCGAACAAACTGGAAGTGCTGCCAGCAACTCTGCATCGAAGATTGTAATCCACATTTTGAACACAGAAAACGTCCTACTCTTTTTTTTTATAATAGTGCTTATAGTCAAACCAATTATTTATGTAACTTAAAATCACAAATTGGCTAAAAAGGGCTGCAGCTACTGTTTTAGAGGACTTGAGGAAGTCTGACTACTTTAAATAAAACATTTATAGCTTTGAAACACAATATAGACCTTCTGGCTGAGAAGAATTAGCTGATTAGTTGATTATTTTGATAGATATGATTCCTTTTTGCATCATAATTAAAATTTTTACTGTAAAAAAACTAAAAAAATCATGAGGATTTGTAGGGGTCTGAACCAAGAAAACATATTTTCTTACATCTGAGGAACAAGATTTCTAGGTCAGGGTATCTCTGTAGAGATATTAGATTAGTAATAAGATTAGATAAGAGATGATATTAGATTATAAAGATGAACTGTCACACATTTTACATTTATTAAAAAAAATGTAGCTTGCAATTGGGATAATGCACTTGACCATATTGCGATTTCAATAATATTTTGATTAATGAACAACACTACAAACCAACAACTTGAGTTTCAATCCATATAAATTAGATTTATGATTGTTTGTTAAAAAAAAAAAAAAAAGCCCAATTATAAACATTTCTATTGTATTGAAGTATTGATTTTATTCTCCTCCAATATGGTCCTCAGGGTGTACGCACACACACACCTGCAAACACCTGCTGGCCCTGCCTCTCCTCCCTTCATTCATGATTAATTAGCACACGCAGAGAGGCGAGAACGCGCACTGGAAACCGTGCACGTTTTTTGTCATAACTCCACGTAAATGACGTAGGCTTCACGCGGCGCATGCGCACTGGCTGCACGCACAGCTGTATAAAACACTACTCGAAACTAGCTTTAACGTTTGATATGACGGAAGCCTATTTTGCTCACACGGTGACCAAGCTGTTGTGTTTCATGATATTTTAAAATGTTTTTTTCAACTGTTGCTAACACGGTGCCTTGAGTGAAGTTATGATAACGTTTACGGTGAACGGTTAACCGTTTTATAACCCGTAATATGACCGAAAACCAAACAAAAACAAAATGTAAACAAGCGTCCGTTACTAACATGCTCATTTAAAACGGCTCACAGCCGAATAAAAGCTTCTGTTGAACTCGACAGCACTCACCGACGGTCTGTCAGCTTCCTCCGGAGCAGCACATGGTCCACAGTCTCCAACTTCACCGGGATAAAAAGCGAAATTACAGCAGGTCTCACCGTGAGTTCATCGGTCACCGCACAGTGAACCGGCGACTGTACACGCATGCGCAGTCGGCGGGGGAGTTATTCGTGATAAAATCTGGCGTGAAAATATAGTTAGACTATAATATATATTAATATGTTATATTCTTAACATTTGTGTTTATTAACCTGTTATTATTGTCGTCAGTAATTTATTTTATTAAGTATATATTATTGATTTTTCCTCCAATGTCAAGTATGCCAGTATATTATAAGTAATTTAACGGTTCAATAGATGTGTATATTAAAATAAATATTTATTTTACAGGTTTTACTGTAGTTAAACACGAGGTAGAAGTAACTCAACTTTACAGCTGATGTTAACCAACACTTGGATAAAATATTCAACCATTATTATGGGGTTGAATTAACCTCATCAGTATGAACCAACCAGCATTTATATTGAATATCCAACCCATCTTACTGGGGTACTTTAACCCAGCATTGTGTTGGTCCAATAGTTATCCAGCAGCGTGGTTGAAAACTACCCAGATTGGGTTGTTTTTAACCCAGCATTCGAACCCGGGCCGCTGTGGTCAGGACTCAGCCTTTGTACATGGGACCTGCGTTGTACCAGGTGAGCTACCTGGGCGCCCAAGTGTTGGACTTTTGTATATAAGTTTTTACATCAGTGTGTGATGGAGCTTCATTTGCGTTGACAAGAACGGATCTACCTGGTTATCCATGAACTCTACAGTTTCCAGACACTGTATCACAATATGTATTCATATCTTACTTGAAAACTGGATATACTAGTATAGATAATGTTATCCCATAGTAAGGTACCCATAGTAAGGTAACCTTTTGTACTCGCACATCAAAACTCAATGTAGTTCTAGTGTCCAGAAGAACTGTAAAGCTTGAGGCTACTTTTTAGGCACATATGGACAGATGGAGACTTACTGAACTGTTGGTCCAGAGTTGAGTTGTTTGGTTTCAGTAGTGGCAAAATACACTTCACGTCTTCTAGTTAATTCTATCAGACAAAATATACATCTTATATTGTGAACTTCATTTTGTTGTAATGAGCTGAAAATGAGACTCACAATTGTACACATACAAATACATTTGTTAAATGTTTACACAATTTTACACAACCTGAGTTTTAGTGTTTAGAACTTGTCAACATGTGACACCAGAGAGAAATACGACCAAATTAAACTTGATTTTTTTGGGGGGGGGTTTTGTAGTTTATTAATTTTTTGATGTTATATGGGAGGAAACCGGAGAACCCGGAGTAAACCCAATTTTTGATGTTAGTTTTCCTGAATTGTTGATGGATTTCTTTTTTGATGTTAAATGGGAGGAAACCGGAGAACCCGGAGTAAACCCAATTTTTGATGTTAATTTTCCTGAATTGTTGATGGATTTCTTTTTTTATGTCATATGGGAGGAAACCGGAGAACCCGGAGTAAACCCATGCCATCACGGTGAGGATAGAAACTCCATACAGCAAAGATCAAGGCTGGGAATCCAACCCTGACCATTGCTGTGAGGCCAGTGTTAAACACTGAGCTGCCGTGTGGCCCGAGATGTTTCTCTGTCTTTTACTCACTGCTGCAGCCCACGATGCAGCACCTGAAGGGCTTGGTAAGAGCGTTTCCCACTGCTCTAAAAAACCTGACAGCTGCACCCTTTTTGTTTGTACTGAGGAGGACGTTCAGTTGGCTTTTTAGTTGCTTAACAAAAGCCTCATCAAAGGACACGGGGTCTGATCCCATTGCAGCCTCCAGGAGCAGTTCTTGAGAGCCAAATTCCTCTTTAAGATCCTCCATCACTGCTTTGTTCACTTTTTTCATGCTGTGCTTAATTTTTCTGACAGCAGAGTCAGTGACGACGATCTGGACCTGCGCCTTGTCTGTCAGACGCTTAATGACGGCATTGATGTCTTCCGTCTGAATGCCTTTTATGGTCTTTTGAGGGGCCTTTCTAATCATTCTCATGACCAGAGCAGTGATGATTTTGGTGGTTATCCTCTGTACTTTATGTGTAGGTGTAGTTGAGGTGTTGGTCGACACTACTGAAAGTCCGCTGATGGACTCTTCAAAGCTCGATACCTCACAGGTCTCTGGCTCGATGACGTTCTTGTCCTCTGGCTCGATAATGTTGTTGTCCTCTGGCTCGATGACGTTCTTGTCCTCTGGCTCGATGACATTCTTGTCCTCTGGTGTGGTCAGCATTTTAGTTATAAGCCCCTCAATGTCTTTCAGTGCACCATGCACTGCATTGCCGCGACTTGATTTGTTTGATGGCTCCATGTTGACCCAGAGTAGCACCTGCTGTAGGAACTTCCTGACTGAGTCCTCTGTCATTAAATACATCACATCAGGAGAAAAGGGGAACTGAGTGGTGGCGTCCACCTCCCTCCTGAGCTCTGAGATAACAGAGTAGGACAGACTTCTTGTCATCGGAGCAGCAGAACGTTGAAATGTCTGAATGCTCATCAGGTGATCACACAATTTATCAGTCAGTTCCTTAGCAAACTTTCTGATGTGCTCACTGGACATGGTGTTTTCCAGTGTTTTGGTCCCAAGTACTGCAGGTTTATCTGGGGAGATTAACTGCTGAAACAAGCTGTCAAGATCGGTTTTGATTGTCTCAAAATCTACTGAAGACAGCTTCTTGATCTCTGCTGTTGATGCCATGTTGCTTTGACTGCCAGCCTCAGATTCTGGCGTTGGAGACTCTGGAACAGTTTGTTCTAAAACCTCTTTGCTGGCGTCGTCCTCTTCCGTCAGTCTCTGCTGAGAGGATCCTGAATCCTGTCGGAGACTCACGAGAAAGTCTGGATGTTCTTTGTGACTTGCCTTCATCAGCTGTGCCATCATCTTTTTGTACTGATTCTTGGCAAACTTTAGAAAGCTGAGTCTGCGAGCAGTCTGGCTGTTGTCTGTGGTGTCTTTGTTAATTGAGGCTTGTGAGGTATAAAAGTCTCGGACCTTGCCAACTATTGACCTCATGTTAAAATGAGGTATTGGAACAAGGCTTTCCTCACTGTCCCTAGCACAATCTTCAATGTCAGGATAATGCAGGGTCTCAAGTGCATTCCTGACTATTTCTGGTGCTGCAGCCTCCGCATCCAGGATGGTGAGAAATGAAGGAGTGTGAGCAATCTCTGGGTTCTCACTGGACCAGCTGACAAGGATGTCAGTGACAGCTTTGGTCACACTGTGGACAGAGATTGCAGACTTGATACTCTCAATAGATTCTTCTTCTTCAGATTCCAGGATATCATCTGGACATTCAGATCTTTTTGGGCTTTTTGGCCGCCAACACTGACACCGGTATTCCACTTTAGCTAAATATCCCTTCAGACATGAGGACACTTGGAACACCATGCGCCGAAGAGACACTGTGTTTGAGATGTTGCCCAGGATAAAAATTGCAGGCTTCTCCGGCCAGCTGGGGCAGTTGATGGCAGTCGGCACAACAGAATTGACTTTCTGTGACACCTCCTTCACCACCATTTCGGTCAGTGTGTCTGCACACTGACACATCTGCAGTGGGATGCGCAGAGCGTCAGCAAAACTGCCATTGAGGGAGACTCCTAGTTGAGCTTTTAAAGTCTCTAAAGGTGCACTTGTATCAGCCAGAGATTCACTCCTGGCCACGCACTCCTCAACGATAAATTGGGCAGTTTTCATGGTGGCAGTCTGAATCACTTCCGTGATCATGTCTGCCAGAATGGAAATTGTATCTGTGTCCAAAGGGCCTGTAGCCAGCAGTGCCCACTGGGCTGCAGAGATTGCATCGAAATATTTCTTAACAATGGGCAGAAGAGTGTCTTTGGTGATGAAGACAGTGCTGTCCATCGTGGATTCAGATGTGTTCATTGTATTCACTTGTTCTGTCACAACTAATTTACTGTAAAGTGTTCAGTAATGTGTGGATCCTCAGTTTTCTGACTGTGGTCTGGAACTCACTGGTCAATGGCGAAAATGAAATGCAGATTTTACAAAGCAGCCCTCGATATATACCTCCAGGAACACACTTCATTCTGAACATCAAAGCACGAACGTCACATAGAACACATCAAAGCACGAACGTCACATAGAACACATCGAAGCACGAACGTCACATAGAACGCGCGTCCAAGCCTCTGGAACTGCTTTGACGCGCATGCGCACTTTGACGCGCTCGTACGCTCTGAGGCGCACAGAGACGCGCATGTTTTGGCAAACGTCAACCAGCAATAATTTTCATTTTCAAGTTTCATTCGGCAGCTACATGAACATAAAGTAAAATAACACACGCTAAAGCTGTTCTCAGAGATTAAATTTACTGCAAATACTTTTGTCCAGTCAACAAACCCTCTCAACCTTTTCCCAGTTAAAGTTTTTTTTTCCCTTATCTGAATCAAGGGTCTAAGGGCAGAGGGTGTCAAATTCTGTACATAGTGTAAAGCCCCTTTGAAATCTTATATTGCACTATAACAATAAAACTGATTTTTAAACATACAAAATTAAATACAAAATATGCCATGATGTCCTTGTTTGACTTAAACTATCACATATTCTCACATGAGCTGAATTAATATTTCCTTTGGGCCATTTGTTGCTGATTTTGGGAAGCACATGACTGCATGAAGTTTTTGCCTGCACAACCTAGAAGAGAAAGGATCCCTTTTTTTTACTGAAAAACAAAAAACAATGAGTGCACACCTTCAGGCAATATAACATTAACCAAGAAAAGATGCAGCATTACCAAAAAAATAGAACAGCCAGTAAGAGGGAGGTCTCTTAACTAACTAATATTAGTCTCTCAGTTCAATTGTTACTTGTTTGGTAGCACTGTTATATGATCACAGCACATAATAAAACACATTAAGAGCTCAAAGAGGTATATGGGAATGATATATCTATAGATCAATGTGTGCATAAATACAAAAAGCCAACAACCAACAACCCCACAAAGGCTCAAGGGACAGAAATTAAACAGACAAGGCAGACAGAGAAGTAAAATGTGAAAAAAACATCCCTAACTTGGCTGAAGCTAACAGCCCCATGGGTTTCCACATGTCTAACACCAGAGGGAGGCAACCACAAGGTGTAGAAATATCAGCTGCATATACAGTAAACTGCTTTTACAGTATTTTGTCTTCCTATTGACCCGGAGGCAAATATTGTATTTCTGTATCTATCAGACAGCTTTATAGATTAACACAACAGTAAATAAAGTATTTAAAGTAGTAGTTAATTTGCTTTATCTTTACTTAAAAGTGCTGATTAATCTGAAATCAGGTTGTTCATCATAATAACTCAATAATGCCCTTTACTAAGACAGAGGGGGGTTGATATGTTTCCTTTTTCAGGTGATCTGGAGACATTATTTGCTCCAGTGTTTCAGTGGTTCACCTCTACAATCTAATGAAATCCAATTATTCTGCCATAAAGTTTTCTTTTGTGATGCCTATAATGTTCTATTGTTGTTGACACTGTTACAGAGTTTTTAATTAAAGTCATATAAAGTCAAATCATAGTTTGTGATCCTTTTGTACTGAACTGCCTTATACTGAGAGATACTTACAATATTCTGTCCCTATTAAGCAGCGCTTTATATAATGTAGTCCACAACAACACCACCTTTAACTATGACCTCAGTAATAAGCACATAATTGAATTTACACATTTCCAACAATGTCAACATAACCTGAACATAAAGGTTGAATTCATGGCAAAGCTTTTACAATGTAAATGTGCCAAGAATTCACATGATAAGGGATTTAGAATATATGCATTTTAACTTAATCTTGAATTACAAGCCCTGTCTCTCAATCTAGTTATAATTCCAGTATTATTTCAGTTAATCGTATGTAACTATAAATATTAACCTTGTGGCAGAATCAGCCCCTGTGTAAAATGCTGCATAATAATGTGGCTGCCATGTGTAGTCTTTGTACACTGCTGAGTGTTTAAAGGCAATACAAAATGGGTTGATACAAAATGGAAAAAGAACAAGATGCTAGCTACATTTGTCACCAGTGTCCTGATAAAGAGGCTTTAATTTATTTCTGTTTTAATTGTTAAATTGAATATTTGAGATGGATTCCTCTCATTTGACTCAATCTGCTTACACAACAGTATATCTCTATGCACTGTAAGAAGAATTGTACGGACAGACACACACACACACACACACACACACACACACACACAAGCTGCCTGATTAGACAACATTCATAAGGGTTGTGAGTTTGGTTCCTTCTTGTGTCCCAAGGAAGAAAATACTTCACCAAAAACACACTGACACAGTAACGTTCAGTAACCGTCCTGGATGTTGTACAGTTTCAGTAAAATCACTCAAGAGTTTCCAGTAATACTCTCTTCGTGAAATCGTGTAATATTCACTTCCTGAAATGTGTTCCACAAACAAGTCCTGTTTTCTGATCGACTCTTATGAACTGATTTGTGGGGAGACCCCTGACAGCTAGCCAGAAATCGAATGACGGGGAAAAACTACACGAAGGTTTCATTTTTTTTAAGTGGAAGAGGGAGACGAAGGTTGGAAAGCCCCATCAAACCTCCAACGTTTGTCTGCGGAGCACAGACAATAAGCCCAACTAGCCACAACTCATCAGGGAGCAGGAAGCTGGGGGTGGTGGTGACAGAGGGTGGGAGAGTTCAGCAGGAGTCTGCAGCCCCTCCACAGTCGACCCCCTCCCATGTAGGAAGCTACAGCGAGCTTACACACGTGTTGTCGGCTGGTAGTGCGAGTACCCGGCGTTGGGAACCTGGAGGAAACAGGTGCCCTCGGCTTCATTGTTTCCACAAAAGCACCAAGAAAAAAAAAACACACACCAAATCTGGAAAATGGCGGGACAGAATTCACTTAACAGAAGTTGTGATTCATGGGTAGAAAGAGTGTGTTAATAAGAGGAAGGAAGTCCAGGGAGGAGAAAGGTTGAAGCAGGGAAGTGTGGCAGAGAGAGCTGGGTTTTCACTGGTCTGCTCAGCACTTTGGGGGCTATTTTCATATTAATAATTTTAATTCCATAGATGTAAACATTTGTTTATACATCCTATATAATATCACATATATCATAAAACAATATTAAATGAGACACTGAACACCAAAGCTCCAATTGATATAAAAATGATTTAATTTAATTTGTACAAAACCATCTTTGTCCAGCAAATGAACTCATAAACATACAAATGTAATATTATTATCACTTATCCAATTGCTTACAGTCATCTTATTTATGTCGGAAAACAAATCATTTAATTTTTATACTTTATGCCAAAGTACATGACAACTAAGTCCTTTGCCTGCTCGGACTATGAAAGCAGATATCACTGCTTATTTTTTTAAAGAACACGCAGGCCCCAGGCCTCAAGGTTAAGATAAATCTGAGTTAAATACACATTTAACATTTAAGATTTCAGTAACTGAACACTCATTAAGTGCTTCTCCAGGCTTAAAACAAATGTCAGAATTTAATTTACTCCAAAAACTCCAAGATTCATCACCTCTCCTTCATAAAACTTACTTTATCTTTCCTTCAAACCGTTCACATACTCAGACTTCTTTAAAACACAGTGTGCACACATCCCAAACTTCTCTCCATATTCTTGTTCCCTTCTTTTCATTCCTTCACAAACCTTCAAAAACACTTTTCTTAACACCATCTCCATCTCCAAAAAGCCACCCAGGGTTTTTAATGAACCTTATAATAATAATTCTTAAGTGTGTTATGTTAGCTCCAAGCTCCAAAACTCATCCAACAACATGTCAATGCTAATGTTATTTGTCTCTTTCTCCAAATCTACAGTCTGTTAAAAGTTATAAATTACCACCTCATATTTAAAAACAGCTGTGAATAATTTAAAATTGTTAATTAAATCACCAAATTTCACATTTTCTTCAGATTGAGATATTCAGACATTATTCTGATAAACGAGTCAAAGGTCAGACCTCTTCAGCAGACCTGCAGAATAGGCTGGTAGGTCTCAGTCAGGACCTTGTAGCGGATCTTGGTGTTGGTGACGGCTCCGTGTTTCTGACGCAGGTGAAGACGCAGCTGACTCTTGTGGCGGAAGTGAAGGTCACACTTCTCGCACTGAAAAACAAAAGGGTCAACGGATTAAACAAGCAGCGGCATGACGGGACAATGATGAGGGTATTTTGGTATTTTCTGTGTGCTACATGCTGTGTTTCATTGTGTGTGTGTGTCTCTGACTCACAGTGTAAGGCTTCTCTCCGGTGTGAATGCGCAGATGACTCTTCAGGGTCTGTAGGTGGCGGAAGCGGGTGCCACAGGTGTTGCAGGGGTAAGGCTTCTCCCCTGTATGGATCAGGACGTGGGCCCTCAGATGGGCGACCTGACACCAGGACAAACCACACAAACAGGTTGAGAAGTGTGAAAGATGTATGCCTTGCGTTAAATTAAAGTTCTGCTGTTAGGTGCAATATGTTTCCTGTCCACAAGAACTCAAGAAACATTAAAAACGGGTCTCCCTCAAACTCAACTACCTAAAATTTAACTTTTTTAATCACTGTAATGCATGATTTCTTGGTTGAATTCAGACTTTTTAACTGGGTGCCGCTCACTTTTTGAGGATAAATACAAAACGTTATGTGCTCTTACAAGATAATAGTTAGCATGAGGATGTTTTTGTTCCATTGAAGTTTTTAGAAAGGATTTCTTTTAATGGACTTTTAATGAATTACTAACTTAGAGTAAGGGTTGAGTTGGAAAATCTGACATTTACAGGCACCTACAGGTGAGAAAAAGAGGAAACACTCTCTGAGAGGAAGTTATAATGTGTATGACTGACGCCTGTTTTAGAAGAAGTTCATTAAAATCTCCTCATGCACACACACACACACACACACACACACACACACACACACACACACACAGCAGAATTAGCCCTCACCTGAACAAATCGTGCGCCACAGGTGTCACAGCGGTAAGGTTTCTCCCCTGAGTGAATGCGAGAGTGAGTCTTCAGGTTGGCCGGTCGATTGAACTGGGCGCCGCACACATTACAGCGGTACGGCTTGTCACCTGCCAGGTTCAAAGGTCAGCGTCAGGTATTGGTTTTAAATCAAAGAAAAGTGAAAGAAAGTGATTGGGAAAGAGATTCTTTATAGCCTCACCTGAGCAGACTGTCTTGGTTCCTTGGAGGTTGCCAGAATAACAGTAAGGCACATAGTAGTTCTCACGCTTGACTGCATGCTGGTTGTGGTGGGCTACTTCTGCATCAGAGGGGTGCGGGTTTGGGAAAATGCTGCATGGTGAGACTGAGGAAGCAGACAAATACGTACAAACATGAATGAAAGAAAAGGATTTAAGGCATAATAATGTGTTTAAAAGCGACATTTTCCGTTTGCCTTGTACCTGTTCCCTCCTTGTGAGTGGAAGGCACTGTTGGGTGATCCACAGAGGGGGGTGGCCCCAGGGGAGGGGCTCGGCCAGAACCCTCGTAGCAGGAGGCCTGCCCCTGTCTGAGGAAGCAAGGTCCATAGTTATTCTCAAACCTTCAAAAACATGTAATTTCTTTCCTCTGTCATCTAATAATTGGCATTATTCCATCGTACCTATCAATCTGACCAGGCACTTCTCCAGACCACGCCTCTGTTGAGCCCATCCTGTCGACCAGGGGTGATGTGTGACTTTGTGGTGCCTCCATCTCTTCTTCCTTCACTGTGGTGGCTGCACAGAGAGGGTTGAGGACTATGTACTTGTATTTTTTCCAATTGCAGGCCTTTGGGTCTGGTGTGGATTTGACATCACTCTGCAGAAATAAACAAATCCCAGTTAATTACTTCAATTTAAGGCAAAATTTCCCAATGGTAACATAGAGTATTTTAGTACCACTTAGTGATAATTACTCTCTTAGGGCTCTCTGAATACCTTTTAAAAATCCTGCTTAATCTTCTCTAAACTCACCACAAGGTTTTTGTTGCAGGTGTTGGATTCTGCTGGAGAGTTTGGTTGGCAGCTGGAGCGGGTGGGGCTGTCTGGAGATGGAGTCGGGGTGCCCACGAGGGGCGACTCAGGCTCTCCTTTCAGCGCCTTTGACCCGGGCTGGCAGGTCGGGAAAGCCCCTGGCTTGAGAGAGCCCCCGAGCTCCGCAGGGACCCTGCAGGAGAAACAAAGGAAGTGCTGTAATGAGCTAAACCTGAGCACAGACAAAGACACACAAACCACAGCAGCAGCAGCACTTGAGACGATCTGTAAACAAAATCAGAGAGATAAGCAAGGAGGAAATGTAAGAGTCGCACCCACAGAGCACTTTCTGCCAAATTCAGCTCATTAAATCATTTCAGTTACACTCTACCTTGTTGCAGCCATTGTTGGGAGGAATCTCTGGGGTCCTGGATTGGGCAGGTCTCCTCCTTTGGGGGCTACAGAGGCTACAGACACCCTGGAGTCCAGCTCCAGTTGAGGGTGTCTTGCACTCATATTCTCCCTGCTGGAAAACAAAGAACCACCCACAGTGAAAATCAATCAGTTTTGAATCACACTGGATTTTTTTTAATTCAAACTATTTTGAATTCATGTTTCAGTTTATGGCCCAGCTATGTGCATGATGTAATCTGTCCTGGCCTCACAGCAGATGTTCTCTCGCATCCCTCACCAGTGTAGCTGCATGAAATCCCTGCAGGTATCGGCCACGTGGTCCATCTGCAGGTAGGTTGCAGCCGTGAGCACCCCGGGGACGATGCTTGGCGTCAGAGGGAGGCGGGAGGTGTACATGAAGTCGAGCAGCAGGGAGATGCTGGATGGGTTGAGGGTGTCGGGGAGAGACACTGTCATGAGCTGCTCCCCGCTGCCACCACGCCCCTGAAGCAGTACACGGTGAGAGTACAGCGAGTAGAAGAACCCACTGAGAGGAAAGAGGGAAAGATATTTTAATTTGGACCAATTACAGTGTTTTAAATCTGGGAGATAAGGCAGAAATGGTGGAGAAGGGGTGGAGAGAAGAAGACAATGGGTGTTCCAAGTAGAAAGCAGGAAAGAGTGAAGTGAAGAGAGGACAAATTTAGAAGGAGAAAAACAACTATGACTCAACCAGAGGAACAGAGGAAAGATGTATCACACAGAGGGTTGTTTTTAATTAAGAGAAAAGAAAAGAACCTCAAGAACCTCCTCCATGGTTTAAGGCCACAGAGGGAGTATTCTGCATAGACCTTTGCACCAACCTGCAGGCCACAAGCACGGCACAGTGTGCCCGTAGGTGTACATTGCCCACAACCAGGGTGGTGTCAGTCAGGATGTTGCGGTGCCGGAGTTCGTTCAGGTTCAGCAGCACGTCGTTGGAGTGGCGCGTGAACTCCTTCACATATCCCTCAGCCGGGGCAGCAGCCCTCATCTCCTGCACTCTGTCGACCCTGCATCCTTCCAATACTTCCATTGTGCTCGTCTGGATCTGTAGAAAAGGCATTATAGATGAAACAAGCAAGCAATCCATAAAATTTGAATGTTTGTATGAACAGAGATTTTTTTAAGGTATGATGCACAATAATGACCTACCTGTATGTAATTGATAGAATAAATAGACTGGAGTGTCCCAGACACATCTGTTAGGTGAGACCAGCTCCCTACTCGTACCTATATGAGGAAGGAACAAGAAACATCCACATTCAAAGTCATATTATTGCAGATATCAAGAGGGTTTCAAAATGCAGCAAAGGAAGAATTACTGAGAACTCATCAAGATATTAAATGGTGTTAAAAAATCTTAAATTCAAACTATTATAAGACCTACATTGATCTCACAGTCACTGAAAACAAATCAAATCAAAATAATTAAATCATTCACTCCTCTAAAATCTAAATGTAACTGTTAACTATTAAGGATTAATGAAGACAAGACTAATTCATTAAATCACTTAAAAACAATCATGTCAATCCAAGCAATCAGTTATCAGACACTCCATTAAAAAAGTGAATATACTGAAAAAACATTTCTCCAACTTACCCCGACCAGCAGGGACGAGAACTAACGTGCCCCGCGCTGACGTCAAACCCTCTCGACTCAGTGTTCAGTCTACAGTCAAACAGCGGAGCAGGGCCTCACGCACAGCCTCCACTGGCTCTGATCAGCACTGTGAGAGGAGGCTGGAGGGAGGGAAGCTCTTTATAATGTCGTGCAGGAAGCCCCCATACAACCAGAGCTGCTTGTTTCCTCTTTCCTCAATGGCCCACGCGTATACTGGAAGCAACGCAGGAAAAGCCCTGGCCCAGGCCCCGGGCTCCAAGTATTTTTAGTGGCCTATTAGTTTTTCTAAACCCCCATAGCTCTGAGCGAAGTAATGGCAGGAAAGCGTAGTGTGTTTTTGTGCCATGTTGAAAAAATATATATGAGGACCCTTGGGGAGAAGCGGTACGTGCCTGACTATCCAGGGGTAAGCCAGAGAGCATCAGTGTTCCCCCACCAACGCTTTCCTACCCTTCACCCCACTCCAGGACAGAGGAAACTGTCTGAGAGGAAGCTGGAAGACCAACTTATTGTTGGATAAACAAGCTGTGCCCTCATCATTGAGATCTTATCAAAAATAGTTTTTTTTATTCAAGTTATTCAAGTTTCACTCACATTTTGCAACATTATTTCTCAAGCATTCTTATTTAAAGTCCCCCTTCACTCAGAAATGTGTTTTTCATCTTGTTCCTACAGTTAGATGTTTGATCTTCACATTGCAGAATGATGTGTGTGCAGAGTTTCACATTCATCTGCTGAACGTAGAAAGTTACTCTGTGCTCATTGAAAATCGGATTTTTAAAGGGCGGGGCCTACGAGCATGATTTGTGACATCACAAATAGTTTAGAAATGAATCCTGGTCCTTGTTTTGCAGAAAGAAATATATTAGACACACATTATTGTTCCAAGCAGACTATTTGTGCATAATGTCTCATTACATGTCAGGAGGAGATCTTTAAGTATAAGAAGCAACGACCCTCAAAGTGAAACTGTGTCATTGCTGAGTTGAGCAGTTCAAATGTAAACGGGCATTAATAATAAGGGCCCCACAACAGTGTCCGGAAGCTCCTGGCTTGCTGCCTGAGAGCAGAGGCGTTGTGTTATGAGGACCAAAAGGAAGGAAGCAAGACCAAATTGATCCATCTAGATGGGAGACACCTTCTCCTGGTGGTGAAAAACAACCTTTGCCCCGCCCTGACTGAGAGAAATGCAGCCGACAGATGTGCAGGAACTGCCCTACACACCAACACCCACCCACACACACACACACACACACACACACACACACACACACACACACTTGTGAATGCATCCTGCAAAGCTGCTCAGAGACATGGATGAAAATGCCTGCGCAGGACATCCGTCAATAATAAAGCGAGCAGGAGACAAGGGAGGAGAAATGGAGGTGGGGGGGGGACAAGGGCTCAGAGGTCACGAATAACTAAAAAACAAGCGGAAAGTTACCTCATCCTTAGGGCAGCATTGGGTTCACAGAAAACCAGCCACAGGACAGTTAATTGAGGCACCGCGAACGTGAACCATGAACTGTATTTCCTTCACATCAAAGTATTTTACAGGAGGAGACACAGAAGAAGGAGGAGAGAAATCTTCAAGGTTGACTCAGGGCAGATAAGCTGTTCTTGCTCATACAAAGCTGGGACTGCAGGATGATTCACCTGGTCGATGGATTTATAAAGAGAAATCAGAAGATTGATTACTGTGAAAGAAATATATAGACTGTCTTAACAGTGCAAAGAGCAGTGGAAAAATAGATAATTGTATTCATTTATATTATTAATTTATATTTTATAAGTGTATTATATAGAGAAGTAAACTAGGAGACTCTACAATATGAATGAGGTGGAAAATAGGTTTTTTATTGCATGCAAGTGTAGGTTAATTTTAAACTGCAACAAACTAATAAATTATCTTTTTATAGATTCAATTAAAATCAGACAACATGACCATGTTTGGATGGACCTTTGTAAATGTGGATCGGAAGTAAAGTGTTTGCACGGGGGTGCAGAGCTCGTGTGCGTGTCCTTGTGCTTTTATTTGTTTGGATGGAGGTCGGATCAATTGTGTGCTTTGTAAAAAGAAAAAAAGGAAAAACCATAAAGGAAAACAACGATTAAGAAAACAGAGAGGGAGATGTAGGTCTCGGCTACTTCCAGGCATTGTGAGAAGAACGGATGAGGGGGGCGGTTGAGGAAAAGTGAGAACATTACTAAACAGGTTCACCAATGGCCGGAAGCCATTGAGTCCATCCCGTTGGCAAAGCTTGGCAACGCTCATGGTGACTTCCTGCTTCTTGCCCCGTCCATCAGTGCCCATCAGCGACCCCATTTTTGATTAAAAACCTTAAAATTGAATTTTAATGATCTTTCTGCAATCCTCAAACGAAGAACAAACAGTTTAGTTTTTATGAGCAAATAAAACGTTCAACTGTCACTCCTCGTCAAACAGAACAAAGGCAGGGATTCCCCTTGTTTTGTGGTTTCCTGGTTGCCTGGACAGAACTATACTGTTTATCTGATAATGTATGGGCCGAAGCCATGCTTTGACTTCAAATCCCCCCAGTTGGTGCCAAAGTGTTGATGGCTCGTGCAACAATAACAAATCTGCTCAAACTGCCTCTTCCTGTGATTGCAGAGCACTGTGGACATATATGGGCAAACAGCGAAGCTACTGGAAGGAGGAGCAGGAGGAGGAAGCGGGGATATCCCAGGGAGCAGCCTGGGTTGTTTGTCCACTTACTGGCAAGAGACAGACTGGGAAATAAATAAATAAATAAATAAATAATGAAGTTATGAAACCTTTGAAGAAGAGCCTCGGGGAAAGCACCGGGCCCCCCAACATGGTGCTGGGTGGAGTGGGAGGAAGAAGAAGAAGAAGAAGAAGAAGAAGAAGAAGAAGAAGAAGGAGAAAGAGGGTGGAGGGATACAGGAGAGGGACAGTTGACCCAAATCTCATGAACTGCATAATAATAAATCAAGAGCTTGACCTCCATATTCACTGCCGCTTACAGGGTGGTAAACAACTGGGGATACAGAGAAAACATACCAATTAAGAGCAGACTGTGTGCTCAATGGGAAGCCTTATAATTACAATCAAAACCCAAAATAAAATAGCTTAAATATTGATACAATAATTAAAATGTGTTGGTACAAGCTCAGTATTTCTGGGCTGAGTATCATTTGTCTTCTAAAATATACAGTTGAGAATAAACTGATTTAATGCTATATTGTAATGTACCTTTCTGTACAATTTAATTCAGCGATATATACATATATTCTGTATTAAATAGAGAGTATATGTATATGTATGTAATGTATGTATTGATCTGTCTTGGGCACAAACATTTCCTTTGTGTTAATTACAGTTCTATTTAATTTTATCTCTAAATAATGATTCACTGTAACACTATTGTCTTCCTGCTCCAAGATTTGTCCTTTGACGCACAAATACAGCTCACATATACAAAAACAGATGTTAGCAATATAATACGTTTTTTAATGTCAAAAGACAATGTTAAAAATAAATATCTATAAAGTATATATATTATTTTAATTTATTACACTATGTTTTTATTTAAACAGGTACAGGATTTACTTTTAATACACTTTTTTTGGTTATGTCTGATGCCTCTATACCCTTTTCCTGCAGACATTATATTTAATTTTAACTTTATTTCATTTTATTTTAATATTTGGAATCTTTCCTAAACATATAAACATATAAAATTCAGCTCTCAAAACTGTGTTTCTTGTTTATAAAGTATAGGATACTCCTATTAAGGCTAGTATTAATATGTATGTGACAGACCCCCCCACCTCCCTCTCCCTCTCTCTCTCTCTGCACACACACACGCACACACACACACACACACACACTCTCTCTCTCTCTCTCTCTCTCTCTCTCTCTCTCTCTCTCTCTCTCTCACACACACACACACACACACACACACACACAGAGGCAGCAGTACGTCACACATCGGGAATGCAGTGAGGATCTGCTGCTGCTAAAGGCCTCAGGATCCGTCACAAAGTAGGTTAACGACGCTAAAGCTAAAAGAAAGTAGTTTGGGGATAACTTTCACTGACCTCTGAGCTTTGAAACGGAGGGGCAGTGTGTGTGTGTGAGGCTCCTTTCGGGCGGTAGGTGTCGGATATTTCATTGTTTGCTCTCCGGTTCTGTTGAAGTTAGCCTGGAGGCAAGGCACGAGCTCTGCTCGAGTTCAAAACAGGCTCGCAAACAAGTAAACAAGCCTGTTATTAAAGTTAAGTATTGCTAATTATCCTTCATTATGGGTGCTTGTATTACTTAAGTGGTGTGTTTTTACACGTATGTGACGCACACGGACAGATTTGGACATTTCTGTTTCTGTTCAGAGGTTAGAGACTGCTGAGAGGAGCTAACGAGGCCGATACAAACTAAGAAATGTCGCCTTTATGTGAATGTGTGTGTTTAATGTGCCGTCTGCGTTGTGTTTGACCGATTGTACATTGTTCTTGATTTGTAGATGAGACTGAAAGGAAGAGGAGAGTCACTGTAAAAGGTAGGGAATGCTAATAGGATGCTAATATTGATTACAGATACTGTGTGTGGGTGTCTTTTGTTTTCTTAATGTTAATTATTAACCCATACTGACTTTAACCATGTTGTCCTCCTGTTATTTATAATTTTAATGTAACTAGCACACGTCGCTACATTATTAAGCTACATTGTGTCAAACATGTTAAGCTGACCAGAGCCCTTCAAAATAAAAGCATGATAATACGCTAATCGCTGCAGAATAACAAAAAGAAGTGAGTTAAACGGAGAAAAGGAGTCATATGAATTAAATTTGTATTTGCTGCCAGTCGCTTCAGCCTGTCTGTCTCTCTGTTTAATCATTTGTCTGTGTGGCTGAAACGCTTAAGTTAAGACACATTTTATTTTGAATTTTAATCACACCGGATGTCGTCTTTGTTTATTCCCTCTTTCTTTACCCTTATGACTGTCATCAACTTTGACATTTTGTGAGCTGCTACGCCTCTGTTTGCGTCGAGCCGAGCTAATAAATGAACAAATAGACGAGCTTTGTGTTTTAAATCACATAAAACAATAAAACCCTCACACCTGGCTTTTAAACACTGAGTAATAAAACCCGTTCAGATTAATGTCCTGGCCCAGCCATCCGCGGATTTGAGTGAGTGCTCATCCGGATTCAGACAGGGGGCTTAAATCAGGTCGGTTGTGGAGGTGGTGGTCACTCTTTCCTCCACGTGGTCACTGTGCAGTGTCAGTGAAGTCCACACTGATAATACATACCAACTTAAACATGTAGTAAATGAATAAAAGTCAAAACCAAAACCAAAAGGCTTTAAAATGCAGCGTTCAGGCAATGTGTTTCTGTACATCATCCTCTCATCCATCATCATAATCCTCTTACCAACAAGGATTTATGACGGACACACGACCCACATACAATCAGTCTGAGTGGGCTGTTAATTTCTCCACTCTGGTAATATCGGTTTGACTCTGAGATCCATTCAGGGAATGGGTCAGTCACACAGTGGCTTTTCCCAAAAAGTTTATAACTGTAGTTATAGCAGTTTCCTTTGTGCATGCAGTCTGTGCATTGATGATCATTTTAAAGAGCAATATGTGTTTGTAAAATGGTTAAAATGATGAATCCATTATCAAAAAACTGGTTAAATCTAATCAGCACTAACTTCAAAGCCCTAAATCCTCTTCATGCTTCCTTGTTATGTAACTTTTAACATTTTATCTGTATTCCTGTGATATAAATCAGTGTTTTGAAGTAGATTTTCTTCCATTACAGATCAGTATCTTTAATAAAGGCCTTCAGGTGCAAGTCAGCACTTTGTCGGCTCAGCTGTGTGCTGAGGTGTTGTTATTTATCCCACAGAGAATACATAATATATTGTTATGAGCCAGGTGTTCACATGTACACAGACACATATCATCACACAACATTTCCTGCCCTGTTTTTGTCTCTGCTTCATTTGGAAATCAATGATACCAGTGTGTAAACACCCAAAGACAATAACCATTGTGGTGTATAACAAGCAAGGGGTAACCAGCGGACTTGCACCTGTTTGTGTGTCTGTGTACGAGTTTGTGTGCGAGTGTACCACAGAGTTCTTTTTTTTACATGATTGTTTGTCTCGTAGTGCACAAACACACACCGTTTAAGGGCAATGTGCAAGGCTGCTGGAAATCCCCGAGCCTTTCAGAATGGCCGCTTGTCTTCCTGCTCCTCAACTAGAAGCCTATTGTTCAATCTGTGTGTCTCCGTTGCCATAGGAAACAAAGTCTGAAGCATCCCTTTGTTTCCATTGGTTACCTGTTACGTAAATATACACAACATCCATAACTGGGCTCATGCAAATTATGGATAAAAACATGTTCATGTGTACTCGCTGAACTTTTATCAGGCAGAGGAATATTGTGTGGATGTGTGTACACAATGTAAACTGTATTCATAGATCAACCTGACGGACACATCTTCCTCTCTCGTTGTGCTCTCAGGAGCCTGCCATGTCCGGTCCCACTTGGCTTCCACCGAGGACTCTGGATAGCCCAGAGCGAGCCGTCCCCCAGATGTCCCACTCTGCTGGGTCAGCGATCTACCGGGCCCCCAACAAGAAGGGGATGCCCGACTTCCGGCCGAAGTACGGCCCCTATGACCAGAACGGAGGAGGAGGAGGAGGAGGAGGAGGTGGAGGTGGAGGAGGAGGAGGAGGGATGGCCAACAGGTACATGGCTACTGGACCCACAGGTGAGAAGACCAGTAGTCACACATTGAAGTCAGTGATGGCATGTAAATAAATGTAAACTAAAAATGTAATTGCACTTTTCAGATCAAAATAAATACATTAATACCATCATATATAATTTACTGTTTCAATCTCATGGGTCAACACACACACACACACACAACACATCTAAAAGATACAAAACACACATTTATTATTCAATAAATAATAAATGGTCACAATAAAACCGGATTTAAATTTTTTTTTTTTCTTCAAAATACATAGCTATTGCATGGTGACTCGTGCCTTATTCAAACTGTACCAACATTTACACTTAAACTTCTTTCTTACTGATCATATATGACACACAATAACATCCTTCACGTTTAAGTCTGTGCATACTGTTTATTTATATCTACACAACAACCACAACAACTGGACTTTCAGTTGAGTGTATTTGAAGTTTGGCTTCTTCTAAGGGAACTGTTATACATGTCTTTACATTAAAGTCTTATTTCAATATGTCCAATCTCTAGATCATAATAAGGAAAGACTTTTGGAGAGAAGACCTTTTGGCCCACGTTAAAGAGGTTGAAGATTGTCTTGGAAAATAGTTTTTTAATATCTCTTTTCTGATCTTAAGGTGGGCCCATTCATCATTCCTCCAACGATCACTATTACCCTCCACCCCACGGGCCCAAAGAAGACCGCAACTGGAGCCCCCACATGGACAGCTACGAGCTGATGGTGGGTGCAAGTTTCTGTCACTTTACTGATAACAAAACAACATTGTTGACTTGTTTCACTTCCCTACAACATCAGTTTAACTTTGCTGTTCTGTTATTAGCACCGTGGTCCTGAAAAGCCGGCGAGCTATCACTCTAAAATCGATGCTGATATTGACTCCCTCACCAGTATGCTCGCTGACCTGGACAGCCACCCACAGGACTCCAGCACACAAGTGAGACAATACTCTTTACTGATACTGCGTTAAGTGTTCTCTCGAGAAATTGAACTCAACACTTGCCTTTTGTTTTCACAATCACTCCCCACAGCTGTACGACAATGTGCCTTACAACAAATACCTCTCAGGGGATCATTACAAGCCTGCGCACCAGAACGCAGCCCCTCCTCAGGGTCGGCCATCCATGGGCTACCCCCCTCATCCCCAGAGCCAATACCACCCAGCGCCCCCTTACCCCAGCGAGCACCAGTCACCTCAGTACGCCACCTCCCACCAGCAGGACTACTACTCCTCCTCTTCAGCCCCTAAACCGTACCCCCAGCCTGTCCCAGCCTCCTACACCACAGCCTCCACTCCCACTGGACCCAGGTTCAGTGTCCAGGTGAAGACAGCACAGCCTGTCACCTACTCTCAGACAGGGAGACAGGCTGAACAGGCCTACACCCCACCCCCTCCTCGCCAGCACATGTCACGCCCACCTCCCCAGACTCAGACAAGTCAGCAGGGCTGGTACCCTCCACATCAGGCTCAGGAGATGCACTCCGAGGTGGGGTACAAGGGGAACAGCTCAGGGTCCGGAGGAAGAGGTAATCAGGTTCCGCTGTCCAAGAGAGGGATGGAGAATAACCAGACAGGGTCCGGGGCTGCACAGAGTCCTGCTTATCAGTCCAGTAAGGTAGGGACACACATCTACACATCTCTGTTTTAAAATTAAATGTGAGCTTTAAATTAAATTAGAAAATTGTGAGTTGTTGATATTGACTGATCCAAATGTGAGCACAAGAATAAACATACACACAACTATACTGTCAATAATGCTGGATATTAGTGCCAGTATGTTACCTGCATTTTCAAATAATACATTGATACCCTAATTTAAGAGAAATTAACATGCATTTCTACAAAATCCTGTTTTCATTTTACAGAAAATGTCAAATAAGTATAAACTAGTCAGAAACTGGCTAAATGTTGAATTAAATCATATCTAATTAAAGATCTGACCAAATATTGGATGTCAGCTTCGGTATATGATTTGATTCTCGTTGCTACTGACACATTTCTTCTCAGCTCCTAACTATCCTAAATATTAAATTAACTGGTTTTGAAAGGGATGATTTGTGGTCTTTTGGTGTGATTCGTGTATTCTCTCCTCTCAGCAGGGATTAGTAACACCCAGACCTGAGGAAGAGTTGGAACGACTCACCAAGAAGTTGGTATATGATATGAACCACCCCCCTTCGGAGGACTATTTTGGTACAGTCGCCGCTCGTTACATTAACAACCTATGACACCGCAAACCGTCCACTCTGGTATTTAAAGTAAAACTCGTGATACGTGACACTTTCACCTCCGCCTCCAGGTCGCTGCGCCCGGTGTGGTGACAACGTGGTTGGTGACGGCAGCGGCTGTATCGCCATGGAGCAGGTCTTCCACGTGGAGTGTTTCACATGCATCACCTGCCACGCCCGTCTCCGAGGGCAACCTTTCTACGCCCTCGACAAGAAGAGTTACTGTGAGAGCTGTTACATTGTAAGTAAAGGAACAACGTCTGCTCATATACACTAAATAAATACTTCTATACTTCCTGGTTTATTCTACTTCCTTTCCTCTGTTCTGTCCTTCCTACTCTGATCCGTACACCTGTCTCTACTTTTCTTTTCAGAGTACATTAGAGCGCTGTTCAAAGTGCTCCAAGCCCATCCTGGACCGTATCCTGCGGGCCATGGGGAAGGCCTACCACCCTCGCTGTTTCACATGTGTGGTTTGTAACTGCTGCTTGGACGGGGTGCCCTTCACCGTGGACGCAACCTCTCAGATACACTGCATAGACGACTTTCATAGGTGCAAACACATTGAAACACCATGCTTGCTTGTTACATGATGTTCTTCCTGATGTCCACTAACTGTAAATTCTGGTGCTTGTTCTCCCCGACAGGAAGTACGCACCTCGCTGTTCAGTGTGCGGTGAGCCCATCATGCCCGAACAGGGCCAGGAGGAGACCGTGAGGATAGTGGCTCTGGACCGCAGCTTCCACGTTAACTGTTACATCTGTGAGGTGAGTCTGGACCGGATTATATAACACAAAACACCAGAAACAGCAGGACCTGTTGATTTAATTTTGATAGGTTTGAGAGTTAAGAGTATTGGAGTTTGATTTGAGAATGCACATTCTTCTTGAGATTATAGTTTTAACGCAGGTAGAAGGAGAACTGTTGATTAAGACAAAGTTTAATGAGTCAGTTAACAGTCACTTATTATAAGTTATAAGAGGCATTGACATTTGATGAATAGGGTCTATGTAGCTCTTTTAAACTATTTAACTAATAAGAAAAGTTATAGTAAGACTACAAGATTTGTGCAAAATGTTTAAGAAAAACCTAAACTTGCATGTAAAATGTAGAATTAAATGACTTTGTCACTGTATTTGCTGGATTTGTAACCTTTTTACGTGTATTTGTGAGTCCGTGTGAGAGTGTTAAGTTGAACTGTGTCTGTATCCATCAGGAATGCGGCCTCCTGCTGTCCTCTGAAGGGGAGGGTCGAGGCTGTTACCCGCTGGACGGCCACATCTTGTGTAAGAGCTGCAGCGCTCGCCGCATCCAAGACCTCTCAGCCAAAATCTCCACGGACTGCTAACCAAACCTCCTGCGTCCTCTCACTCTCGCACATCCACGGACGAGTCAACATATTACACGTCGTCGTTGATAGTACAGAGAGGAAATGCCTGTGCTTTGTTCAGAGTCGTGAGCTACTTTTTCTTTTCTTTTTTTCTTGGTTGCTCTGACTGTGAGTTGACATAAACATTGCTATAGTTCCCTCTGTTGGTATCCAGCTGCAATTTCATTTACAGAGGAACACTTACTGATTTAAAATTAGAGTTCGGATGGAGCAACCACCTTTGCTACCTTGTTTCCTTCCACTCAGAAGTCCTACGACATTTTTCTTTCACTTTTGGTACACAGCTGCCCCATTTTTCATGTTTAGTTCTGTATTAGTTTGACAGTGGCCTGACCTGCAGGCAGCTTGGGCTCCACTTACCATTTATTCACACCGGTACTGCTCAACTATTAGCTCGCACATTGTTATGGTATGAAAGGATATTATAGATTTTGACCTGAAAATGAGGAGGGTTATTTTTGTTTGCAAAAGAAGCAGCATAAAGGATAATTAGGATGACGGCTTGTCTTAATCCGACTCAACGACGGGACCTGTACATTTGTAAAACACTAAACATTTAAAGTGCAGAAACTGCCTCAAAACAAGCATATTAAAAAGCACATAATGCAACAACTGTGACTGTACATAACAGGCTGGTTTGGTTTGATGATGAAACTGTTTTGGAAAAAGCATGTAGCCTTTTTAGTGCAGTGAAAGTAGCCTCATAGCACGAGAAATGTAGACGAAAGGAATGTGTAGTTCACTTTACGACCCAGACCGTAGTTTTCTTTAGCTTTTCTTAATCGCTAGTACAATATTCGCTACATTACAGTATCATGTTTAGTTATTAAATCAAAGCTCATAACAGGATTTTTGCCATTTCTTTTTATTATTTTTTTTAATCATCCAGAATAACATTTTTGAATGTCTACGAAACACAATCTTGCTTTGGTTTGTTTAACATTTGTTTTTGGTTGATACTTGACTGTTACATTGAAGATGATGGTGCAATGAAGTCAAACGCTTTGTTCTAAGGAAAAACAGGGTGTCGGCCCCTAACGAGAACATCCTATTGTGTGAAGCTTGAGCCTCGTGAAGAGTACATGTGCCATTTACGGGGGAAATATGAAACTAAAATTATACTCGATTTAAAAGTATATGGGTTGAATTCATTTACTCGACAAATACTGTTTATTCTTCACATTAGATTAAATAAAAGTGGAATTTAACGTGATGTTTTTTGTGATTTTGGAAAACAGCTCTTCACACGCGTTGTTTTTTGTTCGTCCTTGCACTCATGTGGGCCAAGTTTTCATTCTCTGAGACTTTGGAGCTACAGTATTTGTTATGATTGTGTTTAACCTCTTGTCTTTCCGTCCTGATTTTTGTACACGTGTAACTTTAAAGGGCTAAAAATCTCAAAAGCCTTACCTCAAGGATGTCACTCAGTTTCATAATGATCCCTTTTTTTTTAAACCGGATTTGTCTGTGAGTTCTGCTTTTTTTTTTCTTTTGTGACAGATTGTGATCATGCTATAACGGTTCAGTTTTTCATCTCTTGTTAATTTATCTTGTGACGTGTATACTGTGTTAGCATTAGCATCCGCTTTTTTATCAACTTTATCACTTCATTCGTGCTCAGATGTGTCCTTTTTTCTTTTTTAAATCCTGACCCATTTCATCTCTCGTGTCCATGAATCCCGTCATTTTCTTTCCGTTCCATTTATCCTCCTTTACTGTGTTCAGTGTTGAATGCTGTGAATTGGAGCTTGTAGATCAAAGCCTGTGGTACTGCAGCAAAACTCTGTCTGCTGATGAATTCACACTGGTTACACAATTGAGGTCATTTTGTATGAACAGGTTGTTCCAGTACAAATGGCAGTTAGTTACATTACTGGCAGAGCATGTGAACACATTTTCTCCTAATACAGGTTGTAGTAACATAATTATTAAAATGTCAACAAGTCTGTCCTGTGTTTGTCACCTTTTTATACAAATATTTAAAGTTGGAAAGTTGGTAAAAATCTGGGTCATTTTGGATTGGAGGCTCCAAGACGGTGTTAAAATGTGAGTCTGAGTTTGAAAGACTCACCAGATAAGAACAGTCAAAATATGCAGTTGTGTTGCATTAAGGTACATGTAGGATGCAGTGTTTTAAGGAGCTTTACCCATATTTAAGACTTGAAGTGAGTTTAAATGTAACTCTTGTAAGTCTCCAAACGTCATGTGCAATACTAAATAACTGGAAATACCATTTTAAATCACCAAAAATTATCCATAAAATCACAAAAGTTTTATTTTAGACACTTTACATCCCAACCAATCTCAAAACATCCAACCTCATTACTGTTTACAACTGCCCAATCACCTGTTTAATTTGACCTCTTGCAGTAAATGATCCAGTTACAACAAAGTGAGCAAACATGGAAGAACTGATCCTTCAGTCAAAAACAAAAATACTCCCAGCTTGAACGGCTCTTGCACTCGTGTTAACACGAGGTGAACGTCTTCCAGAAGAAGTTGCGGCAGCCTGCCTTGCGCTCTCTTTGGGAGAATGGAACATGTCGCCGCATCACCTCCTCCCTGACTCCCGCCTCCTCAGCCTCCTCCGGCTCGGGGAACATCTCGTCTCCTCGGGCCGCCATCAGTTCGGACACAAACTTCAGCAAGAGCAAGTGAGCGAGATCCTGCGGGAGGATAAAAGAGGAAAGGAGCTTAAAAAAAAGCAAGTTGTTCCAAAGTGTTAGACACCGTATCTCAACTCCTGATTGGCACTCCCCAAATTGAAGTCTTTTCCATATTAAATATGATTCACTCACCTTGTCATTTGCGAGATCTGCTCTCAGTGTCTCTGTCAGCATGTCTCTGTGTGGAGCACCGCTGACCTGCACCAGAAGCACAGAGGAAAACAAAGCCACGAGAAGTACCTGCACCTGAGAGCGAAGCATCTCCAACTCAAACAGCAAAACACAAGAATTCAACTCTTATATTCCCCCGATTCCCTGTTCAACAATGACGAGGTGCAATGCTGCAAAAGTGCCCCAAATATAACAAACGCTGACCAATCAGAAGGTCGCTTATCGCTGTTTGAGTAGGATGTGTTGAGCTGATAAATAGCTCTCTTCATCTTCAGATCCTCCTCATCCTCAAGCCAACGAAAGGATGTGATTGGTGGAGGAGAATGGTGGAGGGGAGGGAATTGAGGAGGTGTGTGGTGGAGGTTGTGAACAGGAAGTGTCACTGTATGGGATAAGGTCATCTTCAGCCACGACGACACTCCAGTGAGACGTCCAACAAAACCTCCAAGAACTGACTGTTTGGGTCGATCGGCTCTCATGTTGCAGTAACTTTAAATGTGAAATATATAAGTCAAACTTAATGGAAACAGGACTTTACTTCTGTCAGTCATGATTAGCTACAGCAGCTTTGTATGTGTCATGGACTCAACATGAGGCCTGCATGCTGTGCAGTGCTGCTAATGACACAATGTGACTCAAATGTTAATGAGGCTGCTAACCAGTCCAACTCTCCACCACCGTCACTTTGAGTCAGAGGAAAATAAACACGGGGAACAGCTAAATGTCAGACTGCAAACAAAACACTTTGTGTACGTGTTTTGTTTGCAGTCTGGGTATAAAGGAGGACATAATTATAGTGTTTGGTCAAGTTTTCCATTAAGTGTTATCACTTTTAATCTTGTCTGAAATGGAAAATTGGCAATAATTTATAGTTTGACCACCCGAAAGCTTGATGTGGAAGCACTGGGAAGGTCACCGAGCTACCCAGTTAACTTAGTTCAGTGGTTGTCAACCTGAGGTTTGGGGACCACCCAGGAGGTCACGAGATCAATCTGAGGGGACGCAAGACAGTTAAAGTGGAACAAATTATACACATGAAAGTCTGTTTACAGTAGGTTCAAAGCTGTTTTAAAAACCTTTTGGCTCAAGGCCAGATTTGTCATATGTAGCATTACAGATGGTGGTCGAGTTGCATTGTGGGTAATGTAGGCGCCAGGTTTATGACCAGGAAGATAAGTGGACTAAAAAAAGACAGATATCTCTGGTTCTGCTGCATTGATTTTTATACTTTTTTAACTTAAGAGAAAGCAGAAAAAACATTGATGCTAAAATAAATCTTGTAACAGGTGAAACCAGCAGTTCTGATACTTTTATGGCTCAATATTGGTGAAAGTAGTCACAAAATGAGTCAAGTTGGATGTATTTTCTTAAAATACTATTAAACTTTTTTTTTCAGCTTTACATGAGCTGAATAAAAATAAATTCATGTTAAATGAAGATGAACTGAAGCCCATCAATCATATTTGAGGGATTAGCATTAGTCGTATGAAAGCACTCTTGTTTATTTATCATTCTCACATTAACCCAATTCATTAATTCTCCACATTTCCCCTCCAGTCATCCACCATCAGTTTGAGAACCACTGACCTTTTTACCACCACAGGACTCTCACCGATACGTCTGATTACTCAGTCTTTAATCATGACACGACTCGACTTAAAGTAACATTTTCTAAGTAGTGAAGATGTTGTGACCATCGGCGTCCAGCTGTGCTGTTCTGGACGAAGGGGAGGGGGATCCAACAGTGTGATGATCACACAGATCACACTTCCATTGCCTCCACACCTGCTGCTACACAATACAAAATTGTTGTCGATGTGTCAGCACTTTGTCAGTTTTAATTAAACATCATCACCTGTTGTTAACACGCAGTAATTCCTCCCGCTGATCTGCATCTGAACATGATTCTTCATGCTGTTGTTCATTTGAGTATTTATCTATATCTATATATATTAATCTATAAGGAGACAAAGAGAGATCGTCATTTATGCTGCCAATTTGTTGTGTATGTACATGTATTTATCCAGTATAAACTGTGTGTATGAGGCACACACAGTAAGATTAGATGAGTTATTAAAAGGGATAAATGCATTGATCTGTTAGTGGAGAAGCAGACTCAATCAGTAATGCTGGCAAACAAAAATGGTGGAAGAAATATACTTTATATGTGAAAATAAGTTAAAGCCCTGCATTGAAAAAGTATTATCAGCAAAATGTACTTAAAGTATAGAAAGGTAAAGTACTCCCAGTCAGTGTTTTATATATTATGTATCACTGCTGCATTAATGTGTAAGTTGCATTTTACTGCTGTAGATGTTTGAAGTTAAGCTCATTTTAACTACTTTATATACTGTTGGGGGGTTCAAACTACAGCAATGCATCGTATTATAAAAGATCATCATATGTTTATGCTGTGAGAGCCACGTGTCTCTATAAAGTTATCAGAAAAACTGCTTATATTCAGTTTTGTGACTGAGTTGTGTATTGTTGGGTGTTTGACAAACAACAACTGTACAATTAAATCCTTTACTTCCTATATTTGAAACTCCAAATCAAGAATCAAACATTCACCTAACCATTTAAAATAAACTAAAAAACGTTATTCTTCCTCGAAATTATAAATTGAACTCATAACTGTATAAAAACCCTTTAATAATCTCAACACTCATCAACCACTCCACCTCTAACTGCTGCATTAAACAATACACACTCCGTCCACTGGGTGTCACTGTAAGATCATATTTTTATTCAGAGCCTCAAACGCAGCAGTTCACATGAAGGCCTTTAATGTAATATAGGTTTATAGAGTTTTTGGCGATTTACTTGTAATTATAAGACATGTATCACCTGTGTTTACAAAGATAAAGGCGGGTAAAACAACCTGGAGCTTTGTGCTAATGAGCGTCTCAATTAACAGGTGCGTCAGTCAAGATGGCGACACTGCCGAAGATAAACACACTGACACATTTCAAAGCGAGATATCAACAAAAGTCTACATTTACTCTTGAAAAATGAAGATATTATTCCATATTTTGTGTGGGTAAGTTTCATGTGAAAGGGAAAATAGCATGTTTTACTGTAAGTTCAGCCTCATACAAAGATATTTGTTTGTTTCAGTGTGATGTTGCTCCTCGACTCACCTTTCTACTGTGTTACCAGTGCAGTGCCGACAGGTAAGAGCAGTTTATGGAGGCACAATAAGGGGTATCATAAAGCCAGAATATACTGTTTTATAACATTACATAGAATAAGAACCAGACAACTCTAGAGGGCCCTTCAGGAAAGAAGTGGATATTACTTCAGACACACTAATAAAGTGATTTTCTTTCAATATAGTGTATTACCTTCCCTTGCACAGAGTTTTATATGCCAGGACTATTAAATATGCTTCCACAGGGGAAATATCGTACTGTTAGAGAGCTCTTGTGTGAAATTATATACAGGATATGGTGCAGTGTGGAGTGAGATAGAGCAAATACTGTTATTTCATGGTCCCCCTGAACGTTACATTATCTAATAAGAGCTGCAGTTTGGTGATATGGCTGGAATCAGTTAGTTGTTATTAAATATGTCTGTACTATATGGCTAATTTATGCTAAACTCTGGATCAAGTAATAAAATGTACGTTCAAAGCCATGGATACTGTCCCACTGTTATGTATAGACAAATGTATTTTCATATAATCATAATTCCACCAAAGGTTTATACACAATAATAATCCATTTATGCCCAGACGTATTGCATCAGAATGATCTAATCTCAGTTTAATGCATTTCTTTACATAATAATTGTAATAATTGTCTTGAATTGACGCCATTTGTAATATTTCCAGGACAGTTTCAGACCAAATGTCTTGAACGTCACTTTCTGCTTTCTGTCAAGTCGAGCTTTCTTGGCCTGATGATCCGTTTTGACTTTGAAGGTATGTTTCTTTATCGTCCTCGAGGAAACATTTGGGTTCTCTCCAAGACTGGTTGATAATCTTTTGCTGTAAACCACCAGATCAGTATGGAGTCCACCTGTTGTCCGATCAGGAGGTGACGCTCTGTGGTTACACTGTCCTGATCGATGATGTTGGAGACCTGGTGTTTCGTGCCTCCTTCCTGGCCTGTCATGTCCACAGCAAGGTAGATTTATCTGCAGCTCCTCCTCTGCAGAGAGCCACAGACTATCGCCTGCGTCTGTGGTTTGTGAACGTGCAGGCAGACGGGAAGGTGGCCGCGTATCCCTTCCAGCTGCACTGCTCCCTCCCGGGGCGGTGGAGCACCAGAGAGATCGTGTGTGAGGAAAACTACATGGAGGTGAGTTACTTCCTCATCATCATCAACCACCACTTATTCTCCAACTCGTGTTCGGTTCACTTTTCCTTTTTCACTAAGTTTTGGTGCATTTAAGTGAGAGAATCTGCTGCATTATATTTGTTCTTGAACTGAATAGAATATTTAAAGGATGTTTAATTAGGATGTATCCATAAAGATTAAGAGATGGAGGAGATTTGAGTATATGCTGTTATAAAATAAAAGATGAGGAACAGAATTCCCTGCTTTGTATTGAAAAATAGAGCTTCAACCAGTAATGAATTAAGATGCAACACTATTATTATATGTTAATATTTATAAAAATTGGTTGATATATTGTTCATTTTACTTATAAATGAAAAATATTTGAATCCACTTAGGTTAAATATGGTCAAAGATGATGGTAATGTTGTTTTATATGTTTAGTATCTATGGTGATCTATATGTCAGTATACGAGGAAACTGGAAACAAGCTCAAACACCATTTCTGTCTTAAACAACAACACAGTTTTATTCTGGTATCCTGGTGTGTACTGGATTATATATCTGTGAGCTGTTTTTCTTTGCTTTGCACCAGCTGGTGCCCAGAAGAGAAGCACTGCTGTGCGTCATTTTTAGTCCTCATTTAAATGTGTGAACAAGTGCGAGGGCTGAGAGAATATTTGGGCTATTTGTGAAGGTTTCTCAAGCCTCGTCTCTTCCTTTGTAGGTGTCCATTCAGCAGCCTGTCCTGCCAGTTACATCCAGAGATGAGAAGGTTGGTCAATGGCCCAGAGATTGGTTGTGTTTTAATGATTTATCATCACAATTATAATAATTCCAAAGATAAGAATAGTTACAATAGTTGCTTTTAACTGATGTTTTCGCTCTATGGCTTCATAATTATATAAAACTAGTAGTAAAAACAAGTTGATTAGACGCCTCTCTGTCACTGATCAGGGAGCTGATGAGGCAGACATGGCTGTGAGGTTCCACAGAGCGGACCAGCCGCCAGAGGAGGCGACAGTCTTGTCTCTGATTGAAGCTTCTGCTCTGGGCTACAACATCCTCCTGCGGGGCTCACGTCTCACCCTCCGCTGTCCCTACTCCTCCCCTCTCTCATACTTTGTAAAGGTACTCAGAGGCGCTGTTGTTTACCGGGAATTAAGCCTGTATTGTTCAGTTAATTAGTGGATGTTGTGTGTGGGTGTTTCTGGTTTTCCCCCAGGAGAGGGGAGTGGATTTAGAGGTCGTCAGAGCAACCATCCTGTACCGACTCCAGAGCAACTTCCTGGCTGTTGAGACCACTGTTGCCTGTGTTCTGAGTTAGTGTGGTTCATCAGTATTACGTTAGTTTGCAACTGTAAAATACCAGAGTGAAACGTCTCTCCCCTCTCTCACCCCCAGATGAGGCGACAGCAGATGGGTCCGACCTGCTGTGGACTGTCCCTCATGTTCTGTCCCCGTTAGTCCACGGTCAGTTCAGGGACGGGGGCATGAGGATCGGAGTGAAGGGCCAACCTCTAAGTGAGTCTGAAAATAAAGAGAGGGGATTCAAGATGGGCCTGCAGGAGGGGAGAGTGGAAGTCAGGATTCCTTTAGGAGCCTTCGGTGGACGCATTAAGGTATACAGATAAGATGTTACTGTAGACTGATAGTGGTTCTCACTACCTCCCAGTGGGTAAATCTGAGGGACAACATGATTCAAAAGATGAATATTTAGGCTTTTTTTTGTGAAATATTGGATTCAGGCCTCTAGAAATACTTCAAATGAAGCAGCCTGAGAGGAAAAGTTGCTGTTTTGTGGAAGCATAAGTTGACAAGAAGGTTGGGAAGCACTGCGACGAGTACAAAACGGGTTTTAAAAACAGCAAGGACATTTATCTGGGTTGTTGTGCACAGACAAACTCTCATCATATCTGGAGGATCCAGTTTAAGTGTTTTACTTTAATGTTTTGTCTGTTTATTGTTGTTTTTTTAATCTACCTTGACTAGGAACAGTATTTATTTCTGCATACTTCTAATGGATGAATGTCATGAAGTACATCTCTTGCTACCAGTCTGCTTATCGCTAACACAATTAAAATACAGAAAGAAAGAAATATTGTGTCTGCTCTGGTTTGTTTCAGAGTAGTGTTGTGAGAGGACAGTACAGCCAGTCCATGTCAGTGGATCTGTTCTTCATGAGGCAGTGGGAGGAGGAGCGCTGGCCTCTCACACAGCATCGCTCCTTCAGGCTCCTCTCGACTCCTCTCATCCCACAAATCCCAGTCTTCACCAACAGTAAGGCTTTCTTAGGCCACGTTAGCTTATTTATTTATGCATATTTAATGGAAAACAATAATAAAGATTGTGTAATGGGGCTGGGTGATAATTTGGCAACATTTAACAGGAGATAAGATGAAGAGGAGGTAAATATTATTGTTATTGTATCATAATAATGTGAACATATGTTACAGAAATCAGCTTTGGAAATTAATGATTTCAAGAAAATTAATTAATTGAAGGTTTTATTTTACATTTGAGTTTTTTCTCATGTGAATCGTTCTCATGTGAATCGAATCGTGTCATTATTTTAAATGTCATTTTGCATGCAGTTGATGTATCATGACATTTAGTTTTGGAGCTATTCATCATTTCACAGACTGCTTTTAAAGTTACACAGAAAAAGATGTTGAATTGGAGCCTTTAGGTTGTTCCATCTCTCTCTCTCTCTCTCTCTTCTCTCTCTCTCTCTCTCTCTCTCTCTCTCTCTCTCTCTCTCTCTCTCTCTCTCTCTCTCTCTCTCTCCACAGACACGGTCCCATCTGAGGGAATGTTTACTGCCACTTTAGGCGTCTTTGCGCCTGATGTTTCCCTCCAGAAGGTGACAGTCGATGGTGGCGGTGACCTGTTAACCTGGACCCAGAGCCACCAAACAGAGAGCAACACAGACCTCAGGGTGTCCAGGCTCTCCACCTCCAATGGGAGCCACTCTTACCAGCTTCGTTTCCTGCTGTCACACATGAAAATAATCCCGGAGGTGAGATTGAATGAGCAGTTTTATTATGTGTGGAAGTTCAGGAGTATGTGAAACAACCTGCTGTCTCACCCCAGTATATAGGTGGTGGCTATACGACGTACAGCCTCTCTTTCACCTTTACTCTTACTATCTTACCCAGTGGAGAGGTGTTTTACCATCAGGCCACCGTAGAGCATAGTGCTGAATACACAGGTGAGTATTTTGAGTAATAATTTTTTTAGAACAATTGGTGCAGTTTAAATAAATATACTAATGGTTTGCATGTTTCATGCCCATATTTAGAACATATATTGTTTATATGACAGCCAACCATTTTCTGATGTGTACTAATGTTTGTTTTTGGATTAATTCATTACTTCATTAATCTGTTTTTTTTTAAAACTGCAATATGAGACTCTTTTGATTTTACTTGATACTGCGGCTGATTTTTTTTGATGTGATGGTGGGAATCTCTGACATGCAAGAATAAATGATCAAACTGTTTACTGAGGGAACTGAGTTAAGATTTATTTTATAGTTTAAAGAGTTTTATAGGTATTACAGAAAGGATTTTTTGTAAACTGCAGTTTAAATTTTCATCCAGGTTTTGTCTTTGTGTTTGTGGTATTTTCTGACTGTGTGATGATTTTTGCTGTTGATGTAACAATTTGTTGTGTACTTTTATTTTGAAATTTCTGTGTTAGGGGGGCAGCGTCTGGGCTGACCATCTCCTGTATGTGTCTAGGTCTCACTGTCAACAATATTCAGCCTCCTCGTAGAGTGCACATAGAGGTTGTTAAACAGGGCGATGAGGCCTTGTGTCAAAACATATTGTTTAAATTAATCAGCTAGTGCTTCGCAGATAGAAGAAAAAAGGAAATTAATCGTATAACAAACAGTGTGCTTTAGAAAATGGAATCATCCTATTAATGAACAGATGTTAGAAATCAATGCAAACCAACCAAATGTTACACTCCTCTCATAAAACAAACACGTGCCCCTGACGATTCCCTTTCTTTCCTGGTGCAGCTCCAAGTTCCCCCAAACTGGAGGGGAAGTGCACAGACAGCAGCCTGGTGGTGCTGCTGCACCACGGGGCCCAGGCCGAGCTGCAGTGGGAGCTCTACCTCGGAGCCCGCAGGCTGGACTGGGACCTGGTGGAGATGGGGGGGTTCGTGGTGGAGCCGGAGGAGGACTACCTGACTGTGGAGATCCCCCTCTACAGCCCTGGGATGAACTATGGGGTGATGAATTGTAGTTTTTTACACCTCCTGTTGTGGATAATTCTGTTGTACCTGAGATTTCTGGAAAATATTCCCACCTTGTTTTCCATTTTCTTACTTAATTAGTCTAAAACCTCCTTTTACATGAGCTTTGGGAAGACAGATAGTGTAGCAATTAGACTGTTAGAAGGTTGTTTTTAACTTAATTAGTTTTTTCTTGCTCATTTACTCGGCTATTGTCTAATCTCCATCTTACTGAATCTGATGCAGGGATCCCATCTGTTTGCTCAATTCGGTAAATTAACTTTCTAATTAAATTAAAGGATTAGAAACACTCCTCAGGCTGGGTTTCTTAAAACCATCTTAATGCAAATAGAGGATTTTAACACGTCATGGATACTTAAAAACAAGCTCCTGTTTATTACCACCAGTGCTTATATAAAAAAAGATCCAGCGTTTGTGCTTGTTTACAGTGTAATTTATACTGTTACTCCATCATAAAGCTGCTTCTTCTTTTCCCATGCAGGAGCTGACATTGCAGGGTCTTGTCTCTGGTGTGGACGTGTCTGTTGTGGGTGCAGAGTCTCTTAAAGTAGAGGATTTTCTCATCCATAAATGCACCTTTGCTGTTAGAGAACTACTAGGTACAAACTACAACCTCCAACTGAACCCATAAAAGTCTTCGATTTAATTCATATTAACGTTGACACTCGCAGTGTTTCTGTAGTATGTTTGCCAGAAGGGAGGATGGTGGCAGTAGTTGACACCACCCACACCATCCCGCCCACTCACCCCAACCGAACCACCCTATTGGACCCCGGCTGTGTTCCCATGGAGACGGACAGTGCCAGAGCGCTGTTCAGCTTCAGCCTGGACTCCTGTGGGACTACGGTCACTGTGAGATCCCCAACTGTTTGAGATTCACACACAAAATATGCTTTCTGGCCTTGTTTCTGATCTCCTCATATTTCCTCAGACTGAGGGAAATTTCCTTGTTTATGAAAATCAGATCAGTTACCCTCAAGATGTTCTGCCTTTGGATGATCCTCTCATACACAGAGATTCTCCATACAGGTGAGAAACACACATACTGACCTCAACCTGTCTTTAAACCAGAGGATAGTGTTGATGTAAGTCTTGTCTTTTCTCAGGCTGACAATTCAGTGCCGCTACCCAGCAAACGATACGAGCACTCTTGCTATACATCAGCCTGTGAGCTCTTCTCGGGACCTTTCACCCATGCCAGTCAAACGCACACGCAGGGAAGCTGCAAACACAGGTGTGTGTGTGTGTGTGTGTGTGTGTGTGTGTGTGTGTGTGTGTGTGTGTGTGTGTGTGTGTGTGTGTGTGTGTGTGTGTGTGTGTGTGTGTGTGTGTGTGTGTGTGTGTGTGTGTGTGTGTGTGTGTAACTGTGACTTCAGTTAGTAGTTTTTTTTTAAAGGTGATATTTAATATGAATTATGTAAATGTGTGATTTCCACTCCTATTAGGTCAAAGAAAATGGAGGGTGAATTTGGAGGGACGGCAAAACCTTCGTCTAGGTAGTGCTGCTGTGGAACTATATTTAAATCAACTGATCTCGGGCGAGTCGTATTATGGGGATGTCAAAGATAATTTATATATTTTACTGTCATAAGTCGGTGTAATAAGATGTTTAACTTCTTTTTTCTTATATGGAGTTTCAGAGTGGATCACATGGACGCTTGTCTCCATGCTGCTGCTGATACTCTGCACATCGGCTTCTGCATACAGGACCTGCAAATTAAATAAATGAGCTCTGTTTTATTTTACATTTTTGTTGTGAATTATGTGTATGTATTTTCTCTTTGTCCTGACAAGATATGAGAAATTAAATGAAAAGGTATTGTTTCTTTTTGTAAACATGTTTGTGTTAAATGATTCATTGAATGTATAATAAAACATATAAACACTGGCATTGTCTACCTCAAGCATCTACTACTGAAATAGAGACTTTTGGTGCTTTTTAGATTTTTCTTAAATACCAAGGCCTGTTTTTAATGAAGGTGAACCAGAGAGAAACCTCAACCTGATGAGCTGTAACAGTTTTTTACGACATAACATTTTGACAAGAGACACAGGATACATTTACAATATTAATAATGCCCCGCCTTGTTCCTGGCAGCTGGATTGTGTCGGTTCGGGGAACTCTGACAGATAACTCTGAAGTAAGCATCATGGAGAAAGAAGACTGGGTCACCTCAGTCCCCCTCAACCAAGACCACAACTGAAGCCAGTCCCTAATAAACAGGCCCCTCATTGGGGTCTGGGACCAGCTTAGGAAGGGACCAAACCCACAGTGGCCCAGCTACCTCATGTGTCCAGGGGCGAACTCATATCTGGATCATTGTCAATCATTATACACAAACACAAATTACAGTTAACAAAATAACAGTATTGGAAATGTGGTAGTAATGATGCATGAATGATATTTATCCCATTAATTACAGAAGGTAACACTGACTGAACGCTGACCTGAACTGATGTCTGCTGTCAGTTTTGGTGTGCTAGTTCAAAAGCTCTGATATTAAACATGCTGCTTCACTGACATGCCGTTAGTGTAATGGGTTGCACCTGTGTGTGAAAAAGGTCCACTGACTGAAGATAGATTGATTGCTAATGAGCTACACATGTGGCTGTAACGCCTGAGGGCCTCTGGTTGGTTGGTGAGGAAATGGACTTATAAAAACTGGTGTAGGAGATAACCACCATGTGGTGCCAGTTTGGCCAGTACATTACAAGGAAGTGGTTCACTTTAGCTTGTTTTGGTTAGCAGGTGTAGTTTGCTAGCAGCTAGGCTAGCTTTAGACACTGCCAACACATCAGTGGCTATGGCTTTGGGTTTTTGCTTTGGGTAAGGGGCTCTGATTTCAGTTTACGAGCCAGTTGATATGAATTCACTTGTATATTGGCAGTTTATATACATATGCCTTTGTTTTACAGTGTGGCCTTCCTGCTGTCTGTGTGGTCAACTGCAAAATGTCAAATTCCCAATGGTGAGAATTTAAATGTTTGCTTATAGGCCTACAATAACTGAACCATTTTGACCATTTTGTTTTTTTGTCAATGCAGAAGTTCTTAACATGGAGTGTCGTGATCGCTTCTTCATGATAGCTGTTGATCTCTCGTTTGCTGGGAATGAACCTCACTTTGAGGCTGTTGGTAAGTTCTACATGGCTTCATTGCAAACGGACACCCCTGAAATTGAACATCTAATCACTGAAGTGTGGTTTGAGAATTAGGCTTTGAGGATTGCAGAGATCTGTTGGGTTTAATAACATGTATTGCCCTCCAGATGAGACAGGTGTATACCCAATCAGTGAGCAGTATGCAGCAACATGTGGCTACAGCATCAGCATTGTTCCTCAATCAGGTCATGTGGAGCTACGAGCCTCTTACTTCAGCTGTCACACTGACAACAAAGTATGTACAATGTCATTTATCAACCCAAACGAAAGGAAATTGGGTATTACTTCAAGAACAAAACTCTAGATTGCCCAGTGGTTACAATTCTAACACTGAGGTTTTTATAAAACACATTTTATGGGTTTTTCTTCAGGATGATGAAATGTTCACATTTAAGTTCAACCTCGTTGCAACACATGACAGAGAGGAGGCCGCCTATGCTTTGAACAAGACCTGTTCTCCCACACTCCCCTGGGCTCCCAGAGATGTTACCTGTGAGGTTAACTACATGGAAGTAAGCTTGGGTTCCTGTAATATTAATTTTTGAAGAATTGTTGCAAGTCTTTGCTAATCCTAGTTTCTCTGCAGGTGTATGTGAGGAATGAAGTCACCTGTCCGTCTGGGAACGAGGATCAGAATGCTTCTCTAAAACCTGTATGGTTGAACTTGATGACTAATATTGCTGAAGTTGATTCTTCTCAGAATAAGTCTCCCATTTCTGTTTTAGGCTTCAGCCACTTCAGACTGGCAGGTGCTGTTGCACAGAGATGGGGAGCAGTTGATGCCCATGAACCTCTCTGAAGCCCATAAGCAGGGTTATGCATTTGACTTGACAGATGGAAGGCTTGTATTTCGCACACCATACGGACAACCTGACTCGCTCAGCACTACGGTAAACCACTAATGCAGAACTTGGCTCATTTTGTAGGTATTTGAAATTCTCTCTTATATAGTTTACAAATGCCTACAGTATTTGTCTTGTAAAGCTTAGTCCAAAGCAGGTTTTGATTTTGAGTCTCTCTCTCTCCAGGTGAATGGCGTTCCAGTAGAGGTGGTCCATGCAACTCTGTTTTCCAGACAAAGCTGGGTTGTCCTCATGGTCGACCTGGTGGCTGCTTGCTCCATGTGTCAGTATTACCATCTGTACATTACTGTAGTTTAATTTTCTCATGGTAATTAAAATGAAGCTGTAATATTGGTGTCCACAGATGAAGGATCATATGATGAAAGCGGATACATGATGTGGGAGACTCCAGAGGAGCTGCAACCGCTGATGTCTGGTCTACATGAGACACAGATCAACGTTGGAGTCAATGGTGAACTTGTGGAGCAGCCAGTTGCAGAGGAGAGAGGCTACATTGTGGAGAAGCACAACACCACAGTCCAGATCAGCATCCCCTATAATGCTGAAGGGGGATACAGGAAGGTCAGAAGGCACCATCATGACACTAATGTCGTCTTGGCAGTCAGAACAGGATTAAATGTATTGCACTGAACTAATTAATGATTCATAAATATACTTTGGGTATGAGGTGAATTGGTTTAATCTTGCTGCACATTTTGTTCACTTTGGATGTTCTGACCGTATTCCTTCACAAATCTCTTGCAGAGCTTGGTGTCTGGTGACCTCTACGAGTTCTATGTCTTTGATCTCTACGTGGAGCAAATCTCAGTGGATGAGGATCATGTTGACACCAGACTTCGTTTCCACAGGACACTAGCCACTCCCCTGCTGCCACGGCCCGTTTTTAGTTTAAACCGTAAGTCTAATGACTCGACATTTGTCCAGCTGATGCAACCATAATCTCAACGGCTTTTCGTTTCAGGAACGGTTCTTGAGGATCGCACGTTCACGGTCTACCTCGGAGATGTTCCTGAGGACGTAGAGCTGGCAGCTGTTCATCTGAATGGACATAAATACATGCTGCCATTTAATAATACAAGCAGCCAAACCATCACAAAGGTTGTTCATCCCAACAACACTCATGGCTACACTCTGAAGGTGCCTTTTGACGACCCTGTCGTTGTACAAAAGGTAACGGTTTTCTGAAAGTAGGCTGATTTCAGAGTTTTGCTCCTTGCAACAGTTTCTGAACTCAGTCGTAATTGTATTTTGTTTCTTAGTTCTCTAAAGAACAAGCAGTTCTTCAGTATAAGCTGGACGTCAACTACACAATGACAATTTTGCCTGAAAATGAGCCTTATTACCACCTGGAATCTGTTGAGGCATTGTTCACAGATGTGTGTAAGTCATTCACTTTTGGATAATTTCATTATTTCTACTGGCAGCGAGCGGAGTTACCATTGTCTTGTATTTCAAAGCTCCTCCGACCTTTCAAGCCGTCTGTTCGGAGTCTGGGATCCGCTTCAAACTGGACCACCGGTCTTTTGACTACATGTGGGACATCAGTGTCGGTTCAGACCTGCTGACATCAGAGCTGGCAGCCCAGCACGGCTACATCCTGAGCAACAATAGCCAGAGTCTGCTGCTCAACGTGCCGCTCTTCACTCATGGCTACAAGTACAAGGTGAGTTGAGGGGAAATGGCGTATTGGAAGCATCAACTTGTGTTGCCTTGAAGACGAATAACTGAAGCTTCATGTATTTTACAGGATGTCACTTTGAAGGGATTCTTTGGCACTTTTGAGATCCTTGTGCGGGATCATGACACATCGGAGGTCCAGAGCTCCACTGTCAAGACTTGTCCCTTCACTGCTACTGAACTCATTTGTAAGACTTTACCATATAGGTGGTTTTTGGGGACTTTACATGTAGATGACAAGTTTAATATAATCCTTTATTTGTCCCACAATGGGGAAATTCCAATGTTACAGCAGCCAAGTGGACAGAGGAAGAAAACAGTATTTAAAAAAACAAAACAAACAGTACGAATATGCTTTCTGCAGTGTGTTCGACTGACGGGAGGATGACCGTGGTGGCTGACTTGTCTCTGGCCATCCCAAGTGGAGGAGTTCCTGCTAGAACCAACCTCGTAGACAAATACTGCGGACCCAAAGAGGCAGACGACACCAAGGCTCTCTTCTCTTTTCCACTCAACGGCTGTGGATCCACAGTCAAGGTAGCGCTGCTTATTAATGGAACTGTTCTTCTACAGTTAAACTCATTGCACAAATAACACTCGCGTATGCTTTGTTTCACCAGCTCGGCAAGGAATACGTGACCTATGAGAACGAGATTTTCTTCAGCCGGAAGTTGAACGCTCTGAAAAATCCAGCAGACTCCAGCAATGACATTGACAAGTACCTTCTACCCCAACTGTCTTTGCCTTATCGACTAGTTCAGGAGGGGTAAATGACAAACCGTTTGTCCCTCTTGTATTTCAGGGTGATGGTGCAGTGTACATATCCTCTGGCAGGACTGTATCGACTTTTCTCAGTGTACAAGTTTGAGTCCGACACGGCTGGCATCGGTCGCATCGTGCGTTCTGCACGCTCCGCTGAAGGTGGGTGGCTCAACCCATAAACCTGTTTCACTCTGTATATTGCATGCTGTCAGTTTGTTTGCTCCTGTACTCTAGGTCTACAGAGTTCCACCACCAAGCCCCCTGCTGTGCTTCAAACGGCAGTGCCCGCTACAAGACTCACCCCAAGACCTGTCTCTATTAAACCTGGTTACCGTCCTCCTGCTCAGTACATCAGAGTATCTAGTTTTCTGAAAAATCTTTCTAAAAGTCAGTACTTGATGATACTAAATGCTCAAACAGGTTTTTAATTAAGTTCTTGGTTCCTAAATCTTCAATTCTGTTCACAGGAGGAAGAGGATCTTCACAAGTCAAACTAAATGCTGGCATATTTTGAAGGACTAAACTTGTATTTTTAAATGTAAATCTCAATAAATTGGTGTCTTTAAAGAAACATGCAGACTTGTCAGTTGATACTGGAAAAACTACTGTACATGAAGGAAGCAGGAAACCAATTAGTGTTGAGTGGCTGATGCGGGGTGGTGTTACAGCTTTAATGTAAATAAAAGCCTGGTTATGGTAAGCTTTATGACATGTCCTAAAAAATGGTTACAAAGTGCTCCATAAACAAATGTAAGTATGTAATCCTACATGGGGAACATATATAACATGGATGGCTAAAATGAGGAAAAGGATAAGTCAAAGTCCATATAGGAAAGGAGATCTATGAAAAGGCTCACCCTTAGGTGGGTTTTGAGGTGCTTCATAAAACAAAGATTCAGCAAACCTGAGTGAGGAAGCTGATTCCAGTGTTGGGGCTAAAACTGCAAAGGCACATCCCCTCTAGTTCTGCAGTTAGTGGGGAATGGATAAAAGGCCAAGATATGAGGAACAAGGAGATCTGAACTGTAACTGGGGCAAGGTCAGGATCTTGTTTGTCAATTGTCTGGCAGATGCATTTTTGGACTAAATGATTTAAAGAAGCTGGACTGAGGCATGTGTAGAGAATTACAGTAATCTAGATGAGAGAAAATGAAGGTGTGAATTAATAGTTCAAGAACAATCTGATTTTTGCAGTAATTCAAAGCTGAAGTTTTGTAACATGGTCAAATGCCAATGTCCAAGATTCTTAGCAGTAGGTTTGATATTTGTAATGGTCCAATAAACTGTAGTGACAATTGTCAGTTCCAATTCAAAGGATTTTTTTTTTTGGCTTAACACTTTTTAAACAGTTAGGTACAGACCCAGATCTGAGAGAGGAACTGATAATGGGCTATTTAATAGTAAACAGGTCAGAAAAGTAAGCATCTTTAATAGTCTGGTTCAATTCCTTCAGAGGCAGTGGACAGGGACTTTCCCAATTGCACTCTGCCTTCCTATATTCCCTTTGTTGTTTAACAGTTAATAACTGGGTCAGCCCTGGATGCATGAGTGGAAAAATAAATTTCTTTCAAACACATTAAACCTATTAGCAAACTGAGGGAGGGAATTGGCCCAACTAGAAAATTGGCTACAAAATTTGGCTGCTGAATTAAGATGCAAAAGTGGATTATACATTTCTGGGATGAAGCAGGTAAACACATTTATGGTCAGACAAAAATCATGCACATTTTAAAAAAACAAAAAAAAAGACTTAAAGAGTCAAGGTTGAGTGCAACACAAGTGAGATGGTCTTTAAAGACAACTGCAATACATACCCCCACCACAGCCAGTTACTCTTGAACTAAAAAAAAAAAAAACTGGGTGGGCAGACTTCAGTTTCAGTAAGAAGTAGAACAAGGTTTTTCAATCATTGAGAATGAAAAGTTAAACACACAAGACTGTCCATTTGGATGGCCACTTACAACTTCACATACTGTATGTAGAATTACACCAAGATGTACAGACTGGCCTGTGGTTGTATGAGCCACTCATTCACATGCATTTGTCCTTATGTTCATATAGTGTTAAAGTATCAATGACAGATCAGGAGCATTTAAGACAAATTTATTCAACTTTACATTTAAAATACATGCAGTCACAATCCAATATATGGTGTCACTTTAGCTTGTGGTGATCCTCTAGCTCCTGTAAAGAGAGTTAAAACAAGATTTAAAATAAAACCCCTACATGTCAGCAAACTGCAAATAATCAACCAACCTTTGTTAAACTGATTTAGAAAACTAGATACTCTGATGTACTGAGCAGGAGGACGGTAACCAGGTTTAATAGAGACAGGTCTTGGGGTGAGTCTTGTAGCGGGCACTGCCGTTTGAAGCACAGCAGGGGGCTTGGTGGTGGAACTCTGTAGACCTAGAGTACAGGAGCAAACAAACTGACAGCATGCAATATACAGAGTGAAACAGGTTTATGGGTTGAGCCACCCACCTTCAGCGGAGCGTGCAGAACGCACGATGCGACCGATGCCAGCCGTGTCGGACTCAAACTTGTACACTGAGAAAAGTCGATACAGTCCTGCCAGAGGATATGTACACTGCACCATCACCCTGAAATACAAGAGGGACAAACGGTTTGTCATTTACCCCTCCTGAACTAGTCGATAAGGCAAAGACAGTTGGGGTAGAAGGTACTTGTCAATGTCATTGCTGGAGTCTGCTGGATTTTTCAGAGCGTTCAACTTCCGGCTGAAGAAAATCTCGTTCTCATAGGTCACGTATTCCTTGCCGAGCTGGTGAAACAAAGCATACGCGAGTGTTATTTGTGCAATGAGTTTAACTGTAGAAGAACAGTTCCATTAATAAGCAGCGCTACCTTGACTGTGGATCCACAGCCGTTGAGTGGAAAAGAGAAGAGAGCCTTGGTGTCGTCTGCCTCTTTGGGTCCGCAGTATTTGTCTACGAGGTTGGTTCTAGCAGGAACTCCTCCACTTGGGATGGCCAGAGACAAGTCAGCCACCACGGTCATCCTCCCGTCAGTTGAACACACTGCAGAAAGCATATTCGTACTGTTTGTTTTGTTTTTTTAAATACTGTTTTCTTCCTCTGTCCACTTGGCTGCTGTAACATTGGAATTTCCCCATTGTGGGACAAATAAAGGATTATATTAAACTTGTCATCTACATGTAAAGTCCCCAAAAACCACCTATATGGTAAAGTCTTACAAATGAGTTCAGTAGCAGTGAAGGGACAAGTCTTGACAGTGGAGCTCTGGACCTCCGATGTGTCATGATCCCGCACAAGGATCTCAAAAGTGCCAAAGAATCCCTTCAAAGTGACATCCTGTAAAATACATGAAGCTTCAGTTATTCGTCTTCAAGGCAACACAAGTTGATGCTTCCAATACGCCATTTCCCCTCAACTCACCTTGTACTTGTAGCCATGAGTGAAGAGCGGCACGTCGAGCAGCAGACTCTGGCTATTGTTGCTCAGGATGTAGCCGTGCTGGGCTGCCAGCTCTGATGTCAGCAGGTCTGAACCAACACTGATGTCCCACATGTAGTCAAAAGACCGGTGGTCCAGTTTGAAGCGGATCCCAGACTCCGAACAGACGGCTTGAAAGGTCGGAGGAGCTTTGAAATACAAGACAATGGTAACTCCGCTCGCTGCCAGTAGAAATAATGAAATTATCCAAAAGTGAATGACTTACACACATCTGTGAACAATGCCTCAACAGATTCCAGGTGGTAATAAGGCTCATTTTCAGGCAAAATTGTCATTGTGTAGTTGACGTCCAGCTTATACTGAAGAACTGCTTGTTCTTTAGAGAACTAAGAAACAAAATACAATTACGACTGAGTTCAGAAACTGTTGCAAGGAGCAAAACTCTGAAATCAGCCTACTTTCAGAAAACCGTTACCTTTTGTACAACGACAGGGTCGTCAAAAGGCACCTTCAGAGTGTAGCCATGAGTGTTGTTGGGATGAACAACCTTTGTGATGGTTTGGCTGCTTGTATTATTAAATGGCAGCATGTATTTATGTCCATTCAGATGAACAGCTGCCAGCTCTACGTCCTCAGGAACATCTCCGAGGTAGACCGTGAACGTGCGATCCTCAAGAACCGTTCCTGAAACGAAAAGCCGTTGAGATTATGGTTGCATCAGCTGGACAAATGTCGAGTCATTAGACTTACGGTTTAAACTAAAAACGGGCCGTGGCAGCAGGGGAGTGGCTAGTGTCCTGTGGAAACGAAGTCTGGTGTCAACATGATCCTCATCCACTGAGATTTGCTCCACGTAGAGATCAAAGACATAGAACTCGTAGAGGTCACCAGACACCAAGCTCTGCAAGAGATTTGTGATGGAATACGGTCAGAACATCCTAAGTGAACAAAATGTGCAGCTAGATTAAACCAATTCACCTCATACCCAAAGTATATTTATGAATCATTAATTAGTTCAGTGCAATACATTTAATCCTGTTCTGACTGGCAAGACGACATTAGTGTCATGATGGTGCCTTCTGACCTTCCTGTATCCTCCTTCAGCATTATAGGGGATGCTGATCTGGACTGTGGTGTTGTGCTTCTCCACAATGTAGCCTCTCTCTTCTGCAACTGGCTGCTCCACAAGTTCACCATTGACTCCAACGTTGATCTGTGTCTCATGTAGACCAGACATCAGCAGGTGCAGCTCCTCTGGAGTCTCCCACATCATGTATCCGCTTTCATCATATGATCCTTCATCTGTGGACACCAATATTAATAGCTTTACCATGAGAAGATGAAACTACAGTAATGTACAGATGGTAATACTGACACATGGAGCAAGCAGCCACCAGGTCGACCATGAGGACAACCCAGTTTTGTCTGGAGAACAAAGCTGCATGGATCACCTCTACTGGAACGCCATTCACCTGGAGAGAGACTCAAAATCAAAACCTGCTTTGGACTACCTTACAAGACAAATACTGTAGGCATTTGTAAACTATACAAGAGAGAATTTCAAATACCTACAAAATGAGCCAAGTTCTGCATTAGTGGTTTACCGTAGTGCTGAGCGAGTCAGGTTGTCCGTATGGTGTGCGAAATACAAGCCTTCCATCTGTCAAGTCAAATGCATAACCCTGCTTATGGGCTTCAGAGAGGTTCATGGGCATCAACTGCTCCCCATCTCTGTGCAACAGCACCTGCCAGTCTGAAGTGGCTGAAATATAGGCCTAGAAGGACAAGTGAAAACTTATTTTACTCTATATGCTTCTTTATTTTATTTTTGGGGCTTTAGACAAGACCACTTTAGAGAGCTATGGGGTCAGATTTGAACCCATGGCTGCTGCAGCAAGGGAGTTACCTGTATGTGTTTATTTAATTGCATCTCATTGTATCCCAGCCATATGTGATAAATTCCATAAGTTTCCCAGAAGGCAATCTCACACATACCATTTGGACTACAGCATCCCAGTCGTCTTGTTTTGTCCCAGTTGGACAGGCCATGTCACTCCTTACAGACACCTAGAGAGACATAAGGGTTAGCAAGCGTCTGAAATAGTTTAATAAAAATGTTATGTTGAAACTTAGCTTACTTCCATGTAGTTAACCTCACAGGTAACCTCTCTGGGAGACCAGGGGAGAGTGGGAGAACAGGTTTTGTTCAAAGCATAGGTGATATCCTCTCCTCCATGCATTGCATTTAGATTGAAGTTGAACGTGAACACTTCGTCATCCTGAAAAAAACAAGGTTGTAGAGAAGAGTCTCAGGATTGCAACTGTAGGCTCTAGCGTTTTGATCATCACATTTCTAAAAAGGGTTAGTAGTGATCTGTAGTCGTTTGTGGATTTTAAAGAGTTTTTATGCCATTTATACATACTGTATTGTCAGTGTGACAGCTGAAATAAGATGCTCGTAGCTCCATACGGCCCAGTAGAGGGAGAAGATTGGTGCTGTAACCACACGTAGCTGCATACTTCACAGTGATAGGATACACACCTGTCTCATCTGGAAGACAATTTTATTTGCACCTTTATTCAGTGAAATACATCAGCATCAATTGGGTGGATGCGCCAAAATATAGCTGATGAAACAGGTTAGTCTTAACTGACCAGAAATTTGGTTCATGAGCTACTGTAGTTAAGTGCAAGCACTTTGCAATCTTCCTGGCTTCCAAAATGTATTTCAACTTAACTTAACTGGAACCCCCCCCAATCAATATTCTTAGTCCCAAATGGCACATGGTGGTTAGTAAGAATCTGTAGGACTTACCAACAGCCTCAAAATTAGGTTCTTTCTCAGCGAAGGAGAGATCAACAGCTATCGTGAAGTAACGATCACGACACTCCATAGTAACAGCTCCTGTGTGAACAAACAAGGTCAGATCTAAATATGTGCCAATGACTACAGGCAGTATCTAGTTTAATTCTTACCATCGGGAATATGACATGTTGCCATTGACCACATAGACAGCAGCAAGGTCACACTGTAAGACAAATGCATATAGACATCAAACATACAGGTAGACTAATGGCAACTTAAAGTATGCAAATAATTCTCAGAGCCCCTTACCCAAAGCAAAAGCAAAAGCTAAAAGCCATAGCCACTGATGTGTTGGCAGTGTCTAAAGCTAGCCTAGCTGCTAGCAAACTACACCTGCTAACCAAAACACGCTAAAGTGAACCACTTCCTTGTAACGTACTGGCCAAACTGGCACCACATGGTGGTTATCTCCTACACCAGTTTTTATAAGTCCATTTCCTCACCAACCAACCAGAGGCCCTCAGGCGATACAGCCACATGTGTAGCTCATTAGCAATCAAATGTTTGAATCATTTGCAGCTGTGGGGTTAAACCTGCCCTCCTTCAAACCTCATGGGTCAAGAAATGGAGTATAAAAGCTGGTGTAGCAGGTAGTAGAAGATGCTGCCAGTCTGGCCAAGATATATTAAGCAAATAGTTCACTTTAGTGTGTGTTGGTTAGTAGGTGTAGTTTACTAGCAGCTAGGCTAGCTTTAGACACTGCCAACACATCAGTGGCTATGGCTTTAGGGTTTTTCCTTGGGTAAGTTGCTTAGTTGCAACTTTATTAAGTTTTATTTGTGCTGGTATTTTTGCATGCTAGAGACATGTTTTGTCTTACAGAGTGGCCTTATTTCTCCTGTCTGTGCGGTCTGTTGTAAAGTGCGCTGCCATTCCCGAGGGTAACTAAAATATTGGCTCAGTGAATTATAATAATTAAGATGTATGTATTTTGACCGTAACTTGTTTATGCATACAGGAGTTCTTCACATGGAGTGTCATGAGCGTTATTTCATGATAGCTGTTGATCTTTCCTTCACTGGGGAGGACCCTCGCTTTGAGGCCGTAGGTAAGTCCTGCACAGCTTCATCATGCTGTTATGTAAATACTTTTGCACCATAACTATCTAAAATGGGCCAGGCCAACATGTGCTAGGAGTTATTATGATCACATTTCTAGATTCTTGCAAATAGTACCCCTTCAATCATGCATCTAATCAGAGAATCCTTTATTGTAGTTTCTAGTCAAACTCGAAGTTCTTGACCTTGTCTCGAGTAAATATTAAGCCACACTATTAATAAAAAAACGTATTATTTCTTCCAGCTGGGACAGGTGTGTACCCAATCAGTGAGCAGTATGCAGCAACGTGTGGCTACAGTGTCTGCCTTCTCCCTCTGCAAGACCATGTGGAGCTAAGAGCCTCTTACTTCAGCTGTCACACTGACAACAAAGTACGTACAAATATTATCAACACAAACTAAAGGAAATTGGGCATGGTTTCAGGAACAAAACTCTACATTGCTTACAGTTCTGACACCTAGATGGTATGTTTTTATAAAATATTTTATGGGGCTTTTCAGGATGACAAAATGTTCAAATTTAAGTTCAACCTGATTGCGACACATGAAGGAGAGGAAGTCACCTATGCTCTGAGCAAGACCTGTTCTCCCACACTCCCCTGGTCTCCCAGAGAGGTTACCTGTGAGGTTAACTACATGGAAGTAAGCTTTGGTACACTTTTGTAACAAATTTGGGCAATTGTGCCAACTGTTCACTAATCCTAGTTTCTCTGCAGGTGTCTGTAAGGAGTGAAGTCAGCTGTCCATCTGGTACAATGAAAGATGACTGGAATGCCCTCAGACCTGTATGTTTCACTGTTGAAGGAATTCCTTAGCTCATGCAGTCAAGTTCCACTTTTTAAGCCTTTACATTTTTTTTCCAGGCACATAGCTCAACCACTTCAGACTGGCAGGTGACATTTCAGAGAGCAGAGGAGCAGTTGCCGCCCATGAACCTCTCTGAAGCCCGTAAACGGGGTTATGCATTTGACTTGAAAGATGGAAGGCTTGTATTTCGCACACCATACGGACAACCTGACTCGCTCAGCACTACGGTAAACCTCCTAATGCAGAATCTGTTTTTGTAAAGCTTAATCCAAAGCAGATTTTGATTTTGAGTCTCTCTCCAGGTGAATGGCGTTCGAGTAGAGGTTGTCTATGCAACTCTGTTCTCCAGACAAAGCTGGGTTGTCCTCATGGTCGACCTGGTGGCTGCTTGCTCCATGCGTCAGTATTACCATCTGTACATAGCTGTAGTAACATTTCACTTAATTTACAATTGAAGTTACAATATTGTCTCCAACAGATGAAGGATCATACGATGACAGCGGCTATATGTTGTGGCAGACTCCAGGGGTGCTGTATCCCAGTCTTGACAGCACACAGCTCAACATTGGACTCAATGGTGAACTTGTGGAGCAGCCAATTGCAGAGGAGAGAGGCTACATTGTGGAGAAGCAAAACACCACAGTCCAGATCAAAATCCCTTATAATGCTGAAGGAGGATACAGGAAGGTCAGAAACCTAAGATGTCCAAACTAGGCATAAGATCCCTTCAAGGTCCAGATTGGGGCAATTAAACATGTCTAGATTATTTAAACACCACTACTTAAAAGGAGACGAATATTACTGATTATGCATTAACAGATTTACAGCAAGTATAAAATGTGTTCTATCTGGCAGCATAATATGAAAGCGCAGAAGAATCTGACTAGAAGCTTATCTGAACTGCATGTGTCTCTTGCAGAGCATAGTGTCTGGCGATCTCAACGAGTACTATGTCTTTCATCTGTACTTGGAACAAATCATGGTGGATGAGGAAAACGTAGAGACCAGGATCCGCCTTTACAGGACGCTGGCCACTCCCCTGCTGCCACACCCAATCTTCACTGAAAACCAAACTCTTATCAACGAGCGCGCGTTCACGGTCTACCTCGGAGATCTCCCTGAGGACGTTGAGTTGGCAGCTGTTCATTTGAATGGACATAAATACACGCTGCCATTTAATAATACAAGCAGCCAAACCATCACAAAGGTTGTTCATCCCAACAACACTCATGGCTACACTCTGAAGGTGCCTTTTGACGACCCTGTCGTTGTACAAAAGGTAATGGTTTTCTGAGAGTAGGCTGATTTCAGAGTTTTGCTCCTTGCAACTGTTTCTGAACTCAGTCGTAATTGTATTTTGTTTCTTAGTTCTGTAGAAAACACTCACTACTTCAGTATAAGCTGGACATCAACTACATACTGAGCATTTTGCCTGAAAATGAGCCTTATTACCACCTGGAATCTGTTGAGGCATTGTTCACAGATGTGTGTAAGTCCTTCACTTTTGGATAATGTAATTATTTCTATTGGCAGCGAGCAGAGTTACCATTGTCTTGTATTTCAAAGCTCCTCCGACCTTTCACGCCGTCTGTTCGGAGTCTGGGATCCGCTTCAAACTGGACCACCGGTCTTTTGACTACATGTGGGACATCAGTGTCGGTTCAGACCTGCTGACATCAGAGCTGGCAGCCCAGCACGGCTACATCCTGAGCAACAATAGCCAGAGTCTGCTGCTCGACGTGCCGCTCTTCACTCATGGCTACGAGTACAAGGTGAGTTGAGGGGAAATGGCGTATTGGAAGCATCAACTTGTGTTGCCTTGAAGACTAATAACTGAAGCTTCATGTATTTTACAGGATGTCACTTTGAAGGGATTCTTTGGCACTTTTGAGATCCTTGTGCGGGATCATGACACATCGGAGGTCCAGAGCTCCACTGTCAAGACTTGTCCCTTCACTGCTACTGAACTCATTCGTAAGACTTTACCATATAGGTGGTTTTTGGGGACTTTACATGTAGATGACACAAGTTTAATGTAATCCTTTATTTGTCCCACAATGGGGGAAATTCCAATGTTACAGCAGCAAAGTGGACAGAGGAAGAAAACGGTATTTAAAAACAGTACGAATATAATGCTTTCTGCAGTGTGTTCGACTGACGGGAGGATGACCGTGGTGGCTGACTTGTCTCTGGCCATCCCAAGTGGAGGAGTTCCTGCTAGAACCAACCTCGTAGACAAATACTGCAGACCCAAAGAGGCAGACGACACCAAGGCTCTCTTCTCTTTTCCACTCAACGGCTGTGGATCCACAGTCAAGGTAGCGTTGCCTATTAATTTAAACTGGCAATGTTGGATTTGAATCCTTCCTGTAACTTTCCCTACAGTAATTGAAAAGATTACAATGTTGTATAAATGTCACTATTTGCTCTTTGCCTTCAGATTGACAGGCAAAATGTGACCTATCAAAATGAGATTTTCTTCAGCAAGAAGTACCTTGATGTGAACGGAGCAGTATCTGTCAATACCACTGAGAGGTATTGATGACTTGCCTCTTCCTGTAGCTACAAATCTAACGCTGTACAGTATTTCAAGTTGTCCTCGTGTCTTGCAGGGTGATGGTACAGTGCACATATTCTCTGGCAAGTCTCCATCGCCTCTTCTCTCTGTACAAGTTTGAGTCTGACAAAGTTGGTGTCGGCCGCATTATCCACACTGCACAGCCCACAGCAGGTACAGTAGTTTGTTCAGCTGCTTGACGTGATCAGTTCTCACTCCTCGTATTGGATTTTAAGCATTGTCTATCTGCACTGTAGCTCAGAGTCCCACCATCAAGCCAACAACAGCACTTAAAACCACACTTGCTGCCAAAGGCCCAACTAGAGTACCTGCTGCATACCTGCCTGCTGCCAACCCACCAGTTCGCTACATTAGAGTTTCCAGGGTTAAAAGTTTTCTCAGTGGTATGAGAAAAGGTAAAATTTTGATTTTAAAAAATTCACATTTAAGAGGTGAACTCACTTTAATGTGTTTGACGTCTCTTCACAGGAGGATCCTCCCAAACTAAAATAGATGCTGCCAAAATTGGAAGGGCATCTAATTTTTAATAGAAAATATTGAATAAAGCTGTTTTTTGTAAAGAGCTGTTTGTCTCCTCTATAGGCGGGTCCACCACCCACTATACACACGCGGTAATATTGACCCAGGAAGGTGTTAAACACTAATTTGGAGACACTGGCTATAGATTTGGTAAATGTGGTAAGTGAGGATGAAGCTGTTACTGCCCCAATATGGCAAAAGGTGAGCCCTTGTGCAGAAGTGTAAAAAACTTGAAATGTCAGGTTACACTAGGTACAGTACTTGTAAATATTACAATAGTATTTTCCTACTCTACATTTGAAAGGGAATGATGTGCTTTTTTTCACTACACTATTTGCTAGCTATAGTCACTAATTAACCTGCAAAACTTGAAGTTCTATGATTTTAACTACAGTGTAGTAAGTGGTTAAAATTGACTTGACCTTTACCAGTTGCAACATTTAAGGTGTCATTAATAAAACTTAAAAAACACCTTTACACATTCTTACTAAATGAATTTAATGTCCTGTAGTGAAGTTTTACACTATTTCTGTTTTTTTTACTTCAACATGAGGCCTAATCAGTTTCAGGATTAACTTGACATTAAAGAGAAACTGGGGCAAATTTGCCCAAGAAGCATGGATTATACTATGGGGAACTTCTTACTGTACTACAAAAAGTTGAAACTAGGACTAAACTATGCTGTAAAAGTATAAAATGGCATTTAATTTTGGAAAAACTCTTTTCCCAAGTGGAAACTCTTAATTAGTAACCGGTGACACATGTTGCTCCATAGTGGATGAATGCGGGGGAATGTAAAAGTACATTTACGCAAGCATTTTTCCCCCCCCCACATCTTTTGCATGCAAAACATTTGAAGTGCTTATGAAATATTTTGTAAATGAAACTACCATTACAGGATCTTCCTTCAGCATGAATGCAAGACATAAGGATGCCATTTGAGTTGAAAGTTGCATAAAACATGACTGACAGACTAATACTTTATAATATTATAAATTGTATTTTTTTAAAAAGGGGAGAATCTTAGTTTCATAAACAGTCAAATAAACGGGGTCTTCTAAGTCAACCAGCAGGGGGCGCTACTTAATTAGCTGCTAACACAGACGCAACGACTGTTTCTCTTTTGACTCCAACATGTGAGCTGAAACTAACTCGGACACCACTTCAGACTCTCTCCAACAACGGTTTCATAAATGGTGAACAATGAACTCCAGTGAAGCGCACTGTGTGGTGAGTTTCCACTATCAAAATGTCCTCTGGCGGTAAAAAGTTTGACCGAACCTGCTCGGTGTTCACCAGCTTCCACCTCCCGCTCATGTCTCTCCTCCAGCGGGGGTCCAGGCCGCCAACCCTGCCCCCTCTCTCCAGCAGGACCCTGGGACACCCCTCTTTCCTGCCCCTGTACCTGACTGCGGGCTACCCACACCCTCACCCGGACTGCCGCGACGTCCACCCCATCACCCCGGAGGAGTTCTTCTACTCGGACCCGACCATGAGCTGTGGGAGGAGGGTCCCCAACTCAGTGAGTGAGCTGAAGGTGAGTGAGCACAGGTTGCCATGGATACCCCATCACACTGTCGGTCACATAGCAACCGTGTGATCTAGTCCCTGGATGACAGAATAAACACACTTTTATAAACTTTAATGTTTTAGAGCAATGGTTCCCAACTTAAATGGCTTTTTCTATTAATGACTAAACTGACCTTTTATGGAAATTTTGATGAATGTTGAGCAGATTATTTCCTGTGAATATTGCTTAAGAGATGAGTAAATCTCTTAAAAAAAAAAAAAGACAAATAATAGTTTGTCCACTGTTTGCAGGTTGAGAGTGAAGGCTCTTTGAATATAACTTGAATAATTTAAACTTTAAAAAAATTGTATCTTTTTCTTCACAGAAATTAACAAAATGCTGATATAGGCCTTCTATGTATCTAAGTACAACCCTTAAGAATCAAGAAGGCCTCGCAACTCTCTGTGTAGCTGCGGTGACAACTGGATCTTTTATCTTCCCACCTGAAATGATTTAAGTTTTCGGAAATACATCAGTTAAACCTGGGCACCTTTATCCATGACCATGTCCAGTTGACTTTTTAGTATTCTGTTTTGATGCACAGATACATCTATTAGATCTAATTGATTCATCCTATAAGTAGTTAACTTGAAGAATAATTGAGAACAGTATTTTTCAGGGATGTTGCAGGGCTGCACAATATACAAATTGAAGACGCTGCATTGTTTTGAAAAAAGGAAAATATGTGTCCAAACAGCATAACAATGACATTTTGTAGTTCTGAAGAGATGTCCTGGCCTACAAATCTTGTTCTCTAGATTTAAGAAAACAACAAAATTTCACATCATGATTTTAAGGTTTTTTTTTTCTGAGAATTAAATTTGTGATGCAAAAATTAATAGCAAATCACAATATCTGTCAAAATAATTGCAATATGATGTTTTTACTATTTCATGCAGCCCTACTTATAAGGGAATTGTTAAAACTTGTTTGTTGTTAATGCAAATGAAGGGTGTAAATTAATGCACAAATTATGAATACTGGACATATATTGAAATTGGATGTTAAATATGATGGAAAGATTAGGATTAAAACTGGGACTTAAATTTACTAACTGCTCTCGGTTCAGTGAACGAGCGACTACAACCATTATTTTAAAGTATCTGACGCATTCATTGCTCATTAAAATATTTATTAAAATGACCTCAGATTGTGAGAACAGTTTCTTCCCCACTGTCGCCCTCTGTGCTCTTTGTGTGGTGGTGGGGGTTGTAGAGGGTAGAGCTTATGGAGGAGCTCAGACAGACAAGGACATTTAATAAGATTGGCTCAGTGCTTTCAGACAGAGCTAAGACCCTAACCGGGGGGCTGGAAGGAAATTGAGACCTACGGCTAAGGAGGAGTCAGATTGTTTTGACAGTTAAGACTTAGCATCAGTCATATACAGTTTTTTTATTTTAGAGAAAACTGTGATTAATGTTTTTTATGAACGCACCAAAAACTCAACAATTAATTGGACTGAAGCACAGAAAAGGAAAACACATAAAACAGAAAAAAGAGGTGGGATGGTAAGAAAACACACAAAAAATAATGTTTAGAATAAAAAAAAAGTTTTATTCCCATTAACTTAAATATTGTAAACTAATGTTTGAGCTTGTAATATCATTATTTTGGTAATTTAGACTCACAGGTGTGTAAAGCTGCACAAGGCAAACTATTGGCAAGTATTTTATTAGTCTAAAACACATACTGGGGCTGTAACAGCTGTAACAGAGCCTCAATAGATTAAACTCACAGAAAAACACCAGCAAAGCAGTTGTGTGGAGTTTACTGATGATACTCAGTGTTTATGCTGTTGAACATTGATGTGGTGTTGCCATTTGAAGACACCAAAATTCAAGACTTTCCTGTTTTATTTCTTTTTCCACAAGGTCTTCGATTGCTTCCAGCTCAACACTCCCTCACCCGTTATGTCTGCCTGCCCGGCCCCACCAACCGGTCCAGACCCATTCAGATCTGAACCACAACCCACCAGGGATCTGGGCGACTTCACCTCCTTCAAAATAAATACCCTCCACCCTCCAGTGCAGCCAAGCCGCGTCGTCATCCAGCTTACCCAGGAGGAGGACCAGGCTATTACTAACCTCCTGAAACTACACCACCAGGAGCCTATACACAGTGACGAGACCCTTACTGCTCCGCAAACGGACTTCCTTAGTCACGCTGATCCTATGGACTCCTCTTCAGCTCTGGAGGTTTACAAGCCCTTCTGTAGCGATGTGCAACATCCGAGCGAGGCCAGTTCGCGGGGTCAGGGAAGATGTTGGTCAGATACGGAGCTCGAGGCAGCCAACACCCTCTTGAGTGGCTTTAGCCTGATGGAGGAGGACAGAATCTGGAGCCAAAACCACAACAAATCAGACATACCACTTCCTAATCCTCTGCCATACCAGCGGCAAAGATCTGAGACTCCTCCTGTAGCAATAACTGCTGGTTGCACTCAAAAGAACATCGGCTACATCAGCTTTAGTTGTGTCAGAGAATGTGGAGAACCAGGCTGGGAGGATTTCGTGTTTCTGGAGGGGAGGAATGCTGATAATGTTCACGTGCAAGTTTGTCAGGAATACATGGCATCACCTTTACCCCCGAGGCTGTCTTCATACCGAAAGCCAAAGAGCAGCTCGAGTGTCTCTGGAGATTTCTCAGAGGTGAAGGAATGGATGCTGTCGGACTCTGAGGGAGATGCTGTGCATGTACTCCTGAACCTTGGAGACATGGGAGTGATGGATATTGTCCAGTGATTGATCCTTTAAAAACATACCCAGGGATTTAAGACAGTGTGTAGACTGTAAATGTTTGAATACAGCTCCACTTGAACATGAAAGGGCCAATCTAGAGCCAGTGTTTGGTTTGTTCTTGATTACTGTGGTGGTTCAACATGGAGGCTTATTCCAAGGCATATATATTAATGTTTCTGCCAATAGATCCTCCTAAATGTTACACACTGGACCTTTACTACCTCTTCCTTATTATGGAAACAACTAGTTGAGTTCTTTGCACTGTTTTGAATTTTGATCCAAATATGGTCCAAAACTTCTTATTTATCTAGGTTGAGAATTTATTTCCCCACTTGAAAAAATAATGAACAGTATTTTCATGTTGAATACTGCACATTTGCCTCCTAATTTTCTTACAACCTGCATCAGTGTTCAATAAAAATGGATCAAAAGTTGAGCCTCTGTCACTAAGAAACAAACAACTAGCTAAAAAGACACACATTTTTTATTAAAAGCACTACCGGAAGGAGGGAATCCCCTGCATCCATTATTTACAACGTATTGTACATTTACAGCTTATCCACAAATAATATCCCATCTTCACTGACATCAAGCTGCAGGGGGAGCTACAGTATTATTCCACAATGGCTAGTGACACAAGCTAACAAGCTAGTAGACAGCACAACCACTGAAATGTCATAATGGCAGTACAGCTCAGCCCACATCTACATGCATTTTCAAAGCTCTTGTGCTAGATTTGATCTCAAGTCTTGGTGTGTAGTTATGTGTTTTTACTTTCTTCGAAGGCACTTCCTGATTAGATTTTGTTTATTACAGGTTTGTCTTGTAGTGAGATAAATTCCTCTAAATGTTAACACTTGATTTTATTTGTATTCTGGCCCACCTTGGTGACCCACGACAGGTTGTTGTGCGTGGAAGGAATGAGAGGGGGTTGAACTTGCTTACACTGGAGGCATTTACAGGAACACCCAGCTCATTTCTTTGCAGCAGCTCTGACAATTGCACAATCTGGTTGAGCGACAGCTAGAATGATTGGCATTTCAGACCTACAGTTTTACGGCAGTGCATCAGGAGACGTCAATAGGGGGCCACATGCTTACAAGAAGAGGTGTAGACTCTACAGCTGTAGTGCTGTAAAATGCAGATCTCTGATAGTGAATGCATACATGCACAGTCACATAGTTTGTTTCAGTGTCCGCAGTAAATCCACCTCCAGTTCCCAGCTGATTATGTGCACACTCACGTCCTCCAGTCATATAAATAAGGTGATTATTGCAGGTCTGTTATGTCTCGTGATCGTTCTCCTTTCATCTTTCATTTCCTGGTTCTTAGAAGCTGGGACTTTAACTAATAAAGTCCCTAAATAAGTCTTTGTTCTTTTAAAGATGATTTAATGTAAACAATCCTTGATGCGTCGATCCTAATGGAGTGTGCTGGCCTTGCTGTTGGCGACCATGCTCGCGGCCTGCATGACTCTGTAGCGCTCTCGGAGGTTCCGCCGCCTCACGTGCTCGTTGGTGATCTCTATGACGTTTGCTACGGGGAACCAGCCCTTCTGACCGTCGGACAGGCGGATGCCTTCATAGCAGCCTGTGAGAAAAGAGGCGAGGCAGGAGGAGGGAGATGGGAGGAGGACAAACAAGGGGAAGATTGGAGGTTTCTGTTTCGTTCATGCAAGAAAGTCAAAACAAATCAATAAACTGCTACGGTGGAGGGTTCGGGATTGAGGCAGTTATGAGGATCGGGGTGTATAAACAAGCAGAGTCAAAGGAAGGGGCGTGTTAATGGTACAAAGTCATGTGAGGACATTCAGTTTTGTTTTGATAGGAAACCTGTTGGAAACCTTTTTAACCCGTCTAGATCCTCAGACACTGATAAGCCAAATACAGAGGAACAGAAGAATGTCGTAGTAATCTGACGCAAGCACAGATTTATATCACTTTTGTTGGTTCTCTGTAAAAGAGGAAATGTTTCCTGTGTGTGATCGTCTTTTCTCTGCTGTCTCCTTGACAGCCTGATAAATAAATAAACAACTCATTGGTCCAGCTCCTGATTTCTTACCCTCGTTGGTTTTGCGGATGACGTTGATGATCTCAGTGGGCTCCAGGGTGAGCTCATCGGCCTGCTGGGCGATGTACGGCTCCACACACTGCACCTGAGGACAATCTGACACACGTAGACGTAAGAAAGTATGGATATGAAACACACACTGACACGTGGTGTAGTATCACTTTGTGTTTACTGTGTGTGTGTGTGTGTGTGTGTGTTTCCTCACCCCAGTCTTCATAAATCACTTCATCATCGTCTCTGTCTGGGTTGGTCGGGTTGGGGAAAGCCGCCATCCACCTATGCATGTCTGACCTGTTGACAGAAACGTCGTAATTTGCTCTTGAAGTCTTAAGTAACATGTCATGAGTTAGTATTTTACTGTAGATTGTAAGGAAGCTACTCACTGGGAGGGAGCTTTAAACAGCCTCTCCATCATGCGTCCCTGGTGGTTTTCCAGCAGGGTGAGGTTGAAGCAGTGCTCCAAGGGGCCGCTGCTGCTCCCACCTTCCTCTAATGGCTGCACCTGCACCAGAGAGCGATGGGCGTGGTCGAGTACCACAAACCGTTCCGCACTGGTCAAGAAAAAGGAGAATCTCTGTTGTATCCCATTGTTTTGTGTTTCTTATCTGATATGTGGCAACAATGGCATATTTAATAAACTCTCCTCTTCCTCTCAACTCTATTCCCTCTAACGCTACTTCCTACTACATTTGAGGAAGCCTGGAGTCATTTCAGTAGTGATGACACCATTGAAGAGTTGTGATTACTTTTGTGGTCAGTGTTTCCATTGTTTGAGTGGCATTATGACAGCTTGTCAAAAGAGGCAGAGATTTTTTTGTACAGCTTCCAAGGAACATGTCTTGTTCCCCTGCCTAAATATATGAAATATACTAGAGAACAGTGAGTGAGTACCACCCTCCCATAACCTATGAATACCATTATTGTTAACAAGGTTAATGATAAACCATCATTTGTGATCTTCAATATATATAGTGCCGTGCGTAACTATGAAAGAGCACTTGCCCTGTAGGTAATACATGATCTCAGTTTACAGGATAACTTACAGGAGACGGTGGCTCTATATTATTGTAGAGAAACTGCTTCGACGGGGTTTACTAGCAGTTGTATAATAGGTGGCAGGTGGGTGAATTGTTGATTCAGCACTCTCTTATTAATTATTATACAATTGTATTGTGTGCAGACCACTGTGATGTCAGAAAGTGTTTGGCACAATTTGACATCTGCAGGAATTTGAGAGGAATGTGACTGAATCAATCAGCGTCCACAGATTAAGACATACTGTAAGAAATTCCACCCTCAAATGTTAACAAGAGCCTACAGCCATGCTCGCATGCTTACATGCTGATATTCAGCAGATGTAATGTTTATACCATGTTTTACCATTTTTGTTTAGCACATTAGCATGCTTACATTTGCAGGTATTTGGTTATTAATCACTGAAATTTTGGCCTGATGAAAGTGTTGAAGATCACAAAAGTGATGAGAATTTATCCTGGCTGGGGGGTCAATTGGTGCTGAATATCAACTCTGCCTCACCCTTTCTTTGCAGCGATGATGAGCAGATCATTGAAGAGGAAGAGGTTGACAGGGATGAACTTTGCCCTCATGTTGAAGAGAGTTCCTCCTTTGGACATTTCCTGCAGCTCTCCCTTCTTCTCCAGATATCGTGTTTGGGAGATGATTGGGATGGCCTGGAGATAGACAGAAACATTTATCTCTTCTTCAAAACGAGTGTCCAACAAGAGTCCAACAGAAATGCTGACAAATCAAAATCATTTATACGTTTATTGTGTGTATTGGAGTTTACCTTGAGCTTGTCAAACTCCAGTGTTTGAGAGATGTGGATCAACTCCTCCATCTGTCTCATCTTTCCCACCTGTGTGTTACACTCGTCAATGATCTGTGGGGGAAAAAGAGAACAAGATTATGAAATAAACACTTTATAATAATATAAAAGATTTATTTTTCTTTCCACACCCATATTCCATTCAGCCGGTGTTATATAAAACTGACTCCCTGGGAAACACACTCAAATGTCTCCCTGTTGGACCAGACTGCCTCATGCTGCCTTTGTCCTCAGTGACACATATGACTCACTTTCACTGTGGAGCTCAATCAATAGGAAATCCTTCATTCAAACAATGGCTGACGTCAAATTTCCAGAGGCATGCGAGGCCCTCGAGAGTCAAATTATTTGGATTTGTAGGCAGAAGGGAGGGTGAAGAGTGAGGGGTGTTTACCTTTGACACCGAAGCCAAAGCCTTGGAGGCCGTCTGCTCCTCCGCCGTCCTCTCCTTTGTTCTCTTCAGGATGTTCTGAAACAGCAAACAACAACTTTTCTATTTCTGCAACGGACAAACAGCATCAACAGGATCATTTTTTTCCATTTACAAACGAGGTCATAAGGTTGAGGCGAGGTGTGCCCATGTGTTTGCTCACGGGTCGAGAAGCAGTGACGAGTTTGAGCTGGAGATAATGCTTGAATAAGGACATACCACAAAGCCATGCACCGTGATGAACTCTTTTTATATAAGACTATTGACATTCAGCGGCTTGTAGCAGGAGCGGAGAAGGGTCAGTTATACAGAATGTAGCGTGGCTTTCTGCTCAGTCACCTGAGGAACTAATATAAAGGTTGCGATGGCTAACTGCATTGTGGTCACGCACCACTAACGTAGCTGTGGCACTGAGCTCCAGAGCTTTGTTCTCACAGAAGAAAAAACAAAAACAAACATATTTATAGTTCTTCATTTAAAAAGCTGACTCAAAACCACATGCATTTCCTTCTTAATCAGATTAATTCTACTTTACAAAGACAGAAACAGACTTTTTAAATACATCAGTAGTTTAGTCAGTGTGCAGCTGTTTCCCACTGATGTGGTTTTCCAGCCCTAGCCAAGTGATGTGTGTATAATTATGACATTATTTGACACTAAGCTTGTTCCTAAGTTAGAAGAGAAGACTGGTACCACTCTCATGCCTCTACATTAAGTATTAAATTGGAGCTTTTGGAGCTAGGAGCCAATGAGCTTAGCTTAGCATGAAGACTGGATGCAGGGGACAAAACAAAAGCAAACCATGCTAACTATTTATTGGCAAACATTAGTCGGACCGAAAGCCCGGCTAGCTGTTTCCCCCTGTTTCCAGTCTTTATGCTAAGCTATGCTAATTCCCTCCTGTGTGTATTTATCCATCCATTGTTCTTTATTATTAAAAGCAGAAACATGAATTCCCATGATGCCACTCACCTCAATGAGCATTTTAATGCGTGTTATTCGCTGGAAGGGCAGCAGCAAGAAGGACATGAAGGGCAGCCGCTGGCATTGAGGCGACTCTTGTAGACGAGTGATGACCGTAGCAAACT